CAGCAGATCCAAGGAGTTTGTCCACTCACAGAAGATCCTCCATCGGGATGCTGGGAAGATCTGGGAAGCAGTGCAAAACAAGTGTCCTGTCCATGTGTACATGTACAAGCTGGTGCCCTGCACAATCAAGTCCAGGACATCAAGCCGAGCAACTTCGTAGTTGGTGCCGGGGATGGGCAAAATGACAAGGCACTGACCAGGGATTCTGTGCGAGGTTTGTGTCGGCACGCCGCCCTTAGCAACTCAGCCCACCGGCTTCAGGTATACATTGTGGACTTCGGCTTGGCAAAACGCCCCCAGACGTACAAGAGCGACATGTGCTCGACGTTTTCATGTTCGATTGTGCTGTGAATTGCTAAGATGGCCCGGCCCTGTTGACACCTTGAGTCCTGGAAATAGTATATCATGATTCTTTGGACACTGTCATTGGAATCCGGGTGCACGAAGAATTCAAAGCAACATGGGGAACATGGAACTAAAATGGGATTTCACTCTCGCGGCGGTTTTCGAAAACACAAACCCACATGTAGGAAACTGGTCGAACAATGAAGTTGCAAAGTATCCACGGCTACTCGGAAGCATACCCTGCCTTTGCCTGGACAGCGTACTCTGGGGGCAGCACCTATGCTGCCAACAGGGTTCTGGATTTCAAAATTTACAGACTATGATCTGCATCACGAAGGTTTCTTGATGTTGTTGCTTTTTGTTAGCATTGTTATTGTTCATACGTTGTATCTCTCTTCTTCGTCTTGGAGTTCATTCTCGATCCGATAGATCTGGAATCCCGAAATTTGCAAAACATCGAAGCATCTGAACAACAACTGGAGTAACATTACATTATGGGGAAAGCACGGGAAAATGCATGGAACCGTGATGGAAACCACATGGGAACATCTTGCGAAACAGATTGAAAGTATGAACTTGGACGCAGATCCCAGCCCAATGAGACGGATTCGTGCACGACGGCAGCACAAATGCAAAAAGTCAGTGCTGCAACAAGGGCAACAGCTTCGCAGAGCAACTGTTGCACCCTGGGGCTTATTGTCTCATGAGTTGGTTCCATGCTGCAAGCTTTTGCTTCTCGTTTGCTTCTCATTTTCCTGATGCTAGATTTTAGCATGTTTACCTTGTATTCTTTTGCAAATTCTGTCGAGACAGTTGGTTTGATTGTGTTCAGTTTTTCTTCTCATGTGTTAAGTTTCTGGTTTTCATAGAGAGGTTTTGCCGGGGGGGTCATCTTCAGTGAATCGCTGGACCTGAGCTGCAACAGTTTTTTGTTATTCTTGCTGTGCCTTTCTCCATAGGTTTTCGCGATCCAGACACCGGCAAACACATTCCGTTTGTCAAGAAGAGTGGCATCACCGGAACGGCACGATATGTGACGCTGAACCTGCATCAGGGCCACTTGGTGAGCAAGTTTTCGGTGTATTCATCCGTCACACATGTCACACATCGTGGATTCAGCAAAGCCGGAGCCTCATGAAATAGGCCCGTCCATCGGGGCCCTTTGATATTACCTTGACATGCAGCAGCACTGCGACTCGCCTGAGGCTGCGAGCCGAGCCGGCGGCTGCCAAGCTGCATCTGAGATCTCGGGGGCCTTTGCTCCGTTTGCTCGTAGCTGTCGGTGCTCGCTTTCGAGATTTGACGAAGCGAGGGACGACTTGGGCTCCATCGGCTATGTGCTGCTCTACTTCCTGCGCGGGAAGCTTCCTTGGCAAGGATGCCGCTAACCCCAGGGCACTGCGGATGCCCAGTGTTGTGCAGCCCGCAAAACCTTGGCAGGAATAAACCATCGCGACAAGTCTCCTGGGTGCACCAAAAGAGCTTGCAACAGCTCGTGCTGGTTTCTGTCTGGCCTCCGAGGAAGAAGCGCAAAAAGCGCATCGGAAAACGCAAGGCAGCAACGTCGCACCAGGACCTGTGCAAAAGCTCCTAAGCAAAGACTCAGATCTACGAGCGGGAAGTAGAATTTGTGGATTTCTTCTGCACGGCTGCAAGGGTTCGATGTGCTGTGCAAGCCCACCGAAGGCTTTCCCAAGGAATTCGTGCAGTACCTGGAGTACTGCGACTCGCTAGGCTGAGAAGCTTTCAGTCCTTCGCAGAAAAGGCTGGGCCTGCGTGCTTCTAAGACTCGGCAGGCTTCAAGGACAAACCTGACTACGATCACCTCCGCAGCCTCTTCCGGAAAGCGGCTTCTCGACACCAGGCACAAGTCACGAAAGCTCCCCGTGTGGGAGCTTCGTTCAATACCTCACGAAGTGAGCTTGGGGTTATCGGGGGGGGGGGGGGGGGGGGGGGGGTGGCTTTTTTTGTTGTTTTTTTCGTCTATCCACCGTCTGGAGCTGGGAAAACCGTCGTTGCCAAGGGGGCTTGTTTTGGGCCAGATTTGGGTTTGTTTGGTAAGTGCATTTTGGAGATGTTCGCAGGAGAAGTGGGGCTCCTCTGATGCTGCTGATGCTGCTGATGCTGGCCTGGGTGTGCTTCCTGATGCTGCTGATGCTCACCGCATCGTGTCATGTGCGGCAAGAACGAAACTACTGATGCTGCTGATGCTGGCCGTATCGTGTCATGTGCGACAGGAACAGAACTACTGGAAGTACTGCGCCATGCTGCAACATGTTTGTCCGTTTATGGTTAGCAAAGGTGTCTGTCTGTTTGCTTTCTGCATCTTCCGGGCTGAGATCAGACATTTGTAAGTGTCGTTACTTGCCTCGACGAACTTGGCCTGGACCCGCCTTTTGTTTTTTTCGGCTCGATTGGCTCCGCAGTTGCTGCCACGAGCTTCGCTAGGGCCTCTCTATTCCTGTAAGCTCCGTGTCGCCGTCCTACCCCTACTAGAGCTTTCGTCCCAGCCCGTGGCTCTCAAGTCAGTTTCAGGCAATTTCGTATGGGTTTTGACTCTGGAGCTGCAAGCAGCTGCCAGTTGGACTTCGACTGGCAGTTTGATTGGCTGACTCCCCGCCAGAAGCGCCCTTTGGCTGCATTATGCACCAGCCTCAGAGAACTCCGACGCCTGCTATCACGGGTTCAGCTAGCCTGGTCCAGAGAGTCCTCGCTGAATCTAGTGTCTTCCACGTGCCTCCACTGCTTGAGCATGGCCAGGCAAACGCGCACCAGTATCTGGGAGTTCCTCCGGCAAGGTGGAGTCCTCCACGTATGAGCACCTGAACGGAAGATGGTTTGCGGTGACATTCTTTTGGCACGACTTCACTTGAGGTGTTCGGTTTGTAACATTTGTAGAATGTGGACTCTAGACTCTAGACTCCGCTGTAGACGTCGCTTCTTATCCTGAACCAGTCCTGAACCTTTGAGGTCTTACGAGTCCTACGAGGCGCAAGGGGCAAACGGCAGGGTCTTCACAAGTTGAACCCCTCTGGCTCCTGCGTTTGATGTCTGATCTCCGTGACCAGAAACTACAACATACGACTGCAGGGCAAGTCTTACAGTGGCACAAAGCTTCGTTGAAGTTCAGGACTCGTACAGCTCGTCACGCAGCGGAGCTCGTCCTGAGTCAGACCGGGGACACAAGAAGAGAAGAAAGAGGTGAGAAATGTCAGGCTTTTTTTGGATCAGCGTTGATTCACGCATCGGCAAGTCTGCTTTGTGACAAGGAATCGAGGTGAGTCGCCAGCTTTGCATGACCATGCCTGGCCCAATCTCACTGCGACTTTGTGCATCGATTGCAATAGGGGCTCAAGGATGTAGCGGGAGTGCGGGCCTTCGGTTGGATAACCCTGGTTCAATATGGCATTGTCGCATTCTCAGATAAGGGTGATGGGCACGCAGCCGATCGGCTACGCGAACTGATGTGCTTTTTTGACCAGCTTCGATGTCACATCTGGTTCTAAAGCTGGGGCTTGGGCTAAGACCAAGACTTTGGAGCAGTTGCAGTAGATTAGCTGTCTTACGAGATATTGTCGTGCAACCTTGCCTGTCTTGAGCGTGCACTTCCCTCAAGACGCCCTGTTTAGGGCGGTTTGTGGGTGGGGTAATTCAGGCTTACAGACCTACAACTTCACAAGACCTGTGGTTCGAAAGTCAGACAGTGTGAAATGGGCACAGCGCGTTGGAGTAGCTTGATGCTGTTTGGGCCACGGCCTCAAGACTCCGAGCTAACCATGTGAACACTTCAGCCTTTCATGAACTTTGCACGGCTCATGAGCGAACCAACAAGCACCACCGTGATCACCGTGGCAGAGTTGCAGGTGGTGATGGAGGTATTCGCTTCCCGGCTTCAGTCTTTTGAAACAAGCCGGGGCAGATGCCCCACCACCTTGTGGCGAATAGAGGGCAGAGGCCTGGACGTTGGTCTTGCGGTCTTACTTGTACATTGGTCCTGGCTGTATTTGATGTTGCCGTTAATCGCCACTAGCTCTCGTGTCTGCTTGAGTTATGAGGAGCCTTGCCTGCCTTGTGCGAAGTTGTGAGCGTCGAAAATGAAGCCAGGGAGAAGCGCAGCGTTGCAACAGCAAGCTCAGCATGCTTAATCTTGCGAACATGCAGAATCCTGGCAGCATGCCTAAGGCCCGTGCAAAGCACAATGGGTCTGCCAGAACACATGCAACCAGCGAGGACAGCTAGGACAGTAGTAATATCTTCAACATCTTGGCTTAGTTTTTTCCCACGGTGAGTGACGGTCGAGTCGAGGTGGTTTACGGTCCAGTCGAGGTGGTTTCGAGCTGCTTTGGCACGCACTTGACCTTGGAGGCTTGTGTGGCGCCGAGCGCAAGCTCATACTCACTTAGCCCGTGTTCGTGCCGTGCATGTACATGCCAGGCGATGGTTTGTCGAGTCTGGGGACTTGAAGTGGCTTCGCATTCGCAGAAGCCGATGCCTGAAACGTTCAGTCCTACCGGTCTGGAGCCCCACGAGAGAGAAGGGTCGGTCCTAGTGACCATTTCGCCGCCCAAATCTGCTTCACGTCGAACGTTTCTTGTATTGGGCTCCAGCCAGCTCGAGAAACACACGTTCTTTCTAGCCTTCGATACGTGCTCCGCATGTCGGCCTCTATATCAGTCCGTCCAGCCGCTTGGTGAGAATTGGGCACACTAGCGTATCCAGAATCTAGACGTCTGGCTTGGATGAGCGTGGTCTTCGAAACCCTGAGCAGCTCCGCGACCTGTCATTGTGCTTGCGTCGTGGGCTGCTACCCAACAGGATGGAGTCGGCGTGCTGACTATGAACAGCCCGCCGGTGAACTCGCTTGGCACGAGCCTGGTGACCTCGTTCAAGCGCCTTGTCGGGTTTCTGGTGAAGTGGGCGGGAAGTGGGGAAAGCAGCTAATCCACTGCCGCATGCTGCATTCACCGCAGAAGTGGTGACGAAGTAGGACGTCGGGGGGGGTTGCTTGCATCGCAGCTCAGGCAGGAGTTCCCGAAGCTCGTCCAGGATCCAAAGGCTCAGCTGGGGTCTGCGGTGGATGACGGACTTCTCGCCGAAGATTCGGACGTGCAGGTAAAAGCTATCGTGGTTACCGGCAGCGGCTCGATGTTCTCGGGTGGAGTCTTGGCTTCTCGAGTTTGCCACTCCAAGCAATGCAGTTGAGCGCCGTGAACTTTGTCCGAGATCGAGCCGGCAACATGTAGGCAGGCAGGGCTCGGAAAGTAATGCGAAAAGGCAATTTTTGTCCCGAATGAGAAAGCCGCAGATAGCTCGGCTTCACCATGGTTCGTCCGAGGTGCCGAGATCACCGAGCTGCTTGAGCCGGCAATCAGAAACACCGAGCAAGCAAGGGATGTTGAAATGAGTAGCGCAGAAGCGGTTTTCAGTCCGTTTTGTAATGCGAGTGTTGAAGCCATCAGGTTTGCCATGATGGTGGCAATGGGTGAGGCCGAGATGAGGCCCACAACTGCTTCGTGCTTGGGTTGAAAGTGTGTGGCGCTGGAGCGGCATGCTGCAGCAGGAAGAACAATCCCGTGGCGGCCCTGAGCGAGATGATGGACGCACGGTTGATTGGCCGATGGACCTTCCCATCCGAGCGGTTGGCAGTTGCTGCAGTGTCAGATTCTGCTCAGGGGGTGTGCTAGAGGGACGTCCCCTAGCCAAGGACACGATCGATGCCTCGCCCAAGACAGTGGTAGCAGCTCTCAACGGTCCAGCCTTGGGTGGTGGCTGCGAGGTCAGCTGTAAATTGATTGTTCCATCGTGCTGTCGAATCTTTCGAGTCGTGCCCAGCTCTCGACGACCGGGTGACAAGCTTTCCAGGTGAGCTTGGCGTGCCACTACCGTGTTGCGGCGCCGAAGGCATCCGTTGGCTTTCCGGAGGCCGGGATAAGTGGGTCTTATCCCGGCATGCTCATCAGCGATCACATCTGAAGCCAGGTGAACCTGGGCTTGCTGCCGGGTGCACAGGGCACTCAGCGGCTTCCTCGCGTGGCCGCTCTCCCTGTTGCGCTGCCGATGATCTTGCAGGGACGTCCCATGAATGTGGCTCGGCTGTCGCCGCGAAAGAGCCAAGCTTGCGCTTGGAAAAGTCTCTTCCGAGGCGGAAGCCGCAAAGAAGAACGGCATCATCGACGCGGTCGCCAAAGGAGATGCAACTTGGCGGATCTCTGTGTGAGAGGATGCTCGTCGGAGCAGCAGAAATCATGAAGGAAATGTTGTGGGCACAATGTAAGTTGCAAAGCTCGGGTCTTGCTGCTGAGGTGGTGGATGAGGCTGCAGAGTTTGCGCTGACGCATCCGCCAGCCCCCATCTCCAAGCGAGAGGTGCCTAAGACCAACCGTTTCATGATGGCAGCCGGAGGCCCATGCCCGGTTGTGCCTCCGGAGACTTAGAGCTTTGTACATGTCCTGTGCATGTTGATGGATTCTTTTGCACTTGCAGGTTTGGAGGGGGCATTGAATACGGCCTTCAACGCACAGCCTTTGATGGTGGCGCCTGGCGGCATCATCAAGTGTTTCGAGGCTGCCTGTTCGGGCAAGAGCTTCAGAGAGGGCGTGGCCGTCGAGATGGAGGAGTTCACGAAGCTGGCGCCTTGGCCATACTCCCCCGCCGTTTTGACTCGAAACTGGTTTCAGTCATTCCAGCATTTTGAACCGTTAGAACAACAAAATACAACATCCAACTCAGATGTTTGAGCAGTGGGCAGCGGTTCTGCCTGCAGGTCTTCTCCGTGCAATCAGCCGCTCTGAGACACCTCTTCCTGGCCGAGCGCATGGCGCAGAAAGTGCCTGGCGTCAATGAGAAGCCAGCGCCGCTGAAGAAGATTGGCATTCTGGGTGCCGGACTCATGGGCGGCGGCATCGCCATGTGCTTCGTGCAGAAGGGAGTTCCGGTTGTCTTGAAGGATGCGAAGCAGGAGTGGCTGGATGATGGCATGAAGAAGATCCAGGGACTCTGGGGTGGTCAGGCCAAGAGGGGCCGATTGAGCCAGGACAAGTACAAGCAGTACATGAGCCTTCTGAAGCCGACGCTCGACTATGCCGACTTCAAGGATGTGGACATGGTCATTGAGGCGGTTCCAGAAATTATGGACCTGAAGAAGCAGGTTTTCCTCGACATTGAGAAAAACACCAAGCCGGATGCTCTGATCTGCACCAACACAAGCGGGCTGAACATCGACGATATCGCAGCGGTGCTCAAAGATCCTTCTCGTGTCATGGGAACCCACTTTTTCTCACCCGCCAACGTGATGCAGCTGCTTGAGAACGTGCGAACATCCAAGTCCAGCACCAAAACGTTGGCCACCGGAATGGTTCCCTGGCTGCATGTGGGGCAAGTTGAGGTAGCTCATCGCGATGTCTCAGCGTATTTTTGTACTTACGACGCTGGAACTTAGGCCATGGGCAAGCTGATCAGCAAGAAGGCGATCATGGTGGGCAACTGTGATGGCTTCGTCGGCAACCGAATGCTTGCGCCGTATGCTGGGGAGGCGAAGATGGTCCTGGAGGAAGGCCGGACATCTGCTCGCGGGAAGACGCCGTCTTCCTTTTTCTTGTTGCTGCTGGATGAATTGCGCAAGGTGCCAGCATCGAGCAGGTCGACGCCGCGGCGCAGAAGTTCGGCAGCCCGGCGGCAGCCCAAAGAGTGCAGGCAGAGCGAAGAGGCAAGAAATGGAGACTGCTGGAAGGCATGGCCATGGGTCCGATGGCCTTGGGTGACTTGGTGGGCTTGGAGCTTTTCTGGAAGCAGCGGAAGGCCAGGCCGTAGCCGGAGCGTTCCTGAAGCCAGCTCGAGGATGCGCAAGGCTCTTCGGTAAGGTTCGCCAAGCTTTTGTCATGTCAGGCGGCCGGTGACATGCAGAAGCAGACCAAGACCTACTATGGTCCGTATGAGCTGACGGACCATCCGCGAGTTCAGTTTGTTGTGACACGTTCGGAAGGGCATGACAGCTTAGCACATGCACAGCCCCCCGCGGCGCGCTGGGGGTTTCCTTCCGGCTTGGATAGCTGTTTTTTTTGCTCCAGCGGTGCCTTAATCAATGGCCAACTTGGATGGCAAGTTCAGAGTCGAAAAAAGGCTGTTGGCCAGAAAGCAACGCGGTCAGAACAAAAACACAGTGGGACCGAGCTAGGAAACCTGAAGAAATACACCACACATAGTGATACAGTCTGTCGTCGGCTAGTTATTCGGCTGCGCTCTCTTTTTTTCGCTCGGGCCTTCGGCTCGGAGAACTTCAAACGCTCCCTGTGCCAGAGAGAGCGAGCGAGGCATAGAGAGAGCGAGAATAAACCCGAAACCCTAGAGATCGACAGAGACAGCACGCGGACGTGACCGAAGGAGAATCTGGAGAGCTGCGGCGCAGGGTGATGTAGCTTCCTGGAGAAGAAAGGGGACCAAAACAATGCGAGCCCGGTCAAGAGTTAGGAGGTCCCGAGCCGGAACGGAGCAACAATCAGCGATCTCAGTCAGTTAATGCAGATCCCTCCCCTTTCAAGAAACTACAATACGGATCCCAAATATTAGTACTTGGGCCCTGAAAGGCAGGGGTCTTCGGTGATTAGGGGTCTAGCTTACGTTGTAGTGCTGTGCGTGTTTTGCTTCATGTTTCGCTCCGATCCACACATGCAGGTCAGGTGTGGGTCGGTGAGACCAACCTGTCAACACTCCACCCGTCAACACTCTCGTCCGTTCTCCTCTCCACTCCACTAGGAGGTGCACATTTGAGCAGGGAGTCGGGGGGAAAATTTTGGGGGGACCCTCGCCTCCTAGACTTGCAGAAAGAAGGGCGGCCGTTGCTTCTTACGGCCGCCTCACGGACGTAAGGACTCCTATGGCGAGGGGCCTCGGCCCTCAAGCCAGCAGCAAGCAAGAAAGAGAGAAACTCACTAGTATGAGTCATATGAGACTGTTGGGCATAAAGTGCGTCCTGTGGTGGTGAATGCTACCGCCGCTGCCATAGACAGTAGTGTGGGGTTTGTTTTCAGGGTTTGGGGGATATCCGCTTCTCATGGCCCGGGGAGGAAGGAATCGAAGAGAGGAAGGAAGGAAGATAAATTGTAGGTATGCATAACTACTCTACACAGGCAACACAAGCCATGCCTACGTGTCACCGACCCTACCCCACCACAGGCAATCGGCGGTTTTCACCAGCAGTGAGCAAGAGCGCACACACGGCAGCATCCGGGGCAACTTCAACAGTACTATAGCCTACGTCAGCAAACGGGACTAGGATTGTAAATTCTCCAGGAGTTGCCTTTTTGCGTTTGCAGTAGCCCGCTGCTGATCGGCACTGTTTTGAATCTTTGTGCTTGTCGTCGTACCGTCCTTGCCTTGACAGCTTGCACTCGTGAAAGGCATGGTCATGGTGCATACGAAACGGCGTCGGGTTGGGAACCTGCGTTTGCGCGGGATTCATACAAGCACGCATTGGAAGCCAGTTGCTTGTTGCGCAGCTTGGCCCTGGAAAGGACTGGCTGTGCGAGCAGGGCCGCTTTGGCTTGAAGACCCCCGACCCGAAGATCAAGGCAGTGGCTGCTGGTTAGAGCTTGTGTTAGGAGGCAGATGGAAGCAGGTGGAGGAGGTTCAGGTGCCAAGCCTTGCAGAGGGAGAAACCGAGGCGTCAAAGTATGCGGATGCATGCGGTTTGGAGGGAGGTTGTCGCCAGGCCAACGGCCGCGGCGTTTTCATTCACCGTGGTCGCAGCAAGGAGGTGCGGCTGTGGCCGGGCAAGGCTTGAAGCTCCGGCGGCTCTTGGGCCCAGGTGGATCCCGAGGTCGTCGCAAAGCTGGATGAGGTTCGCAAGGCGAAGGGCATGACACCTCGGGCCGTTTCCGACGAGGACGGCTTCAAGCGCAGGTGCTCCGCACAAGCTGAGGCCTTTGCAGGTTGCAGTTCCATGTCGGAAGCACAGTGGTGAGTTTTGCATGCATGCGATGCCTTTTCGAGGAGATTTGCGAGAGGCTCTTCTTCTCCATGATCAACGAGGGCTTCAAGATCCTCGAGGAGATGTTGTGTCGCGTCAAGCCAGCCGTGCCCGTCGGTGTTAGCGCATCGGACAGGAAGGGTATGTGGCCCGATCCTCGGACATCGACCTGGCCTACATCTATGGCTACGGCTTCCCCCCTGCCAAGGCCGAAATCTGCACTTGGTAGACTTAAAAATAACTGTTGAGTTTCGCATCAGGACAGTCCATGTTGCCCGCATGTCACTCGCCACTGAAGTTGCAAAGATGTGTGGACTCAAAGCACAAAGACCAGACTTGATAGGGCGGCCCCATGTTCTACGCCGAGAACTATGCCGGGTTCAAGAAGATCCTGGAGCGCGTGAAGTACTACCACGAACAGGCGAAGGCGAGCGGTGCCGCATGTGCCCATGGGATGTAGGTTGTCGTCGGGAATGAGCAAGCAACAGGAAATAGTGTTGGTTGGTGTCACTTGATTACTGGCTGCTGCTGCTTGCTGCTGCTGCTGCTACGGCTGCCGCCATGCCATTGCCGCAGCTGTCCAACGGCTGACGAAGATCTCGAGTTCAACCCCCAGTGCACCACTCACGCTCGTGCATGAGGAGCGGTTCACCAAGAACTCCAACTACTTGCCAATCGACTATTTCGAGCCCTCCAAGCTGCTGGAGGCCTGCGCGGCCAAGGAAGGCACAAAGGCCGGGCTCCCATCATCAGAGAGGGTCTCGTCCTGTCCGTGACTCGAATGCCAGGTGTTCCCCGGCCAGACACTGATCGACGTGGTGCTGGCCGACTTCCGCAAGAAGGGTTCTGCTCCTGGCCCGTTTGCAAAGCTTTGAAGAAGCTTGCGCCGAGCTTTCTTTCTCTGCAGCAGTAGTGGCGAGCACTGTTGCCCGCAGTGGACATTTAACGAGGTCAATAGTCCAGGGTTGAAGAAAGTCCACAGGAGACCTGGCTGCCAAGGGGAGCTCAGACAACAAATAACATGTCTTTGCTAAAGGGGAACGTCGGGTAAAGATTTGCATCACAGGCAGCACAATGCTGCTGCTTGAGACGCAGGGAACAAGGCGAATTAAAATTAGCAAGAGATACGTCTCTGCACTGAGAGGCAAGTAGAGGGCCGCACCTAGATGAATAGAGACGTCTTCTCCTCGCTGTGGGGGACCAGGCTTTGATGCTTGCATCATAGGCCTTCATGTTTCCACGTGCTTGAAGTTTCTGAACGGGACAAGACACAGCAGCAGTTGGCGTGTGTACTGCTTCATGACATGCCCAGAGCTGTAGAACTAGACCGCTAAAGTTGCATATCCCATCCGAGGAATCTGTAATGTTCTCGCGGAACATGCAGCAACTGTCACCGCGCACGTTTTGAAATAACCAAAATAGTCCAACATCCAACGGTGCTCGCCGATGTTCAACCTTTCGCAGGTGACGAACAGTCGGTTCATCAATTAGTTTGAAGCCGCGACAGGAACGGCAGCCTTTTTTTCTCATGCCGATGCTGTTGCTGTCACTCGTAGCGAAAGCGCGAAAGCACCTGGCAGCAGTAGACCTTCATACGACCTGGAAACGAGTTGCCAGATGCGACTAGCTGCCCAGCTGCACCGTTTCCATTAGTCTATAGTGGGACTGGTTCGTTCAACAGATTTTGGGCGGCAGCCGCCAGCGAGGCGGTGCTCGCCATGTTCCTGTTCTCGAAATGTCGGGAAATCCATGCGCTTGGACAGGAGCACCGACAGCTTTCACGGTGGACAGTTTTGTAGATAGCGGCAGGATAAAAACGTTCTCTCCATGACATGGCTGAGGTCCTACGTAGGCAGTATAAGGATTTCATGACGTGCGCTCAACACGAAAGCACATTCGATCAAATTCGCTGCCGTTTTCCGCCATCTCCAGCCAGCTCGAGAGACACACGCGCGCCTTCCAGCCTTCACTCAGCACTCTTCATGTCGGCCTCCATTGCCGTCCGTCCGGCTGCTTGGCGAGAATTGGGTAAACTCTCCGGAGCGTGGTCTTCGAAACCCTGAACAGCTCCGCGACCGGTCATTGTGCTTGCGTCGTGGGCTGCTACCCAACAGGATGGAGTCGGCGTGCTGACTATGAACAGCCCGCCGGTGAACTCGCTTGGCACGAGCCTGGTGACCTCGTTCAAGCGCCTTGTCGGGTTTCTGGTGAAGTGGGCGGGAAGTGGGGAAAGCAGCTAATCCACTGCCGCATGCTGCATTCACCGCAGAAGTGGTGACGAAGTAGGACGTCGGGGGGGTTGCTTGCATCGCAGCTCAGGCAGGAGTTCCCGAAGCTCGTCCAGGATCCAAAGGCTCAGCTGGGGTCTGCGGTGGATGACGGACTTCTCGCCGAAGATTCGGACGTGCAGGTAAAAGCTATCGTGGTTACCGGCAGCGGCTCCATGTTCTCGGGTGGAGTCTTGGCTTCTCGAGTTTGCCACTCCAAGCAATGCAGTTGAGCGCCGTGAACTTTGTCCGAGATCGAGCCGGCAACATGTAGGCAGGCAGGGCTCGGAAAGTAATGCGAAAAGGCAAGTGCCAAACGGAGATGACGTCGTCCTGAATGAATAGCATGCTATTGATCGCCAGCTGCATTACAATGTTTCGTCCGTCCGAGGTGCTGAGATCACCGAGCTCCTTGAGCCGGCAATCAGAATCACCGAGCATCAGAAGTTGAAAAGAGTATCTCAGAAAGGCTTTTCATTCTAGATTGTAATGCGAAAGGTGAGGACAGTACTTTAAGATGCTGACGACGGAACTGTTTCCTGTTTTGCTGAACACGGTGCGGAGAGACAGTTGCGTTTGTCAGTTGAAGCCATCAGGTTTGCAATGATGGTGGCAATGGGTGAAGCCGAGATGAGGCCCTCAACTTATGCGTGATTGGGGTGAAACTGACATGCTTGCTTGTGTGTGGCGCGTGCTGCCACTGGAGCGGGATGCTGCAGCAGGAAGAACAACCCCGTGGCGGCCCTGAGCGAGATGATGGACGCACGGTTGATTGGCCGATGGACCTTCCCATCCGAGAGGTTGGCAGTTGCTGCAGCGTCAGGTTCTGCTCAGGGGGTGTGCTAGAGGGACGTCCCCTAGCCAAGGACACGATCGATGCCTCGCCCAAGACAGTGGTAGCAGCTCTCAACGGTCCAGCCTTGGGTGGTGGCTGCGAGGTCAGCTCTAAATTGTTTCCATCGTGCTGTCGAGTCTTTCGAGTCGTGTCAAGCTCTCGGCGACCGTGAAAGCGGAAAGAGGTCGAAGTCTTGCAAGCAGAGGGGGTGGCGAGCTTTCCAGGTGAGCTTGGCGTGCCACTACCGTGTTGCGGCGCCGAAGGCATCCGTTGGCTTTCCGGAGGCCGCCGGGACAAGTGGGTCTTATCCCGGCATGCTCATCAGCGATCATATCTGAAGCCAGGTGAACCTGGGCTTGCTGCCGGGTGCACAGGGCACTCAGCGGCTGCCTCGCGTGGCCGCTCTCCCTGTAGCGCTGCCGATGATCTTGCAGGGACGTCCCATGAACGTGTCTCGGCTGTCGCCACGAAAGAGCTAAGCTTGCGCCTGGACAAGTCTCTTCCGAGGCGGAAGCCGCAAAGAAGAACGGCATCATCGACGCGGTCGCCAAAGGAGATGCAACTTGGCGGATCTCTGTGTGAGAGGATGCTCGTCGGAGCAGCAGAATTCATGAAGGAAGTGGTGTGGACAAAGCGTAAGTTGCAAAGCTCGGGTCTTTTTGCTGAGGTGGTGGATGAGGCTGCAGAGTTTGCGCTCACGCATCCGCCAGCCCCCATCTCCAAGCGAGAGGTGCCTAAGACCAACCGTTTCATGATGGCAGCCGGAGGCCCATGCCCGGTTGTGCCTCCGGAGACTTCGAGCTTTGTACATGTCCTGTGCATGTTCATGGATTCTTTTGCACTTGCAGGTTTGGAGGGGGCATTGAACACGGCCTTCAACGCACAGCCTTTGATGGTGGCGCCTGGCGGCATCATCAAGTGTTTCGAGGCTGCCTGTTCGGGCAAGAGCTTCAGAGAGGGCGTGGCCGTCGAGATGGAGGAGTTCACGAAGCTGGCGCCTTGGCCATACCCCCCCGCCGTTTTGACTCGCAACTGGTTTCAGTCATTCCAGCATTTCGAACCGCTAGAACAACAAAATACAACATCCAACTCAGATGTTTGAGCAGTGGGCAGCGGTTCTGCCTGCAGGTCTTCTCCGTGCAATCAGCCGCTCTGAGACACCTCTTCCTGGCCGAGCGCATGGCGCAGAAAGTGCCTGGCGTCAATGAGAAGCCAGCGCCGCTGAAGAAGATTGGCATTCTGGGTGCCGGACTCATGGGCGGCGGCATCGCCATGTGCTTCGTGCAGAAGGGAGTTCCGGTTGTCTTGAAGGATGCGAAGCAGGAGTGGCTGGATGATGGCATGAAGAAGATCCAGGGACTCTGGGGTGGTCAGGCCAAGAGGGGCCGATTGAGCCAGGACAAGTACAAGCAGTACATGAGCCTTCTGAAGCCGACGCTCGACTATGCCGACTTCAAGGATGTGGACATGGTCATTGAGGCGGTTCCAGAAATTATGGACCTGAAGAAGCAGGTGTTCCTCGACATTGAGAAAAACACCAAGCCGGATGCTCTGATCTGCACCAACACAAGCGGGCTGAACATCGACGATATCGCAGCAGTGCTCAAAGATCCTTCTCGTGTCATGGGAACCCACTTTTTCTCACCCGCCAACGTGATGCAGCTGCTTGAGAACGTGCGAACATCCAAGTCCAGCACCAAAACGTTGGCCACCGGAATGGTTCCCTGGCTGCATGTGGGGCAAGTTGAGGTAGCTCATCGCGATGTCTCAGCACATTTTTGTACTTGCGACACTGGAACTTAGGCCATGGGCAAGCTGATCAGCAAGAAGGCGATCATGGTGGGCAACTGTGATGGCTTCGTCGGCAACCGAATGCTTGCGCCGTATGCTGGGGAGGCGAAGATGGTCCTGGAGGAAGGCCGGACATCTGCTCGCGGGAAGACGCCGTCTTCCTTTTTCTTGTTGCTGCTGGATGAATTGCGCAAGGTGCCAGCATCGAGCAGGTCGACGCCGCGGCGCAGAAGTTCGGCAGCCCGGCGGCAGCCCAAAGAGTGCAGGCAGAGCGAAGAGGCAAGAAATGGAGACTGCTGGAAGGCATGGCCATGGGTCCGATGGCCTTGGGTGACTTGGTGGGCTTGGAGCTTTTCTGGAAGCAGCGGAAGGCCAGGCCGTAGCCGGAGCGTTCCTGAAGCCAGCTCGAGGATGCGCAAGGCTCTTCGGTAAGGTTCGCCAAGCTTTTGTCATGTCAGGCGGCCGGTGACATGCAGAAGCAGACCAAGACCTACTATGGTCCGTATGAGCTGACGGACCATCCGCGAGTTCAGTTTGTTGTGACACGTTCGGAAGGGCATACTTCGGCTAAAGGTCGCCTGGTGTCCGTCCATGTCTTCAAGAGATCCGTGCAGCTTGCGACGAGAAGACACAAACGCTCAGACCGTGACCGGTCCCCAGATCACCAAAAAATTGCTTAGAGGCCCCGCCAATGGCTCGCAAGCCCGGACTCCTCAGGGCCACCAGAAAGGGGCGGGTTTCTGCAATCTGATCGACTGGTGGTGCTCACTGCTCACTGGACACAAAACGATAGGCCGCGGTGTCGTTCAAGTCTGGTCAGATAAGAGTCCTTCCGTCATCCTTTAACTCCAAGAAATGGAGACCGCCAACACCAAGCCACCACCAAGGAGGGGCTTTGTTGCAGAGGTGCGTAGGCTGGCAAGCGAGGCTGCACCAAAGTCAAAGCAGAGCAACTGCGTGTGGGAACGACAATCAGGACCTGAGGCTGTTTGATCACCTGAAGTCTCTGAGCAGTCAAGCTGCGCGACTCAGGTGAGAATAGCCTGAAGTAAGGTGAGACATAAGAGGTTGGTCGGAAGCCGATCACACTAAGCTCTAGCCCCAGCTTCTCTCGTTGCAAGATTTTTCTTCGGACCAATAGTGGCGGCAACCGTTTTGAGCCTTCGTGCTTTTCGTCGGGCCGTCCTTGCCTTCACAGCTCGCCCCGTGACAGACGTGTAGCCACGTGTGGCATAGGAACAAGCAGGCCAAGGCTAACTTGGCGGCTTGCGGCCACGTAGAATTGATCAGCTTTCACGTGGCCATTTTGGCGAAAGCCGCCCCGGCGAGTCTGATTGTGGATTAGTCTGGCGCGATGGCCGGACTGTTGCCGAATCCTGTAGAACTCCAGCAGCTTACGAGCCTCGATGACATGGTTCAGTGGGTTGGTCTGGATGCTACAGTCTGGAGGGTGGTGAGTGGTCACCTTGGCAATGTGCCCAGTATACGGGTCATGTCTGGTATGCCATTAGCTACGCTTCGCTTTGCCTGGAATAGCCTGCGAATAACCACAACAGCTGGGGAGCGCCAACTGACGCCTGTTGAGGTCATTCAGGTTGGATTAGTCTGGCGTGTTGCAAGGCAGGCTGTGGGTCTAGAGGATGTGGATCCGATGATGGATCCTGCCGGGACTTCGGCAACCACGGCGGCACAGCCGGTGGTGGCTGCGGCCAAGAAAGTTAAGACCAGCGCCGTGCTTGATCAGTTGGACGAGTCAGAGATTGAGCTGTTGTCAAAGGCCCAGCTGGATGAGGCGTTCAACAATTATCATGATATCACAGGGGCAGAACCAATGCCAGACGCAGAGCCGACGCCGGAGCAAATAGCTGCAATTCATGCCAAGGTGGTCGTACGGGGTGAAGCACCGTATGCTGACTTCTCCGTTCTGACCCCGTTCGGACGGAGGGTTCAGAAGCAGATGAAAGCCAGAGCTTTCCAGCTCCAGCAGGACGGAACGTTCAAGGCCTTGGAGATTCCGGGACCGCCATCGTTCGAGGCATGGACGGCGTGTTGGGAGGTATATCGAACCTGTCTGCTTATGCTTAGGCATCCAGACAGGTCTACCTCTCCTCCTTCATCGAAGTTGGTGGCCACGTCTGCGTGTTTGGATGAGTATTTCAAGCGAGTTTCGAAGCTCAACACCGATTATCCTGAATGTTGGCACCTCCTTATGCAAGCTGAGGACAAGGTGAGAGCCGAGATGTTTGAACGCTATCGCCGACAGTTGTCCAAAGCTCACATTGAGGGTCGTCTGCCCATGGGGATCTCTTTTGATTCAAGAGCCCCATGGACAGGGGTTTTCGTGTATGCGGCGCGGAACTGGGAATACTGGCATGAACAGGTGACCAAACCGGCACAGGACTTTCTTGCTAGAGGAGGGAAGCTTATGTCTGCTGATAAGGCCGCACGGGTGAACGTGCCATTCTCAGCTCAGGAGGCTGTGGACAATGCCATGGGACATAGCCCGCAAGGTGCGGCGTCGGGATCCAGAGCATCCGCTCCGTTCGAGGGTACCTCTCGGAATGCGAAGAAGCGGCGCAGGGAAAGGGAAAAGAAGGAGATCGAGAAGGCTCAGCTCCCTCCGCGGAGGGCGAGTTCGGTTCCAGCCCCGCCAGCCGTTATTCATCCTCGGAAGGTCAATGGTCTCTACGTTACCACAAATGATGGGACAGAGATCTGCTATGCGTTCTCTAAGGGTGACGGCTCGGAGTGTGCATGCGAAGAGCCGTGCAAGAACAGGAGAGCGCACTGCTGTCAAATCTGCTTAGGTGCCCACCCCAACTGCCTTTGCCCTCAGAAAGGGGAGGGCAAAGGAGGCAAAGGGGCTGGGAAGCGGAAGTGAGAGCCTGGTACAACCGTGGGCAGTTCCAAGGAAGCATCAGTGATCGCGGATTCCAGGATGGTTATTTCCACTTCTTCGCGAGAGTTCGCTTTCTTGGAGCTGTTTGCAGGATGTGCGGGGTTCTCTGGAGCTGTAAAGAGGGTAAATGCAGAATCAGTGCGTGTGTTGGAACCGCTGGATGACGGCAATGGTTGGGATGTGCTTTCTGAAAGCGGGTTTGATCAAGCAAAGGCCGCAGTTCGGGACGCCAGTCATGTGCACATCGCGTTCCCTTACCATTCATTCGCTAGGGACGGGTGTTCGGATCAGCACGGATGTGTGGAACAGGTGAGATCTGAGAAGCAACCCGAGGGATGGGGACATCCAGTGGCGGAGAAGGGTAACGCAGTCCTGACCAAAGCAGTGGCATTAGCCATGATTGCGCTCGATGCTGGTGCGACTGTGTCCTTGGAAAATCCGTGGTCATCGTATGCATGGGAGACTAAGGTGATGAAGCGGCTTATGAAGAAACTCGGATGCCAGCCAATGGAGCTGCACCAGTGTGCTTACGGGGCTGAGACGCAGAAACCGACCGGCATTCTCACAAATGCGGCATGGATGGAGGCTGTCTCCAAGCGCTGTAAGGACGTCCGTGCTCATCGGCATCGGCAAGGCGAGTTACCAGGCAAAATGTGGGACCCGACAACTTCGGAATACCCGACGGGTTTGTGCATGGCCTGGGCTAGATCCTTGCAACTATGGTTGGCTTCGGATGCCGGCAAGCAGAATCGAGAGCAGCATACTTTCGTCCGAGTGGGCATGCATGGGAATGTCCTTGTTCGGGCTAGTTTGAAGCGATCTCGGGACACGAATGCTGTCACGGCGTCGACTGAATCGACCGGCCCGATGGCTGATTCTAGCAAGGCTGAGGTTCGGGAGCGTGAAAATACCGAATGCTTGGGAGGACTCAGAGACCCTCGTCGTGCTGTGGCCAGATCATCTAAGCTGAGGAAGGTTGGCACAATGATCCGAATGTGCATCGATTCCTGCTTGAGTGATCAGGTCTTACAAAGTTGGGAAAATTCACAGGGAACCTCTCCGTTTGAGTCGAGGCTAGTTGCAGAGGGTCGGCGAAAGCTGGCATCAGTGTTTAAAGCAACTGTGCGCGAGGGAAGCGGGTATCAGGATGACCTCATCCAGAAAATCCTCGAGGAAGCTGAGGATCCTGATGCAAAGGTTGTTCCGGGATGGATGCGTGATGGCTTTCCATTGGGAATCAGCCGTACGATTGAGAACACCGGAGTGTTCCCATGCACGGATGAGGTGTCAGCATCCATTAAAGCTTCCCAAGTGACCGGCACCCTCCTTGAAGATTGGGATGGTTCGGCTACAAACTACAGTTCGTTTGTGGATGCGGGGCCTAAAGCTGAAGCGGAGCTCGATCGGCTTGTCACTGAGGGGAGGGCCACGTTGGTTGCTGATTGGCAGGCGGTCATCGATGCGGTGGGACCCGATGCCAAGCTCACCAAGCTAGCGTGCATCATCAAAACGAAGGGTGACCTTGAAAAGGTGCGCCTAGTAGTTGACATGCGCCGGAGCGGAATCAATGGCATGATGCAGCTGTTTGAACGAGTGGTACTGCCAAGGATTTCTGATGTTGCTGAGTCATTGCGTCACATTTTTCAGGACCCACGAAACTGTGACAAAGATCTCGAGTTCATGATTGCAGACTTTTCGGATGCTTTTCTCACTTTAAAGCTGCACCCGGATGAGCGACCTTGGGTCGTCATCAAGGGCCCCAAAGGTTTCTATTTTGTTCATGCCATTTGCTTCGGATTAGCATGCGGCCCCGTGTTGTGGGGCCGAGTCGCGGCTGTCGCGATGAGGCTCGGACAGGCGGCATGTCATGACACGGAGGGTCGAAGTCAATGCTACGTGGATGATCCGTTGCTGCTGGCTTTGGGTAGAACGTCCAGGGAACGCAGCCAAATTTTCGCAAGGTTTGTGTTTCTGTGGACTTGCCTAGGATACCGTGTCGCATGGCATAAAATTTCACGTGGAGTTTCTTTGCAGTGGATTGGAGTGTCCTTGACGCTGCACGCTTCAGAACGCAGGCTGAGTGTTGAGCTTGCCTCTGATAAGACTGCTAAGCTACGGGACGCTTTCGCGGAAATCCGCGCTGCAAAGGGTATGATCTCCACGTCTCGATTGCGACACCTTGCAGGTCTGCTCAGCTGGATTTCCAACTTGGTGCCGAGTGCCAGACCGTGGACATCTATGGTTTGGGCAGCCGTGCACTCAGGGGAAAGGTCAGCACAGACACGCAAGTCTAACACGCGTCAGCGGAAAGGGTTGACGTATGTGAGACAAGTGTTGCATGCTGTGACCTGGCTTGAATCCATGGTTCGGGCCTCCTCGGAGGGTGCTCGAGCGCTGGAGTCGAGTAGGATTCCCCCAATGAAACACATTTATGATTTCAATGTTGAGCCTCCTTTATTTCTCATTCAGACGGATGCTTGCCCGGAGGGGGTGGGAGCAGTCCTGTATGAAGGCGGCCAAATCACTGCGTGGTTTAGCGAATCCTTAACAAAAGAGGATATGCTGGTTCTGGGAGGAGGGGCCACAGTAGGCGACCCTGCCTATCAGACCGAATTTGAAATGTATTGTGTTATCTTGGCTGTGCGCACGTTTGCACCACGATTTAAAGGTAGGCGCATTCGTTTCTTTCTCCAAACTGACAACAACGCTACCCTTCGTGCTTCGCTCGATTTTAAGAGCAAGAGCCCACTCCTCACATTCTTGGCTTCGGAACTTGTTGTGACACTCGCTGCTTTCAACATCGCCCCTATGTGGGGACGGCATCTCCCGGGGATCTTAAATGACCTCGCCGATGCCCTGAGTCGGAATCAGGTGCCGGCGGTGATACAAGGGTGCCCCAGGTGTTGCGTTCCCGCAAGGGCCAGGGAACAGTTCCGAGTTTTGCCAACCGTACATGCAAGTTCCGAGGAGTGTTGAAGGGTTTGCGTGCATCGACCGGTTTGATGGTGACAAAAGGTGCCCTTGGTTGGGAGCTGTGCAACTGTGCATGCTCGTTCATGTTGTGATCGTGTTTGCCGCAGCCGTGTTTATGCAGTCTAATGCTCATGCTCGGCGTCGCGAACGCTGTTCAAGAGGGCTGAAGGTAAATGTGGGCGATGCCCGAGCGGTCCTTGCAAAGGCGGGGGACAAATGGGTAGCTCGAACAACTTCTGCCCCTTCTGGGCAGTTCCAGGCCCCTTCGTCAAGTGCAGGGCAGTTCAGCGGCGTGCATTCTCTTGCTCGTGCGCCTCCTGAGGCTGGGCCGGTGCTGACTGGTCTAGTTGAGGGATGTGTTTCGGGCAGCCTTGTCGTAGAACATGGGCTTCCATGCGCCATGTACTTCCCTCCATGTTCTGAGACGGTGCCGCCTGTGACCCAGAGTTGTGCGGAACCAAACGGGGTGGCTGCAGCGAAAGACTGCAGTACGTCGGCTGAGACAAGAGGGATCAGAATTCCTTCGACACCGACGCGTCTGACAGTGGGCGGTCTGAAAAGAAGGCGCAGTGATGCACCACTGGCTCCGAGTGTCGGTGATGCAAAGAAGGCTCGCGGATCATTGGCTTCTGCACTCGAGATCGCGGGAGACGATAGAGCAGTCGCGCAAGCTTTACAGGATTTTGACGACCTGAAATACGCGGTGGGCACTGACAAGTCCAAACGGTCCCACTGGAACACATGGCAAGCTATCCTTGAGAAGCGAGGTAAGTCGGCGCTGCCGGTGACGACTGAAGCGATCAGGGAAGTCTCTGGAATTCTGCGCGCCAGCGGCTACCGCTCTGGATATGCGTATGTTTTGGAAGCTAAACAACAACATTTGCGTGCTGGCTTTGAGTGGACTGACCAATTGGATGTTTTGTTGCAGGATGCCAAGCGCGCTTTGCAGAGAGGTCTGGGGCCCTGTTCTAAGTCCGAAGAGGTCAAATTGGAATGGTGGGAAACGTTATGGAGACAATACGATGTTGATGACTCTGCTCACAAGCCGTCTTGGCCCGTGGGAGGCCCGGCGGCGTGGGCATTCGGGACCCTCTTTATATTGAGAGAAGTCGAGCTCTCTACGCTTTCCATGGGGCCAGAGTCCATACGACTGGACACGACGGAACGAAGAATCACGCTCGGGCTTGCAGTGTCCAAGAAGGATCCGAAGGCGCGAGGTTGTCGCAGAACGTTGGATTGTACATGCAAAAGAGTAACCACCTTTGCATGTGCATACTGCTTGGGAACCTGGCTCATTTCAGTGCAGGAGAAAAGGCTCAACATGAATATTACTGACCCGCGGTGTTGGGAGGCGCCTCTCATAGGAACTGCGGCGGATCCCTGGGCATATGCGGAAAAGGACGCTGTTATCGCTGCGGTGCAACGTGATGTCCGGTGGCTGATCCGTTTAACACAGGACTTGGAGAATCATGTAGATCCGGACTGCGTGACCGGGCATTTTATGCGCCGGTCTGGGGTGAAGAGACTTGCTCGGTCTGGCGTTCCTGTGGAGATTATTCAGTTCATGTCTAGGCATAGCAGTCAGGCCGTGTTCGGATATATTGAAGGCGCTTTGGAAGAGTGCCCTCAAAGACACGAGATGCTAGCCAAGTTCCTCGCAAACAAGTCCGAGTTGGATCTCATGCGTGATCAGTTTTTGGCATTGGACGAAAGAATGGTTAAAGTGGAAGCTGTTGCCTCCCGTGTCGGAGGCGAGCTTGCAGTACAGTCTCTTTCAACTGAGCTAGAGACCATCCGTAATGCAGTGGAGCCTGAAGTGTTGAAAACGGAGATCCGAAAGCTTCTTCGTCCGCCAGCGGTGCTCAATCAGAGCACGGGCAAGGTTCATTCCACCAGAGGGTGCTCGTTCAGAGGAGCCCCGGCAACATGGACTACATCCTGCGGCTGGCCGTGGGTCCTGGCTGCTTGCTCCACGGTGGAACTGGATGAAGAACAACTTAGTAGTAGGAAGTGGTCCTTTTGTGAGAAGTGCTTGTGGGAGTAGAGACAACTGCGTGCAAACAAGGCGGAAACAGGTGAGTGAATCTTTGCGTTAGTCTGGAGTCCCGTTCTGCAATAAAAGTTCGATGAAAAATTTATGTGTTGAGCCCGCGAGCCGTGCGAGGTCCGAGGGACCAGCTGGCGAGCGCGGCGAAGCACAGGGTCATCGGAACTGCAGGGACTTTACGTCTGTAACGCGTTTCCGCCAATCTGTGAGTTAAAAGAAATAGGGCGGTTGGGAGGGGGGAGTGTTAGCCTGCCGCTTGCTTGTTGTGTAGCCACGTGTGGCATAGGAACAAGCAGGCCAAGGCTAACTTGGCGGCTTGCGGCCACGTAGAATTGATCAGCTTTCACGTGGCCATTTTGGCGAAAGCCGCCCCGGCGAGTCTGATTGTGCCCTCCCACCCAACCCGAGTGAATCTTTGCGTTAGTCTGGAGTCCCGTTCTGCAATAAAAGTTCGATGAAAAATTTTATGTGTTGAGCCCGCGAGCCGTGCGAGGTCCGAGGGACCAGCTGGCGAGCGCGGCGAAGCACAGGGTCATCGGAACTGCAGGGACTTTACGTCTGTAACGCGTTTCCGCCAATCTGTGAGTTAAAAGAAATAGGGCGGTTGGGAGGGGGGAGTGTTAGCCTGCCGCTTGCTTGTTCTGGTGCATACGAAACGGCGTCGGGTTGGGAACCTGCGTTTGCGCGGGATTCATACAAGCACGCAGTGGAAGCCAGTTGCTTGTTGCGCAGCTTGGCCCTGGAAAGGACTGGCTGTGCGAGCAGGGCCGCTTTGGCTTGAAGACCCCCGACCCGAAGATCAAGGCAGTGGCTGCTGGTTAGAGCTTCTGTTAGGAGGCAGATGGAAGCAGGTGGAGGAGGTTCAGGTGCCAAGCCTTGCAGAGGGAGAAACCGAGGCGTCAAAGTATGCGGATGCATGCGGTTTGGAGGGAGGTTGTCGCCAGGCCAACGGCCGCGGCGTTTTCATTCACCGTGGTCGCAGCAAGGAGGTGCGGCTGTGGCCGGGCAAGGCTTGAAGCTCCGGCGGCTCTTGGGCCCAGGTGGATCCCGAGGTCGTCGCAAAGCTGGATGAGGTTCGCAAGGCGAAGGGCATGACACCTCGGGCCGTTTCCGACGAGGACGGCTTCAAGCGCAGGTGCTCCGCACAAGCTGAGGCCTTTGCAGGTTGCAGTTCCATGTCGGAAGCACAGTGGTGAGTTTTGCATGCATGCGATGCCTTTTCGAGGAGATTTGCGAGAGGCTCTTCTTCTCCATGATCAACGAGGGCTTCAAGATCCTCGAGGAGATGTTGTGTCGCGTCAAGCCAGCCGTGCCCGTCGGTGTTAGCGCATCGGACAGGAAGGGTATGTGGCCCGATCCTCGGACATCGACCTGGCCTACATCTACGGCTACGGCTTCCCCCCTGCCAAGGCCGGAATCTGCACTTGGTGGAGTTAAAACTCACTGTTGAGTTTCGCATCAGGACAGTCCCTGTTGCCCGCATGTCATTCGCCACTGAAGTTGCAAAGATGTGTGGGCTCAAAGCACAAAGACCAGACTTGACAGGGCGGCCCCATGTTCTACGCCGAGAACTATGCCGGGTTCAAGAAGATCCTGGAGCGCGTGAAGTACTACCACGAACAGGCCAAGGTGAGCGGTGTCGCATGTGCCCATGTTATCTAGGTTGTCGTCGGGAATGAGTAAGCAACAGGAGGTAGTGTTGGTTGGTGTCACTTGATTGCTGGCTGCTGCTGCTTGCTGCTGCTGCTGCTACGGCTGCCGCCATGCCATTGCCGCAGCTGTCCAACGGCTGACGAAGATCTCGAGTTCAACCCCCAGTGCACCACTCACGCTCGTGCATGAGGAGCGGTTCACCAAGAACTCCAACTACTTGCCAATCGACTATTTCGAGCCCTCCAAGCTGCTGGAGGCCTGCGCGGCCAAGGAAGGCACAAAGGCCGGGCTCCCATCATCAGAGAGGGTCTCGTCCTGTCCGTGACTCGAATGCCAGGTGTTCCCCGGCCAGACACTGATCGACGTGGTGCTGGCCGACTTCCGCAAGAAGGGTTCTGCTCCTGGCCCGTTTGCAAAGCTTTGAAGAAGCTTGCGGCGAGCTTGCTTTCTCTGCAGCAAAGCACCGGCGAGCACGGTTGCCCCGGCCTGGGTAGAAAGAAGCCTTGCTGTCTGGAGCTAGGTTAAGTTTTTACAATCGCGTCATCTCTGCCCACTGTTTTCAGTGCTTCATAGGAGGTTGTGTTTGAGTGACATAGAAGAGAAGTTAAGAGGCGGTGTCAGTAACGACACGTTGTATTTGTGGATTTTTTCACATCTTAAGGTTATGTGCCGTAGAACCGGTTCAGCCATCAGCTGCTTGTGATGGTAGTCTTCGAGGAAGTTCTGGAACGCTGGGGGATGCCTGTGGTGTGTTATCGCCATCGCAAGAGACAGCAGGGGCGAATAGCCTCATTCCAACTTCCAACAGTGCTCGCCGGTGTTCAACCTGACGACAAGTCGATGCAGAAATTCGTTTGAACCTGCGACAGGAACGGCAGCCTTCATTTCATGCCGATGCTGTTGACGGCTCTCGTTTTGGTGGCGACAGCACCTGGCAGCCGCCGACGGAGCATGCCTGCCCTAAGCCGAGTCAACCCCTGGAATCCTGTATCGAGGGTACACTTATCAGAAGGAAGCCTGGGAACGGATTGCCAGATGCTGCCACGGCCTGCACAGTTTCCATAACAGTCTCCTTAGTGGGACCTGGCGATTTTGGATGGCAGCCGCCCTTGAGGCGGTGCTTGTCAGTGTTCCCGTCCTTGAGCTGTTCGGTGATGTTGTGACTGCCAAATCAGTACAATGCAGAGCCTCCGGAAATATGAGGCAGGGGGATCGTTTTGAGCTCGGACAGGAGCGCTGATAGCTTGCAGAGTGGACAACCCTGTCCGGACAGTTTTGCACATTGTAGTTGGAAAACAGCAGGGTTTCATGGATACATCGTCGGCCTTGGAAGGGATGAGGGGCGGACATGCCCGACATGCCCAAAGCAACAGAATGCAGTCTGGATTGCCCTTTCGTGATGGGCATAGATCGAGTGAACTGGGGAGCAGCGAGCAATCGGAGACCGTCTTGTCCTTGGAAATACTCAGAAGGCACAAGGGAGAAGTGTTCAAGCTTTCGCTCATGCCACCGGTTGGGTTGGACCAAACACTACCAAGCTGCAACAACCCTCCGCCGTTGCCAAACACAGCCCTCGGGGAAACAAATCAGACAAGTAACAAGGCAATCTGCAGTGCGATTTTGTCAGCTACGGGGGAGGCAGCAAGCAAAACGATGAAACCGGCGGCAGAGCCGCAGGGTCATGGACTCAACAAGCACGACAACATATCGGCTCAGTTTCACCTTGGCGACGCACCGCAGGGGATCATGTTGACAATGATTGTGGGCTGAGGTGACTGCGAGCTTGAATGGTCGGATATGCAATCAAAGCCGACGCCTCAGCTGTTGAGTCCTGCCTCCTGCCATGCCGTACGTGTGTGCGAAAATCGCCGTGGCGGTCTCTTTGCCAACCAACTTTGTTGCGGTCTTCCGCCATCGGGCTCCAGCCAGCTCGAGAGAGACACACGCGCCTTCCAGCCTTCACTCAGCACTCTTCATGTCGGCCTCCATTGCCGTCCGTCCGGCTGCTTGGCGAGAATTGGGCAAACTCTCCGGAGCGTGGTCTTCGAAACCCTGAACAGCTCCGCGACCGGTCATTGTGCTTGCGTCGTGGGCTGCTACCCAACAGGATGGAGTCGGCGTGCTGACTATGAACAGCCCGCCGGTGAACTCGCTTGGCACGAGCCTGGTGACCTCGTTCAAGCGCCTTGTCGGGTTTCTGGTGAAGTGGGCGGGAAGTGGGGAAAGCAGCTAATCCACTGCCGCATGCTGCATTCACCGCAGAAGTGGTGACGAAGTAGGACGTCGGGGGGGTTGCTTGCATCGCAGCTCAGGCAGGAGTTCCCGAAGCTCGTCCAGGATCCAAAGGCTCAGCTGGGGTCTGCGGTGGATGACGGACTTGTCGTCGAAGATTCAGACGCGAGGTTAGCTAGACTTAGAGTCGCATCAACTCAACAAGGGGGGGGGTTGCACACCCTGCTGCTGGCTCGCACCAACAACAGACTGGAGGCGCTGCCAGCCTTTAACATGTATTCAACGTATTCTGTAATGCAGGTGAAAGCTATCGTGGTTACTGGCAGCGGCTCGATGTTCTCGGGTGGAGTCTTGGCTTCTCGAGTTTGCCACTCCAGGCGATGCAGGGTCTTGAGCGCCATGAAGGTATGAAGCAGCATGTAGCCATGCAGCCAGGCCAGGCTTAGCAGCTGACTCGCAAAGTTGTAGCTGGCATCGGCCCGCATGAGAAAGCCACAGACATCTCGCCGCATATTGAAAGCTGCATGATCCAAATTTCCACCATGGTCCCAGGAGCTGAGATCACCGAGCTGCTTGAACCCGCAATCAGACCTGAATTTCGCAGAAGACTTCGTGCGCACTTCGGTTTGGGGGCGAGGGCACAGCTGCTGCCTGAAGCTTTGGGAGAGTCCAGTCGAATGAGTTTGAGAGCTTTTACTCGTTAGGGTTGCCAGCTGCCGAAGACGGCGCCGTTTCCCTCGTTGCAGAGAAGCTGTTGCGATTGTTGAAGCCATCAGGTTTGCCATGATGGTGGCAATGGGTGAGGCCGAGATGAGGCCCTCAACTGCTTCAGCAACATGCTTGCTTGTGTGTGGCGCGTGCTGCCACTGGAGCGGGGATGCTGCAGCAGGAAGAACAACCCCGTGGCGGCCCTGAGCGAGATGATGGACGCACGGTTGATTGGCCGATGGACCTTCCCATCCGAGAGGTTGGCAGTTGCTGCAGCGACAGATTCTGCTCAGGGGGTTGTGCTAGTGGGACGCCCCCGAGCCAAGGACACGATCGATGCCTCGCCCAAGACTGTGGTAGCAGCTCTCAACGGTCCCGCCTTGGGTGGTGGCTGCGAGGTGAGCTCTAAATTGTTTCCATCGTGCTGTCGAGTCTTTCGAGTCGTGTCAAGCTCCCGGCGACCGTGAAAGCGGAAAGAGGGCTAAGTCTTGCAAGCAGAGGGGGTGGCGAGCTTTCCAGGTGAGCTTGGCGTGCCACTACCGTGTTGCGGCGCCAAAGGCATCCGTTGGCTTTCCGGAGGCCGCCGGGACAAGTGGGTCTAATTCCGGCATGCTCATCAGCGATCATATCTGAAGCCAGGTGAACCTGGGCTTGCTGCCGGGTGCACAGGGCACTCAGCGGCTGCCTCGCGTGGCCGCTCTCCCTGTAGCGCTGCCGATGATCTTGCAGGGACGTCCCATGAATGTGGCTCGGCTGTCGCCACGAAAGAGCCAAGCTTGCGCTTGGAAAAGTCTCTTCCGAGGCGGAAGCCGCAAAGAAGAACGGCATCATCGACGCGGTCGCCAAAGGAGATGCAACTTGGCGGATCTCTGTGTGAGAGCCAGGATGCTCGTCGGAGCAGCAGAAATCATGAAGGAAATGTTGTGGGCACAATGTAAGTTGCAAAGCTCGGGTCTTGCTGCTGAGGTGGTGGATGAGGCTGCAGAGTTTGCGCTCACGCATCCGCCAGCCCCCATCTCCAAGCGAGAGGTGCCTAAGACCAACCGTTTCATGATGGCAGCCGGAGGCCCATGCCCGGTTGTGCCTCCGGAGACTTCGAGCTTTGTACATGTCCTGTGCATGTTCATGGATTCTTTTGCACTTGCAGGTTTGGAGGGGGCATTGAACACGGCCTTCAACGCACAGCCTTTGATGGTGGCACCTGGCGGCATCATCAAGTGTTTCGAGGCTGCCTGTTCGGGCAAGAGCTTCAGAGAGGGCGTGGCCGTCGAGATGGAGGAGTTCACGAAGCTGGCGCCTTGGCCATACCCCCCCCGCCGTGTTGACTCGCAACTGGTTTCAGTCATTCCAGCATTTCGAACCGCTAGAACAACAAAATACAACATCCAACTCAGATGTTTGAGCAGTGGGCAGCGGTTCTGCCTGCAGGTCTTCTCCGTGCAATCAGCCGCTCTGAGACACCTCTTCCTGGCCGAGCGCATGGCGCAGAAAGTGCCTGGCGTCAATGAGAAGCCAGCGCCGCTGAAGAAGATTGGCATTCTGGGTGCCGGACTCATGGGCGGCGGCATCGCCATGTGCTTCGTGCAGAAGGGAGTTCCGGTTGTCTTGAAGGATGCGAAGCAGGAGTGGCTGGATGATGGCATGAAGAAGATCCAGGGACTCTGGGGTGGTCAGGCCAAGAGGGGCCGATTGAGCCAGGACAAGTACAAGCAGTACATGAGCCTTCTGAAGCCGACGCTCGACTATGCCGACTTCAAGGATGTGGACATGGTCATTGAGGCGGTTCCAGAAATTATGGACCTGAAGAAGCAGGTGTTCCTCGACATTGAGAAAAACACCAAGCCGGATGCTCTGATCTGCACCAACACAAGCGGGCTGAACATCGACGATATCGCAGCGGTGCTCAAAGATCCTTCTCGTGTCATGGGAACCCACTTTTTCTCACCCGCCAATGTGATGCAGCTGCTTGAGAACGTGCGAACATCCAAGTCCAGCACCAAAACGTTGGCCACCGGAATGGTTCCCTATCTGCATGTGGGGCAAGTTGAGGTAGCTCATCGCGATGTTTCAGCATATTTTTGTACTTACGACGCTGGAACTTAGGCCATGGGCAAGCTGATCAGCAAGAAGGCGATCATGGTGGGCAACTGTGATGGCTTCGTCGGCAACCGAATGCTTGCGCCGTATGCTGGGGAGGCGAAGATGGTCCTGGAGGAAGGCCGGACATCTGCTCGCGGGAAGACGCCGTCTTCCTTTTTCTTGTTGCTGCTGGATGAATTGCGCAAGGTGCCAGCATCGAGCAGGTCGACGCCGCGGCGCAGAAGTTCGGCAGCCCGGCGGCAGCCCAAAGAGTGCAGGCAGAGCGAAGAGGCAAGAAATGGAGACTGCTGGAAGGCATGGCCATGGGTCCGATGGCCTTGGGTGACTTGGTGGGCTTGGAGCTTTTCTGGAAGCAGCGGAAGGCCAGGCCGTAGCCGGAGCGTTGTAGCCGGAGCGTTCCTGAAGCCAGCTCGAGGATGCGCAAGGCTCTTCGGTAAGGTTCGCCAAGTTTTTGTCATGTCAGGCGGCCGGTGACATGCAGAAGCAGACCAAGACCTACTATGGTCCGTATGAGCTCACGGACCATCTGCCTTTTCAGTTTGTTGTGACACGTTCGGAAGGGCATACGTCGGCTAAAGGTCGCCTGGTGTCCGTCCATGTCTTCAAGAGATCCGTGCAGCTTGCGACGAGAAGACACAAACGCTCAGACCGTGACCGGTCCCCAGATCACCAAAAAATTGCTTAGAGGCCCCGCCAATGGCTCGCAAGCCCGGAGTCCTCAGGGCCACCAGAAAGGGGCAGGTTTCTGCAATCTGATCGACTGGTAGTGCTCACTGGACGATAGGCCGTGGTGTCGTTCAAGTCTGGTCAGATAAGAGTCCTTCCGTCATCCTTTAACTCCAAGAAATGGAGACCGCCAACACCAAGCCACCACCAAGGAGGGGCTTTGTTGCAGAGGTGCGTAGGCTGGCAAGCGAGGCTGCACCAAAGTCAAAGCAGAGCAACTGCGTGTGGGAAGGACAATCAGGACCTGAGGCTGTTTGATCACCTGAAGTCTCTGAGCAGTCAAGCTGCGCGACTCAGGTGAGAATAGCCTGAAGTAAGGTGAGACATAAGAGGCTGGTCGGAAGCCGATCACACTAAGCTTTAGCCCCAGCTTCTCTCGTTGCAAGATTTTTCTTCGGACCAATAGTGGCGGCAACCGTTTTGAGCCTTCGTGCTTTTCGTCGGGCCGTCCTTGCCTTCACAGCTCGCCCCGTGACAGACCTGGTGCATACGAAACGGCGTCGGGTTGGGAACCTGCGTTTGCGCGGGATTCATACAAGCACGCAGTGGAAGCCAGTTGCTTGTTGCGCAGCTTGGCCCTGGAAAGGACTGGCTGTGCGAGCAGGGCCGCTTTGGCTTGAAGACCCCCGACCCGAAGATCAAGGCAGTGGCTGCTGGTTAGAGCTTCTGTTAGGAGGCAGATGGAAGCAGGTGGAGGAGGTTCAGGTGCCAAGCCTTGCAGAGGGAGAAACCGAGGCGTCAAAGTATGCGGATGCATGCGGTTTGGAGGGAGGTTGTCGCCAGGCCAACGGCCGCGGCGTTTTCATTCACCGTGGTCGCAGCAAGGAGGTGCGGCTGTGGCCGGGCAAGGCTTGAAGCTCCGGCGGCTCTTGGGCCCAGGTGGATCCCGAGGTCGTCGCAAAGCTGGATGAGGTTCGCAAGGCGAAGGGCATGACACCTCGGGCCGTTTCCGACGAGGACGGCTTCAAGTGCAGGTGCTCCGCACAAGCTGAGGCCTTTGCAGGTTGCAGTTCCATGTCGGAAGCACAGTGGTGAGTTTTGCATGCATGCGATGCCTTTTCGAGGAGATTTGCGAGAGGCTCTTCTTCTCCATGATCAACGAGGGCTTCAAGATCCTCGAGGAGATGTTGTGTCGCGTCAAGCCAGCCGTGCCCGTCGGTGTTAGCGCATCGGGCAGGAAGGGTATGTGGCCCGATCCTCGGACATCGACCTGGCCTACATCTACGGCTACGGCTTCCCCCCTGCCAAGGCCGGAATCTGCACTTGGTAGACTCAAAAATCACTGTTGAGTTTCGCATCAGGACAGTCCATGTTGCCCGCATGTCATTCGCCACTGAAGTTGCAAAGATGTGTGGACTCAAAGCACAAAGACCAGACTTGATAGGGCGGCCCCATGTTCTACGCCGAGAACTATGCCGGGTTCAAGAAGATCCTGGAGCGCGTGAAGTACTACCACGAACAGGCCAAGGTGAGCGGTGTCGCATGTGCTGCCCATGGGACGTAGGTTGTCGCCGGGAATGAGCAAGCAACAGGAGGTAGTGTTGGTTGGTGTCACTTGATTGCTGGCTGCTGCTGCTTGCTGCTGCTGCTGCTACGGCTGCCGCCATGCCATTGCCGCAGCTGTCGAACGGCTGACGAAGATCTCGAGTTCAACCCCAGTGCACCACTCACGCTCGTGCATGAGGAGCGGTTCACCAAGAACTCCAACTACTTGCCAATCGACTATTTCGAGCCCTCCAAGCTGCTGGAGGCCTGCGCGGCCAAGGAAGGCACAAAGGCCGGGCTCCCATCATCAGAGAGGGTCTCGTCCTGTCCGTGACTCGAATGCCAGGTGTTCCCCGGCCAGACACTGATCGACGTGGTGCTGGCCGACTTCCGCAAGAAGGGTTCTGCTCCTGGCCCGTTTGCAAAGCTTTGAAGAAGCTTGCGGCGAGCTTTCTTTATTTGCAGCAAAGCACCGGCGAGCACGGTTGCCTTGGGTAGAAAGAAGCTTTGCTGATTGGAGCTAGGGCCTGCCTTTGTCACAAAATGGTTCTGGAATTTGAGGCAAGTCTGCAGATAATGAGAGCAAACATGTCGAACATGTCGAGAATCGGGCTATAAGATTTCCATCGAGATGCGTGAACGCCGTAGGAGATACATTACCTCGACAAACCATTAGACAACAATTTGATCGAGGGGCGTCAAACCTGCAAGTCCCAGTTAGCAATCTCCCGTCGGGGAACTTTGGGCAACTTTTTTCCAGGAGTTTCCGCAGTTCTTGCGAAGCAACATGCGGCAACTACCACCGTGCACATCTTGAAATATCAAAAAAGAGTCCAGCATCCAACGGTGCTCGCCGATGTTCAACCTTTCAAAGGTGACGAACAGTCGGTTCATCAATTAGTTTGAAGCCGCGACAGGAACGGCAGCCTTTTTTTCTCATGCCGATGCTGTTGCTGTCACTCGTAGCGAAAGCGCGAAAGCACCTGGCAGCAGTAGACCTTCATACGACCTGGAAACGAGCTGCCAGATGCGACTAGCTGCCTAGCAAACCGTTTCCATGAGTCATTAGTGGGACTGGTTCGTTCAACAGATTTTGGGCGGCAGCCGCCAGCGAGGCGGTGCTCGCCATGTTCCTGTTCTCGAAATGTCGGGAAATCCCTGCACTTGGACAGGAGCACCGACGGCTTTCACGGTGGACAGTTTTGTAGATCGCGGCAGGATAAAAACGTTCTCCCCATGACATGGCTCAGGTCCTACGTAGGCAGGATCAGGATTTCATGACGTGCGCTCAACACGAAAGCACATTCGATCAAATTTCCTGCCGTTTTCCGCCATCTCCAACCAGCTCGAGAGACACACGCGCGCCTTCCAGCCTTCACTCAGCACTCTTCATGTCGGCCTCCATTGCCGTCCGTCCGGCTGCTTGGCGAGAATTGGGCAAACTCTCCGGAGCGTGGTCTTCGAAACCCTGAACAGCTCCGCGACCGGTCATTGTGCTTGCGTCGTGGGCTGCTACCCAACAGGATGGAGTCGGCGTGCTGACTATGAACAGCCCGCCGGTGAACTCGCTTGGCACGAGCCTGGTGACCTCGTTCAAGCGCCTTGTCGGGTTTCTGGTGAAGTGGGCGGGAAGTGGGGAAAGCAGCTAATCAATCCACTGCCGCATGCTGCATTCACCGCAGAAGTGGTGACGAAGTAGGAGGTCGGGGGGGTTGCTTGCATCGCAGCTCAGGCAGGAGTTCCCGAAGCTCGTCCAGGATCCAAAGGCTCAGCTGGGGTCTGCGGTGGATGACGGACTTGTCGTCGAAGATTCAGACGCGAGGTTAGCTAGACTTAGAGTCGCATCAACTCAACAAGGGGGGGGGTTGCACACCCTGCTGCTGGCTCGCACCAACAACAGACTAGAGGCGCTGCCAGCCTTTAACATGTATTCATCGTATTCTGTAATTTATAATGCAGGTGAAAGCTATCGTGGTTACTGGCAGCGGCTCGATGTTCTCGGGTGGAGTCTTGGCTTCTCGAGTTTGCCACTCCAGGCGATGCAGGGTCTTGAGCGCCATGAAGGTATGAAGCAGCATGTAGCCATGCAGCCAGGCCAGGCTTAGCAGCTGACTCGGAAAGTTGTAGCTGGCATCGGCCCGCATGAGAAAGCCACAGACATCTCGCCGCATATTGAAAGCTGCATGATCCAAATTTCCACCATGGTCCCAGGAGCTGAGATCACCGAGCTGCTTGAACCCGCAATCAGACCTGAATTTCGCAGAAGACTTCGTGCGCACTTCGGTTTGGGGGCGAGGGCACAGCTGCTGCCTGAAGCTTTGGGAGAGTCCAGTCGAATGAGTTTGAGAGCTTTTACTCGTTAGGGTTGCCAGCTGCCGAAGACGGCGCCGTTTCCCTCGTTGCAGAGAAGCTGTTGCGATTGTTGAAGCCATCAGGTTTGCCATGATGGTGGCAATGGGTGAGGCCGAGATGAGGCCCTCAACTGCTTCAGCAACATGCTTGTTTGTGTGTGGCGCGTGCTGCCACTGGAGCGGGATGCTGCAGCAGGAAGAACAACCCCGTGGCGGCCCTGAGCGAGATGATGGACGCACGGTTGATTGGCCGATGGACCTTCCCATCCGAGAGGTTGGCAGTTGCTGCAGCGACAGATTCTGCTCAGGGGGTTGTGCTAGTGGGACGCCCCCGAGCCAAGGACACGATCGATGCCTCGCCCAAGACTGTGGTAGCAGCTCTCAACGGTCCAGCCTTGGGTGGTGGCTGCGAGGTCAGCTGTAAATTGTTTCCATCGTGCTGTCGCAAGCTCCCGGCGACCGTGAAAGCGGAAAGAGGTCGAAGTCTTGCAAGCAGAGGGGGCTGCGAGCTTTCCAGGTGAGCTTGGCGTGCCACTACCGTGTTGCGGCGCCGAAGGCATCCGTTGGCTTTCCGGAGGCCGCCGGGACAAGTGGGTCTTATCGGCATGCTCATCAGCGATCATATCTGAAGCCAGGTGAACCTGGGCTTGCTGCCGGGTGCACAGGGCACTCAGCGGCTGCCTCGCGTGGCCGCTCTCCCTGTAGCGCTGCCGATGATCTTGCAGGGACGTCCCATGAATGTGGCTCGGCTGTCGCCACGAAAGAGCCAAGCTTGCGCTTGGAAAAGTCTCTTCCGAGGCGGAAGCCGCAAAGAAGAACGGCATCATCGACGCGGTCGCCAAAGGAGATGCAACTTGGCGGATCTCTGTGTGAGAGGATGCTCGTCGGAGCAGCAGAATTCATGAAGGAAGTGGTGTGGACACAGCGTAAGTTGCAAAGCTCGGGTCTTTTTGCTGAGGTGGTGGATGAGGCTGCAGAGTTTGCGCTCACGCATCCGCCAGCCCCCATCTCCAAGCGAGAGGTGCCTAAGACCAACCGTTTCATGATGGCAGCCGGAGGCCCATGCCCGGTTGTGCCTCCGGAGACTTCGAGCTTTGTACATGTCCTGTGCATGTTCATGGATTCTTTTGCACTTGCAGGTTTGGAGGGGGCATTGAACACGGCCTTCAACGCACAGCCTTTGATGGTGGCACCTGGCGGCATCATCAAGTGTTTCGAGGCTGCCTGTTCGGGCAAGAGCTTCAGAGAGGGCGTGGCCGTCGAGATGGAGGAGTTCACGAAGCTGGCGCCTTGGCCATACCCCCCCCGCCGTGTTGACTCGAAACTGGTTTCAGTCATTCCAGCATTTCGAACCGATAGAACAACAAAATGCAACACAACTCAGATGTTTGAGCAGTGGGCAGCGGTTCTGCCTGCAGGTCTTCTCCGTGCAATCAGCCGCTCTGAGACACCTCTTCCTGGCCGAGCGCATGGCGCAGAAAGTGCCTGGCGTCAATGAGAAGCCAGCGCCGCTGAAGAAGATTGGCATTCTGGGTGCCGGACTCATGGGCGGCGGCATCGCCATGTGCTTCGTGCAGAAGGGAGTTCCGGTTGTCTTGAAGGATGCGAAGCAGGAGTGGCTGGATGATGGCATGAAGAAGATCCAGGGACTCTGGGGTGGTCAGGCCAAGAGGGGCCGATTGAGCCAGGACAAGTACAAGCAGTACATGAGCCTTCTGAAGCCGACTCTCGACTATGCCGACTTCAAGGATGTGGACATGGTCATTGAGGCGGTTCCAGAAATTATGGACCTGAAGAAGCAGGTGTTCCTCGACATTGAGAAAAACACCAAGCCGGATGCTCTGATCTGCACCAACACAAGCGGGCTGAACATCGACGATATCGCAGCAGTGCTCAAAGATCCTTCTCGTGTCATGGGAACCCACTTTTTCTCACCCGCCAACGTGATGCAGCTGCTTGAGAACGTGCGAACATCCAAGTCCAGCACCAAAACGTTGGCCACCGGAATGGTTCCCTGGCTGCATGTGGGGCAAGTTGAGGTAGCTCATCGCGATGTCTCAGCACATTTTTGTACTTGCGACACTGGAACTTAGGCCATGGGCAAGCTGATCAGCAAGAAGGCGATCATGGTGGGCAACTGTGATGGCTTCGTCGGCAACCGAATGCTTGCGCCGTATGCAGGGGAGGCGAAGATGGTCCTGGAGGAAGGCCGGACATCTGCTCGCGGGAAGACGCCGTCTTCCTTTTTCTTGTTGCTGCTGGATGAATTGCGCAAGGTGCCAGCATCGAGCAGGTCGACGCCGCGGCGCAGAAGTTCGGCAGCCCGGCGGCAGCCCAAAGAGTGCAGGCAGAGCGAAGAGGCAAGAAATGGAGACTGCTGGAAGGCATGGCCATGGGTCCGATGGCCTTGGGTGACTTGGTGGGCTTGGAGCTTTTCTGGAAGCAGCGGAAGGCCAGGCCGTAGCCGGAGCGTTCCTGAAGCCAGCTCGAGGATGCGCAAGGCTCTTCGGTAAGGTTCGCCAAGCTTTTGTCATTCAGGCGGCCGGTGACATGCAGAAGCAGACCAAGACCTACTATGGTCCGTATGAGCTCACGGACCATCTGCCAGTTCAGTTTGTTGTGACACGTTCGGAAGAGCATGACAGCCGAGCACATGAACAGCCAGCAGCCAGCCATTCAAAGAGAACAGGCGACGAGCCGTGCTGATGATGGTGGCTAATTTAGCAATCGGATATATAGGTTGTTCTTTCCAGTTTGGTTTGCAGAGATTTCCGGCGCGGCTGGCAAGCTCATGGTATAGGAGTCGAAAAAGCCGTTCGCAGGAAGACAATTCAGAGTCCCTCCCGCGACGGAGAAGAGAGCAGGAAGGCATCAAGAAAGAGACCGGATAAGGCGGATACGATGTGGAAATTTCATCTCCATTTCTGAATCTTCCAAGCGGTTTTCATCCTTGCAGCCTTCATCCCCTAGAGTTGCCAAGCAGAAACACTGAGTCCCCGTGATCCACGGCAACAATGAAAAAGACTAGCCTGAAACGATTTTCATACGAACTTCATCAGTAGAGGGGCAACAAAAGGCGAACGCAGCAACTGGTGCCAACGGTGATGATGATTTGCCAGCCTTCCGAACGGAAGCAACAACAACGCGAATCGTAAAGACCGGAACTGCGATCGCTACACGACCGAGCCCAGCAACAAGCAGCGCCCGGTCTAACGCTCATGTGAGACAGACACTGGCAAACGCAAGCTTCTTGGAATTGGGTTTCCGACCCACCTGGAACCACCCGGAACCACCCGTGCATGCCAGGACGGCTGTGATGTGCATGGTGAATACAAGCACGCATTGGAAGCCAGTTGCTTGTTGTGCAGCTTGGCCCTGGAAAGGACTGGCTGTGCGAGCAGGGCCGCTTTGGCTTGAAGACCCCCGACCCGAAGATCAAGGCAGTGGCTGCTGGTTAGAGCTTCTGTTAGGAGGCAGATGGAAGCAGGTGGAGGAGGTTCAGGTGCCAAGCCTTGCAGAGGGAGAAACCGAGGCGTCAAAGTATGCGGATGCATGCGGTTTGGAGGGAGGTTGTCGCCAGGCCAACGGCCGCGGCGTTTTCATTCACCGTGGTCGCAGCAAGGAGGTGCGGCTGTGGCCGGGCAAGGCTTGAAGCTCCGGCGGCTCTTGGGCCCAGGTGGATCCCGAGGTCGTCGCAAAGCTGGATGATGTTCGCAAGGCGAAGGGCATGACACCTCGGGCCGTTTCCGACGAGGACGGCTTCAAGCGCCGGTGCTCCGCACAAGCTGAGGCCTTTGCAGGTTGCAGTTCCATGTCGGAAGCACAGTGGTGAGTTTTGCATGCATGCGATGCCTTTTCGAGGAGATTTGCGAGAGGCTCTTCTTCTCCATGATCAACGAGGGCTTCAAGATCCTCGAGGAGATGTTGTGTCGCGTCAAGCCAGCCGTGCCCGTCGGTGTTAGCGCATTGGACAGGAAGGGTATGTGGCCCGATCCTCGGACATCGACCTGGCCTACATCTACGGCTACGGCTTCCCCCCTGCCAAGGCCGGAATCTGCACTTGGTAGACTCAAAAATCACTGTTGAGTTTCGCATCAGCACAGTCCATGATGCCCGCGTGTCGTTTGCCTCTGAAGTTGCAAAGATGTGTGGACTCAAAGCACAAACACCAGACTTGATAGGGCGGCCCCATGTTCTACGCCGAGAACTATGCCGGGTTCAAGAAGATCCTGGAGCGCGTGAAGTACTACCACGAACAGGCCAAGGTGAGCGGTGTCGCATGTGCCCATGGGATGTAGGTTGTCGTTGCGGACTGGATGTTCAGAGTTCAGATGAGCAGGCAACAGGAGGTAGTGTTGGTTGGTGGTGCTGCCGCTCTTGCGGCGGCCAGTGTCACTTAATTGCTGGTGGCTGCTGCTGCTGCTGCTGCTGCTGCTGCTGCTGCTGCTGCTACGGCTGCTGCCATGCTATTGCCGCAGCTGTCGAACGGCTGACGAAGATCTCGAGTTCAACCCCAGTGCACCACTCACGCTCGTGCGTGAGGAGCGGTTCACCAAGAACTCCAACTACCTGCCAATCGACTACTTCGAGCCCTCCAAGCTGCTGGAGGCCTGCGCGGCCAAGGAAGGCACAAAGGCCGGGCTCCCATCATCAGAGAGGGTCTCGTCCTGTCCGTGACTCGAATGCCAGGTGTTCCCCGGCCAGACACTGATCGACGTGGTGCTGGCCGACTTCCGCAAGAAGGGTTCTGCTCCTGGCCCGTTTGCAAAGCTTTGAAGAAGCTTGCGGCGAGCTGTCTTTATTTGCAGCAAAGCACCGGCGAGCACGGTTGCCCTGGGTAGAAAGAAGCTTTGCTGTTTGGAGCTAGGGCCTGCCTTTGTCACAAAATGGTTCCGGAATTTGAGGCAAGTCTGCAGATAATGAGAGCAAACATGTCGAACATGTCGAGAATCGGGCTATATAAGATTTCCATCGAGATGCGTGAACGCCGTAGGAGATACATTACCTCGACAAACCATTAGACAACAATTTGATCGAGGGGTGTCAATGCTGCAAGTCCCAGTTAGCAATCGCCCGTCGGGGGAACTTTGGGCAAATCCTCCAGGAGTTTCCGCAGTTCTTGCGAAGCAACATGCGGCAACTACCAGAGTGCACATCTTGAAATATCCAAAAAGAGTCCAACATCCAATGTGCTCGCCGATGTTCAACCTTTCGAAGGTGACGAACAGGAGGTTCATCAATTAGTTTGAAGCCGCGACAGGAACGGCAGCCTTTTTTTCTCATGCCGATGCTGTTGCTGTCACTCGTAGCGAAAGCGCGAAAGCACCTGGCAGCAGTAGACCTTCATACGACCTGGAAACGAGCTGCCAGATGCGACTAGCTGCCTAGCTGCACCGTTTCCATGAGTCATTAGTGGGACTGGTTCGTTCAACAGATTTTGGGCGGCAGCCGCCAGCGAGGCGGTGCTCGCCATGTTCCTGTTCTCGAAATGTCGGGAAATCCCTGCACTTGGACAGGAGCACCGACGGCTTTCACGGTGGACAGTTTTGTAGGTCGTGGCAGGGAAAAACGTTCTCCCCATGACATGGCTCAGGTCCTACGTAGGCAGGATCAGGATTTCATGACGTGCGCTCAACACGAAAGCACATTCGATCAAATTCGCTGCCGTTTTCCGCCATCTCCAACCAGCTCGAGAGACACACGCGCGCCTCCCAGCCTTCACTCAGCACTCTTCATGTCGGCCTCCATTGCCGTCCGTCCGGCTGCTTGGCGAGAATTGGGCAAACTCTCCGGAGCGTGGTCTTCGAAACCCTGAACAGCTCCGAGACCGGTCATTGTGCTTGCGTCGTGGGCTGCTACCCAACAGGATGGAGTCGGCGTGCTGACTATGAACAGCCCGCCGGTGAACTCGCTTGGCACGAGCCTGGTGACCTCGTTCAAGCGTCTTGTCGGGTTTCTGGTGAAGTGGGCGGGAAGTGGGGAAAGCAGCTAAGCCACTGCCCCATGCTGCATTCACCGCAGAAGTGGTGACGAAGTAGGACGTCGGGGGGGTTGCTTGCATCGCAGCTCAGGCAGGAGTTCCCGAAGCTCGTCCAGCATCCAAAGGCTCAGCTGGGGTCTGCGGTGGATGACGGACTTTCGTCGAAGATTCAGACGCGAGGTTAGCTAGACTTAGAGTCGCATCAACTCAACCAGGGGGGGTTTGCACACCCTGCTGCTGGCTAGCACCAACAACAGACTAGAGGCTGCCAGCCTTTAACATGTATTCAACGTATTCTGTAATGCAGGTGAAAGCTATCGTGGTTACTGGCAGCGGCTCGATGTTCTCGGGTGGAGTCTTGGCTTCTCGAGTTTGCCACTCCAGGCGATGCAGGGTCTTGAGCGCCATGAAGGTATGAAGCAGCATGTAGCCATGCAGCCAGGCCAGGCTTAGCAGCTGACTCGCAAAGTTGTAGCTGGCATCGGCCCGCATGAGAAAGCCACAGACATCTCGCCGCATATTGAAAGCTGCATGATCCAAATTTCCACCATGGTCCCAGGAGCTGAGATCACCGAGCTGCTTGAACCCGCAATCAGACCTGAATTTCGCAGAAGACTTCGTGCGCACTTCGGTTTGGGGGCGAGGGCACAGCTGCTGCCTGAAGCTTTGGGAGAGTCCAGTCGAATGAGTTTGAGAGCTTTTACTCGTTAGGGTTGCCAGCTGCCGAAGACGGCGCCGTTTCCCTCGTTGCAGAGAAGCTGTTGCGATTGTTGAAGCCATCAGGTTTGCCATGATGGTGGCAATGGGTGAGGCCGAGATGAGGCCCTCAACTGCTTCAGCAACATGCTTGTTTGTGTGTGGCGCGTGCTGCCACTGGAGCGGGATGCTGCAGCAGGAAGAACAACCCCGTGGCGGCCCTGAGCGAGATGATGGACGCACGGTTGATTGGCCGATGGACCTTCCCATCCGAGAGGTTGGCAGTTGCTGCAGCGACAGATTCTGCTCAGGGGGTTGTGCTAGTGGGACGCCCCCGAGCCAAGGACACGATCGATGCCTCGCCCAAGACTGTGGTAGCAGCTCTCAACGGTCCAGCCTTGGGTGGTGGCTGCGAGGTCAGCTGTAAATTGTTTCCATCGTGCTGTCGCAAGCTCCCGGCGACCGTGAAAGCGGAAAGAGGTCGAAGTCTTGCAAGCAGAGGGGGCGGCGAGCTTTCCAGGTGAGCTTGGCGTGCCACTACCGTGTTGCGGCGCCGAAGGCATCCGTTGGCTTTCCGGAGGCCGCCGGGACAAGGGGGTCTTATCGGCATGCTCATCAGCGATCATATCTGAAGCCAGGTGAACCTGGGCTTGCTGCCGGGTGCACAGGGCACTCAGCGGCTGCCTCGCGTGGCCGCTCTCCCTGTAGCGCTGCCGATGATCTTGCAGGGACGTCCCATGAATGTGGCTCGGCTGTCGCCACGAAAGAGCCAAGCTTGCGCCTGGAAAAGTCTCTTCCGAGGCAGAAGCCGCAAAGAAGAACGGCATCATCGACGCGGTCGCCAAAGGAGATGCAACTTGGCGGATCTCTGTGTGAGAGGATGCTCGTCGGAGCAGCAGAAATCATGAAGGAAGTGGTGTGGACACAGCGTAAGTTGCAAAGCTCGGGTCTTGTTGCTGAGGTGGTGGATGAGGCTGCAGAGTTTGCGCTCACGCATCCGCCAGCCCCCATCTCCAAGCGAGAGGTGCCTAAGACCAACCGTTTCATGATGGCAGCCGGAGGCCCATGCCCGGTTGTGCCTCCGGAGACTTCGAGCTTTGTACATGTCCTGTGCATGTTCATGGATTCTTTTGCACTTGCAGGTTTGGAGGGGGCATTGAACACGGCCTTCAACGCACAGCCTTTGATGGTGGCGCCTGGCGGCATCATCAAGTGTTTCGAGGCTGCCTGTTCGGGCAAGAGCTTCAGAGAGGGCGTGGCCGTCGAGATGGAGGAGTTCACGAAGCTGGCGTCTTGGCCATACCCCCCTCCGCCGTTTTGACTCGAAACTGGTTTCAGTCATTCCAGCATTTCGAACCGATAGAACAACAAAATGCAACACAACTCAGATGTTTGAGCAGTGGGCAGCGGTTCTGCCTGCAGGTCTTCTCTGTGCAATCAGCCGCTCTGAGACACCTCTTCCTGGCCGAGCGCATGGCGCAGAAAGTTCCTGGCGTCAATGAGAAGCCAGCTCCGCTGAAGAAGATCGGCATTCTGGGTGCCGGACTCATGGGCGGCGGCATCGCCATGTGCTTCGTGCAGAAGGGAATTCCTGTTGTCTTGAAGGATGCGAAGCAGGAGTGGCTGGATGATGGCATGAAGAAGATCCAGGGACTCTGGGGTGGTCAGGCCAAGAGGGGCCGATTGAGCCAGGACAAGTACAAGCAGTACATGAGCCTTCTGAAGCCGACTCTCGACTATGCCGACTTCAAGGATGTGGACATGGTCATTGAGGCGGTTCCAGAAATTATGGACCTGAAGAAGCAGGTGTTCCTCGACATTGAGAAAAACACCAAGCCGGATGCTCTGATCTGCACCAACACAAGCGGGCTGAACATCGACGATATCGCAGCAGTGCTCAAAGATCCTTCTCGTGTCATGGGAACCCACTTTTTCTCACCCGCCAACGTGATGCAGCTGCTTGAGAACGTGCGAACATCCAAGTCCAGCACCAAAACGTTGGCCACCGGAATGGTTCCCTGGCTGCATGTAGGGCAAGTTGAGGTAGCTCATCGCGATGTCTCAGCACATTTTTGTACTTGCGACACTGGAATTTAGGCCATGGGCAAGCTGATCAGCAAGAAGGCGATCATGGTGGGCAACTGCGATGGCTTCGTCGGCAACCGAATGCTTGCGCCGTATGCTGGGGAGGCGAAGATGGTCCTGGAGGAAGGCCGGACATCTGCTCGCGGGAAGACGCCGTCTTCCTTTTTCTTGTTGCTGCTGGATGAATTGCGCAAGGTGCCAGCATCGAGCAGGTCGACGCCGCGGCGCAGAAGTTCGGCAGCCCGGCGGCAGCCCAAAGAGTGCAGGCAGAGCGAAGAGGCAAGAAATGGAGACTGCTGGAAGGCATGGCCATGGGTCCGATGGCCTTGGGTGACTTGGTGGGCTTGGAGCTTTTCTGGAAGCAGCGGAAGGCCAGGCCGTAGCCGGAGCGTTCCTGAAGCCAGCTCGAGGATGCGCAAGGCTCTTCGGTAAGGTTCGCCAAGCTTTTGTCATGTCAGGCGGCCGGTGACATGCAGAAGCAGACCAAGACCTACTATGGTCCGTATGAGCTGACGGACCATCCGCGAGTTCAGTTTGTTGTGACACCTTCGGAGGGGCATGACACCTTAGCGCATGAACAGCCAGCAGCCAGCCATTCAAAGAGAACAGGCGACGAGCCGTGCTGATGATGGTGGCTAAGTTGAGCAATCGGATATATAGGTTGTTCTTTCCAGTTTGGTTTGCAGAGATTTCCGGCGCGGCTGGCAAGCTCATGGTATAGGAGTCGAAAAAGCCGTTCGCAGGAAGACAATTCAGAGTCCCTCCCGCGACTGAGAAGAGAGCAGGAAGGCATCAAGAAAGAGACCGGATAAGGCGGATACGATGTGGAAATTTCATCTCCATTTCTGAATCTTCCAAGCGGTTTTCATCCTTGCAGCCTTCATCCCCTAGAGTTGCCAAGCAGAAACACTGAGTCCCCGTGATCCACGGCAACAATGAAAAAGACTAGCCTGAAACGATTTTCATACGAACTCCATCAGTAGAGGGGCAACAAAAGGCGAACGCAGCAACTGGTGCCAACGGTGATGATGATTTGCCAGCCTTCCGAACGGAAGCAACAACAACGCGAATCGTAAAGACCGGAACTGCGATCGCTACACGACCGAGCCCAGCAACAAGCAGCGCCCGGTCTAACGCTCATGTGAGACAGACACTGGCAAACGCAAGCTTCTTGGAATTGGGTTTCCGACCCACCTGGAACCACCCGGAACCACCCGTGCATGCCAGGACGGCTGTGATGTGCATGGTGAATACAAGCACGCATTGGAAGCCAGTTGCTTGTTGTGCAGCTTGGCCCTGGAAAGGACTGGCTGTGCGAGCAGGGCCGCTTTGGCTTGAAGACCCCCGACCCGAAGATCAAGGCAGTGGCTGCTGGTTAGAGCTTCTGTTAGGAGGCAGATGGAAGCAGGTGGAGGAGGTTCAGGTGCCAAGCCTTGCAGAGGGAGAAACCGAGGCGTCAAAGTATGCGGATGCATGCGGTTTGGAGGGAGGTTGTCGCCAGGCCAACGGCCGCGGCGTTTTCATTCACCGTGGTCGCAGCAAGGAGGTGCGGCTGTGGCCGGGCAAGGCTTGAAGCTCCGGCGGCTCTTGGGCCCAGGTGGATCCCGAGGTCGTCGCAAAGCTGGATGAGGTTCGCAAGGCGAAGGGCATGACACCTCGGGCCGTTTCCGACGAGGACGGCTTCAAGCGCAGGTGCTCCGCACAAGCTGAGGCCTTTGCAGGTTGCAGTTCCATGTCGGAAGCACAGTGGTGAGTTTTGCATGCATGCGATGCCTTTTCGAGGAGATTTGCGAGAGGCTCTTCTTCTCCATGATCAACGAGGGCTTCAAGATCCTCGAGGAGATGTTGTGTCGCGTCAAGCCAGCCGTGCTCGTCGGTGTTAGCGCATCGGACAGGAAGGGTATGTGGCCCGATCCTCGGACATCGACCTGGCCTACATCTACGGCTACGGCTTCCCCCCTGCCAAGGCCGGAATCTGCACTTGGTGGAGTTAAAAATCACTGTTGACTTTCGATGCTGTGGGCGGTGCACTGATCTGCGCGTCAGGACAGTCCATGTTGCTCGCGTGTCGTTTGCCTCTGAAGTTGCAAAGATGTGTGGACTCAAAGCACAAAGACCAGACTTGATAGGGCGGCCCCATGTTCTACGCCGAGAACTATGCCGGGTTCAAGAAGATCCTGGAGCGCGTGAAGTACTACCACGAACAGACCAAGGTGAGCGGTGTCGCATGTGCCCATGGGATGTAGGTTGTCGTTGCGGACTGGATGTTCAGAGTTCAGATGAGCAGGCAACAGGAGGTAGTGTTGGTTGGTGGTGCTGCCGCTCTTGCGGCGGCCAGTGTCACTTGATTGCTGGTGGCTGCTGCTGCTGCTGCTGCTGCTGCTGCTACGGCTGCTGCCATGCTATTGCCGCAGCTGTCGAACGGCTGACGAAGATCTCGAGTTCAACCCCAGTGCACCACTCACGCTCGTGCGTGAGGAGCGGTTCACCAAGAACTCCAACTACCTGCCAATCGACTATTTCGAGCCCTCCAAGCTGCTGGAGGCCTGCGCGGCCAAGGAAGGCACAAAGGCCGGGCTCCCATCATCAGAGAGGGTCTCGTCCTGTCCGTGACTCGAATGCCAGGTGTTCCCCGGCCAGACACTGATCGACGTGGTGCTGGCCGACTTCCGCAAGAAGGGTTCTGCTCCTGGCCCGTTTGCAAAGCTTTGAAGAAGCTTGCGGCGAGCTGTCTTTATTTGCAGCAAAGCACCGGCGAGCACGGTTGCTCTGGGTGGTTTAAGCCTTGTTCTATGGAGATGTCTGATGTTGTTTTTTTATTTTCATGTGTTGCTGCAAATGGCAAACTCTGGATGTACGCAGGCTCATTTGACGTTGAACATGCCGCGTTCCATAAACGAGCTGGAAATGTTGGCGCACTTTGCCTTTGCAATACTCTTTACTCGCGGTTTCGACAGGCTGGAGAAGAGCAAGCTGTGGCGTGGCTATTGCAATCTTACGAAGCACAAGCTTGCCACAGGAGCTTGTGCTAGAAAAGTCGAAAAAAGCAAGTTTACGCATGTTTACGCCATCCCCCCTGGCCTGCGAGAGCTAGTGTTGAAAGCCTCGCCATTGCATTTCTGGTGGGGCACTGTTTTGGCAAGGGGAGTGCCTTGCTCAAACCAACACAGACGGACGGGATGCACGGCAGGGAGTTCTCAATCCTTGTTGTGGAAATTGAAAGCAAGTCCACTAATTGGTGCCCTTTGTCAGCTGGGCGGGTGGAAAAAAATTGGCGCCCTCATATGCCGAATCACAGTGTGGCCAGGAGGCTTCTGTTTCTGGTGTTCGGCTCGACACGTGTCTAAGAAAGATGCAAAGACCGAACTTCGGTGTGAAACCGTGCTCGCCGGAATGGAACTTGTCGAAAGTGACAACTTATCGATTCGTCGCCTTGTTTGAAGCCGCAACAGGAACGGCAGCATGCCCATGCTGTTGCGGTCTCTTGTTTTGGTAGGGAAAGCACCTGGCAGTCGTCAATCCGAGCCAATTCTTCGATTGATTCCATGGCACGTGCAATAATACATGCTTGTGGAGGGATTGCCAGATGCGACCATAGCCTGCACAGTTTCCATGACAGAGTCATGACAGTCTCCACAGTGGGACTCCGATTTTGGGCGGCAGCCGCCCTCGAGGTGGTGCCTGCCAAGGTTTCTGTCCTTGAGGTGTCCGGCAGTGCTGCACCTGCTGAACTAAATGCAGAGCCTCTAGAGCCATCGAGGGCCAGAATCTTTTGCGAGCTTGGACAGGAGCACCGGCCGCTTGCACAGAGGACAACCCTCTCCTGTTCGACGGTTTTGCACATCGCAGCGTAAAAAAGCGCCGGGCATGATCGATTCATATGTTTGCCTCAGATGTGGGCCAGCGTTGGCAGCGTGCGCAAAGTGTAGATGCACGGGAAAGTGTGCACTAAAGGAAATGCTATACCGGCGAGGACTTCAGATAGCTAGGGAAACTCGTAAAGAAAATTTCACGGTTTCGGGCATACTGATTTCCAGGATGCTCAGCCAGTTGGCCCTTTCTGTTTGGCTTTCCCACTGCCAGGTAGTTTGCAGCGCAACGCTGTTTTAGGCTTCCAGGGTCCTGGCTCACTCTCGTCAATTGTGGCTTGTGGCGCAATGTAAAGTCGACTCGGCCTTTCCATTCGGGTGACTCGTGTTTGTCAAAAGTCAAGAAATTCTCACCCTTGACAGTGAGAGTCGATCCACCCTTGTGCTCCTTGCGTGTCACTCTTCGCCAGTCATTCAAGACGTTTGCGCTGGCAAGGTCTTAGGGGCTTTGATTCCAGGATCGAAAGTTTCCTTTCTCCATGCCTCGATTTACTGACGTGCCGGATCAGTTTCTGGTGTGGCTCATTGACTTCCCAAGTGTGATACGTACAACCACGTGCATCTGTGCCGCACCAGTCTGCTGAAGATAGTCAACGAGCTGTGATGCAAACCAGCAGGACCACACGGAAAGCGGTGGTAAGCATGAATGGGTTTAAGTTTGGGGTCTAAGGGTTGCTGATGATGCTGGGTCCCTGATGCTCACGCTGGGTCCTTGCTCGGGATGCAAATCCCGACAGCCGCCCCCCATTTCTTGACAATCTGGATGCAATTTACCAATTGCCCTGCTTCGCAGGAGGCAAAAAATGCAACATTCCGCTCTCGGTCGAGCTCTCTTTCCGTCAGCGAGCGTGCAAGGTTACCTAAGCATCCAAGTAGAGTCTACCCACGACTGTGGACAGAAGTTTGCTCCCGCCCTTGCCAAGCTCGCTTTCCGCCGCCGTGCACGGGCTCAACAAACACCAAACCGATTCATTTGCTTGCCTCCGTCCTCATGCCAGAACTGAAAGAAGTTCCTCATGCAAATCCCGACTGGCCCCTCCAAACCCCCCCCTTCCTCTCGACAATTAATACAATGTTCCGCTCGCGGCCAGGCCCGCTTTCCGTCATCCGACACTTACCGCAACTCCAATGCGCCCAGCTCTTACACCATTCCCGACGATACAATCAGCACGCTCAAGGAATGACCGTTGCCACAGTCAAGCTGCACAATTTTCCTGCTTTGCAAATGCAATATCTTCGAAGACAAGCTTCGCAGTGCCGCACTCTCATTCAAGGCAGCACAGGATAGTCCAGTGCAGCTGCAAACCAATCCGGACAACGGTTTGCACAAGCTCCAGCGTCAAACAGTATCCGCGACTATTCGACCAATCCAGCTTGAACCTGAACCTCAATCAAGCTGTCGTCAAGCTTCACGGGATCACTTTGTCGCACATTCTTGGGAGGAACACCGGGGGCAAATCCGGCACTCAAGGCGTCGATCAACAAGCATGCTCCAACAGAAGATTCGTCATAAGTTATCCCAGGCGTCGCTCCTCGGACAGTCTTGGAGCTCTTGGGGCATTCTGATCCTGCGCCTCCGCAGTCCTGCGACGCATTCGCCTAGGAGCGCGATGCCGCATTGGAGCTCGGTTGCCTCGCGCTCCAAAAGTCTTGTGAATTCCAAGGCCGGTCTTCCAGTCGTCGTTGAACCAAGACCAGTCACCAGACCAATCACTGCCTGGCACAGTCAGATGTCTGCGCTAAAAAACTTTGAAATAGCTATACAGAATCTCCATGACTTCACTGAATGTGTTGATGTTACGAACATTCAATCGCAAATGCTGCTCAATGGGCCAGTCGTCTTCGGCATAATCAATGTGGTCAGGAGGTCACTGTTGCCAGGCGCATTCTCATGACGATACTCCAAGATGATGAAATCACTCGGATCACTCTTCAGTTGGTCAGCTTGAAGGAAATGATCTCATTCAGGAGCTTCGTAGCTCTCGCTCTTTCTGGCAATGCAAGATTTCTGTTCCTCGCGGCAGCATCAACGATCTGCGCCAGCATGTATGCCAAATGTCATGAGAACAATGGCGGTTGGTTGTTTTTGGTCCAGTCCGCGGCACATCATTCACTGGAGTCATCGGTGATCATTCTCTGGGCACCCTCGATCCATCAGTAGCTTTGCAACGAGATTGTATAATCCAACAAACACTTCATTTGATGACCAATCTTCCCACTTCTACATCTCACCGTGGTACAATGGCGGTGGGAACGGTTTGATCTCACCAGCAACGATTCCCATTCTCTTCATTCTCTTTCACTTCTTCCCTGGTCTGGGGTCGAAGCTCCGCTACCACCAGAATTAAACGATACAGTCGTGACGCTCAGTACCGATCAAGATCAATCACTTTCTCCCATACTGACACACACACACACAGGCTGATCAATCCTTTGTGCTGTCAAGCCAGTCGTGTCCAGTCATGAGCCAATGCCATTCGGCGTCAGATTCATTCACAAATGCATGTTCCCACTTCGTGGTCATTGGGGGCACACTCGAGTGTGTCTCATTGAACAAGGAGAGCAGGGGACCACAAGGCCAGGGTACCAGGAGACCAAGTAGACCAGAAGACCAACAGGCCACTCAGCAGCCAAGGCGATCCAAGGCGTGGCCGCCAGACCAAACAAAGCAATGTCTGGACCCCAGCCTCCAAGAGACACAGCTGAACTTAAAGGTTTTTTCGTCAAATTTGTTGGGTCCAAGAGTGGCCACTCCACCAGCATGCCGACTGCGTGCCGCTGCATGCCCCATCGGTCGTGCCGCACCTCCATGCCATCTGCATTCGCCGGGCCCTCTCCACTGCATGCCGCTCACCCCCTCTGCCGCGCACAAACATGGCGCGCAGCACCTGCACGCCACCTGCATGCCCGCCTTCAGCGAAAAAATCGCCGTTGATGCTATTGAAGCTCAAGGTCAAGATCCGAAGCCCTCGAAAAATGTCTCCACTCATAGACTTGCTTCTTCTGTAGGTATTTTGTCGCGTCGAGGAAAGTTGGGTACCTTCAAGCTCGAACCCTGCGTGCAGCTGCACTCCTCAGGCATGCCGCTGTTATGAGCCGGCCGTGAATGAACCGGACCCTTGCGCTGACTGTGGCCATAGCGCGCCCCACTTGCATGCCGACTGCATGCCGCTGTGCCCCCTCCACCTGCCACGGACATGGCACGTGCCAATTGCATACTCTGCGGCCTGCACCGACTGACAACCGTAACCCTAGGCCCTAGCCAAAGCCATCTGGGTGAAATTATGAGAGGTGAACACGCCTAGGGCAGCACGCTGCAGGCTAGATCACCCTGTGTGGAAAGCTTTGTATCACGTTTGCTCAACTTGCTCAATGTCGACCGCTAAGGCGAGCAAAGGTCAAGCGCACCGCGCGGCAGCGTGCAATGAGAGACCGTCTTCCCCTTAGCTCAGCCTTACAGATCTGGAACGCAATCAAGCCCTCTATGGGGCTAAGTGGATGCTTGAGGTAAGAAGCAAACCTGGGATCCGAAACTCGTCATGGAGACCTTGGCAGACTTCAAAAAGTGCGGAAGCCTGGAATGGCAGTCGCGGTTGAAAGGCTTGCAGCTCCTCCACACCTAGGCACCTACGACGCACGTACGGGAGCTACTTGCGAGCCTGGCGGCTGGTCCTGAGCCCCAACGACTTAGCTCCCTGGACTTCTTGGAGCCAGAGTCTGCTGACCCTCGTCTCGAATGCAGTGTCGTGATTGACAGCTGACGAGATCCTGTGGCAATTTGAGAGCTTGCTGCAAGTCGTTCTCGACCAAGTCAAACGAGATGCAGAGCGGCAGCTTGTGAAACCGGGTGGTGCCTGCAAACCAGCTCTCTTCGACAAGGAATGAAGACAAGGACCTGATTGAACATTCTGTCGTAGCTTTCGCAGTGCACTTGCATCGTACTTGTGCTTTGCAAGAGTTTCCATAGATTCGATGGGGTCCAATTTTTCCCAGCCTGTGCAGGACTCGTCCTCCAGAGGGGCTCGCGCTGAGTTGAACCAGCGACACAAGAAGCGAAGCCAGTGATCAGAAATTCGATGCATTGCGGCCGTCTGTTGCATCACTCAAAGCATGGCATCAGCTTTCTATGGTCTCATCTTCCGCGGCTTTTGTGGATCAATGGCTGTAGGGCCTGGATGATGTGTAGCTGTGCGCGCCCAGGCCTTCGATTGTCTGGTTCAGTGTCGCACCCGGTTCACCAGATGGCAAGTTGCCAAAGTTTCGGCCCCTGAGGATGACAAGGCAGGTGCAGCACCGCCAAGTGTGTCGCGGCTGCACCGCTGCCTTTGCAAGTCTTGGCGTTGTCTTGAGCTCACCCAGCCTCCCTACCTCAACGGACAATCAGCTACGTCAGATCATCGTTTCCTCACAAACACCGGCCGAAAAATTCACAACTCAGATCGTGCTGACGAGGTTAGCGGCTTCACGTTCTGTCTTTTTTCCGCAGTTTGACTTTCTCATGCGTGCTGTTTCCGTTATGCACTGTTATGCATCTCTCCGGTTTCAGTTGAGCAATAACCCTGCTCGTCTTTGCTACCACGTACTGCGACGCAAAGCCCTCAGTGGCTCTGACCACCGGAAGTGCTAGCATCATTTGGCGCCTGTCTTTGTAGTTTAAATTGTGGTCGCTGTTATTGTTAATGCCAAGATATGGACGAGGCAAGCTCTATAAAATCACGAGTGCATAGACGCGCCGCTGCTGCCTCAGGGTGCACTGCTCCTCCGGCAGACTGGACAAGGCCAAGGTTTCTGTTGAGTATGTATGTTAATATGGGAAGACGGCACTTCCCGTGCTGTTCAGCCTCTTACCTTGCAGTTTCCAGGGTGCTGGGCATGGCAGATGACGAAAGCTCTGCAGGCAGGGCGGCGCTCCAAGAATTTGCGGCACGCAGGATTTGAGGCTGTTCACCGGTGTCAGTCTGCAGAAGTTGCAGGCTCCGAGAGCGAAGTTTCCTCCAACGGCGAAGAAATCGAACACGATGAGGTGTGCGGCAGGGGGTCCAGTGTTTTGCAAGACAAACCGAGCAGCAAGTCTCCCAGCGTAGACAACGCAAGCACTCCTCCGATGATTTGGCAGGCCGTCGAAGGCCGCCGGCAGGCACGAATGCTGCGAAAAGTTCTTACTCGCTTGGAGGGCCACTTGCCTTTGATCGAAGAGACTCTGTTTCCAAGTCGCCGAACGGCCCAGACAAGTGAGCCTGGAATAAGGATCGGTCCTGCAGCCTGGACGCAGAGAGCATCTGTCGTCTGCTGTCCTTGTCTCGCTGTGTGCAGAGACAAGAGCGGAGAGTGTTCCGGCCCTCCAGTTCGGCTAAAGTCAAGACCAATGTATTTCCCGAGGAGAGAATAATTCGCTCTTGCAAAGTTAGTTTCGAAGTCGGAAACTCGGTTGTTTTGGACAAGGAGCAACAGAACTCTCGTTGCAATGCCTAGACACGTTTGTTTGAATTGCTCTTCGCGAAGCCCGAAAGTAGTCTCGTAGGCACGAACCTATTTCCACGAGTTTGGGTAGGGAGAAACTGCGACGACGACAGACGAATCTTGCAAATGTGGTGCATGAGATTATCAGCTCCTTGCTTTCTTGTACATCTTCGGTTGTGGTTGTCAGACTGGCAATGGTTTCCTTACGTCTATTTTAATGTCATCAGCCCCGCCTTGCCCCTAAGGCGACAGCAATGTGCAGCATTAGTCATATCAGTCCTTCTTTCAATTTGAAGACCACTGCTTTCCCATAAGGCAAGAGTAGCCCCGCCCAACAATCATGAGCCCACTACGTCTTTTGAATCTGCTGGACAAGCCCCTCGAAAAGCTCAAGGCACATCTCAAAGCGTTTCCCTTTTGAAGGTGCCAGTATTGCAAAATATCGGCTTTCTCTCTGAAGTTTGCAGTTGTGGGAGTGGTTTGTGTGAGTTTTATTAATTCAGTTTCACACGCCCACTTTGGCGGATAAGGCGAACACGGTCTGCAGCTTCCTCCATGAACCATTTTCGAATCATTCCTCCCGCTCGAATTCATTGCGAATACTTGAGCGATTTTATGTTAAGTTTTCGGTTGTGGGATTGGTTGCGTCTTCTTGTTGCTTCAACTCCACATTCTCACAAGGCGACGACGTGTGCAGCTTCTCTGAAGATTTGCAGGCGACTGCTCAAACGGCTGCCAGGGTTTAAAGCAACTCCCTCCGCCCCTCCTAACACCCCGGTGCTTGTTCCCCGGCAAAAAGACTCTCCTGCCCCGGAGTTTGTGTTTTTGCTTTTTTGCTGGACTCTGCCTTGAGCGGGTGTCTGCTCTGAGGAGGGCTTGGCGCAAGGCCTTCGATGCCGAGGGCGATGGCCGCATCAACGAGCCTCGCACTGAGCACGGTTGTGACTCCGTGCCTGCACTCGCCACGAACTGGCTTCAGCAGAACGAGACGGCCAACAAACATTGGCGGCTCCGCCGATAGAGTTGAGGTGCTGGCGGCACGTTCTTGATGATTTTTGTCCTTTGCCCTCCCATCATCACTTGCCGAGGTTCCAATTCGTGCGGCTCTGTCGACAGGTCAAATTCTTAGGCCACGGGTCGGCCTTCTTGATTTTGGGTTTGCTTGCCCTTGGCCGAGTTCGTTTGAACATTCCCCTCACTTGACAAGAAAACATGTTTCGCCACTGCCCGGCCATGCCCGCTCCGAGCGTTGACTGTGGCAACGAGTTATCTTCTGCTTCTTGCAGTACCAGAAGTACCACCAACCACCACGCACTACCATGCACCACCACGTTCCACGATGGGAACGACCACCACGGAACGGGTGCCTGCACAGGTGATCCATGCCTGGTCTTCCGTTTCTTGGACGATGACAGCTCAGGCGTTGGGTTCACATCCGTGGAAATAGGATTCAAGCGATTCAAGCGTGAAGCGTCGGTGGAAGGTGAGCTTACGCTGGAAGAAGTCCATAAGGAGCAGAACGACCTTTGGGCACCTGAGCCTGACACGAAGCAATAGGATTTTCATGTTTCATGCTCAGGCACTTTCTGCAACTGGCGCGATGTTCTAGATTGTAAGCCCGAATTTGCAGTTTGGCCCCCGGAAAGAATGGCGCGCCCAATCTTGACATCCATGCTCACGATCTCGGTCAGCACTTTGCATCTAACTTCTCCCAAGGCGGCTTTTGTTGATTTTTGTGCAGAGAACTTCGCCGGATCACTGGACATGATCCAGCAACTTGGCAGCTGGCGGCAGCACAAGTGGACGTTGTTGTGTTGACTGCCTTTCGCGCCTTTGGTGGACCAGTTTTCTGCGGCGAAGGAAGCTGAACGGTGCCGGCGAGCGGAGAGTCAGCTCAAAGCATTTTCAAGAAGGTCTGCACCGATATGGATGGACAGGCAGACTGACATCAAGGGTTCGTGCATGCTGAAGTTGTCGTTTCGTTTGCTGTACCTTCGGACTCGCCTCCCGAACATCACATTCGCAATTCTCAAATGGCTGGGAAAGAGCAAGGTTTCAACTCTCAACTGATTTGTGATAAGCTGTTAACCGCTGGCTCAGCGAAAAGGATGGGGTGTTTCTACGTGGGGTTCAACGTTTGCGCTATGATAAGCATGCTTCTCGTGCATTCGGGCGGGTTGAGACTTGTGTCACTGGCCACGGAGGCATTCTCTCGCGTACTTGAGGCAAGTGATAAAGCCAAGCGTCAAGAGCGCGTCAAGAGCGACGGAAGCTTCAGGTGGTGGGAGGTCTGTAGCACCTCAAGAACCAGGCGAAAATGCTGCAGACAGAACTTCACAGCACACACCAAGATTCAGTCTCGCCGAGTGCAACGCAGACTCCGTGAACTTCAAAAACTTGGGTGAGGCGCCAAATTCCAGACAAAAACACAGCATGACCTTTTGTGCTGAATGGCCTGCCACCTTGACGTTGGCCCCTTCCCCGTGGCGGATGTTCAGCCCAAGGAGAATAACTCAGAAAGTTTATGCCGGAGCGTAAAAAACATGAACCAACCAAACACGACAATTTCTTGGCATAGTTTGGCTTCGACCGCGGAGCTCCTGCAGTAGATCGGTCTCAACCCGATGAGGCGGTTACGAGCTCCTCCTTTTCGATGCAGTTGATCTTGGAGGCTTGCGTCCGCTCATGTTCACAAAGCCCGACTCAACGTGTGTGCTTATGTCCACGTCAGGCGATGGATTTATCGAGTCTGGGGACTTGAAGTGGTTGGACATTCAGCAGAAGCCTGCACCTAAACTGTTGAGTCCTACCTGTCTATTGGTCGGTGTGACAAATTTCGCATGCATACTAGATTCGCCACGCGTTTCTTCACTTGGGCTCCAGCCAGCCCAAGAAACACACGCTCTTTCAAGCCTTGTGTTGCCATCATCATGTCGGCCTCCATTTCCGTCCGTCCGGCTGCTTGGTGAAAATTTGGCAAACTCCCCGGAGCGTGGTGTTCGAAGCCTGAACAACTTTTGAGACTTACAATTGTGATTGCGTCCTGAACTACTCTGAGATGACTTATGTCCGTGCTGGCAACAGGATGGAGTCGGCGTCCTGACTATGAACAGCCCGCCAGTGAACTCGCTTGGCACGAGCTTGGTGACCTCGTTCAAGCGCTTGGTCTGGATTTAGTGCAGAAGTGACGACGAAGTGGGATGTTCAGGCGGATGCTTGCCTCGCAGCTCAGGCAGGAATTCCCGAAACTCGTCCAGGATCCGAAGGCTCAGCCGGGGTTTGCGACGGACTTGTCGCAGAAGGTTCCGATGTGAGGCCAGCTTATGTACAGTCGCGTCAATTCGAGAAGTGAAGTGCTGCACACCCTGATCCTTTACAAGCGAGGGAACGCAAATCGCTCGCATCAGCGATGCTATCAGTCTCGAATCCGTGTTGTGTCATGCAGGTAAAAGCTATAGTGGTCACCGGCAGCGGCTCGATGTTCTCGGGTGGAGTCTTGGCTTTTTGAGTTTGCTACTCCAGGTGATGCAGTTGCCTGCCCCATGAAGCGATAAAGCACATCCAGTCCTTGTGCGGTGTAGCCACGCTGGGCTCGGAGATGCGCAAAGGTGCTAGGCGGATGTAGACGGAGCTGGGGTCGTCAATGAGAAAGCCACAGTTAGTTCCGCATTGCTAGCATTGCCATGGCCGACCTCAGGTGCTGAGATCACCGAGCTTCTTGAAGCGGCAATCAGAAATGCAGAGCAAGCATCAGATGTTGGGCTTTGTTTGCATTTTGTGGCGAGTGGCGACGACAGCAGGCAGTTGCAAACAGATTTTGTAACAACCGCGCACCTTCAACCACTAGAAATGCGAGCTGCTGAAGACGGCACTATTTCCTCCTTCACACCGTTCGATTGTTGAAGCAATCAGGTTTGCCATGATGGTGGCAATGGGTGAAGCCGAGATGAGGCCCTCAACTTATGCGTGATTGGGGTGAAAGCAACATGCTTGCTTGCGTGTGGCGCGTGCTGCCACTGGAGCGGGATGCTGCAGCAGGAAGAACAATCCCGTGGCGGCCCTGAGCGAGATGATGGATGCACGGTTGATTGGCCGATGGACCTTCCCATCCGAGAGGTTGGCAGTTGCTGCAGCGACAGATTCTGCTCAGGGGGTGTGCTAGTGGGACGCCCCCGAGCCAAGGACACGATCGATGCCTCGCCCAAGACTGTGGTAGCAGCTCTCAACGGTCCAGCCTTGGGTGGTGGCTGCGAGGTCAGCTCTAAATTATTTCCATCGTGCTGTCGAGTCTTTCGAGTCGTGTCAAGCTCTCGGCGACCGTGAAAGCGGAAAGAGGGCTAAGTCTTGCAAGCAGAGGGGGTGGCGAGCTTTCCAGGTGAGCTTGGCGTGCCACTACCGTGTTGCGGCGCCAAAGGCATCCGTTGGCTTTCCGGAGGCCGCCGGGACAAGTGGGTCTAATTCCGGCATGCTCATCAGCGATCATATCTGAAGCCAGGTGAACCTGGGCTTGCTGCCGGGTGCACAGGGCACTCAGCGGCTGCCTCGCGTGGCCGCTCTCCCTGTAGCGCTGCCGATGATCTTGCAGGGACGTCCCATGAATGTGGCTCGGCTGTCGCCACGAAAGAGCCAAGCTTGCGCCTGGAAAAGTCTCTTCCGAGGCGGAAGCCGCAAAGAAGAACGGCATCATCGACGCGGTCGCCAAAGGAGATGCAACTTGGCGGATCTCTGTGTGAGAGGATGCTCGTCGGAGCAGCAGAAATCATGAAGGAAACGTTGTGGGCACAACGTAAGTTGCAAAGCTCGGGTCTTGCTGCTGAGGTGGTGGATGAGGCTGCAGAGTTTGCGCTCACGCATCCGCCAGCCCCCATCTCCAAGCGAGAGGTGCCTAAGACCAACCGTTTCATGATGGCAGCCGGAGGCCCATGCCCGGTTGTGCCTCCGGAGACTTAGAGCTTTGTACATGTCCTGTGCATGTTGATGGATTCTTTTGCACTTGCAGGTTTGGAGGGGGCATTGAACACGGCCTTCAATGCACAGCCTTTGATGGTGGCGCCTGGCGGCATCATCAAGTGTTTCGAGGCTGCGTGTTCGGGCAAGAGCTTCAGAGAGGGCGTGGCCGTCGAGATGGAGGAGTTCACGAAGCTGGCGCCTTGGCCATACCCCCCCGCCGTTTTGACTCGAAACTGGTTTCGGCCATTCCAGCATTTCGAACCGTTAGAACAACAAAATACAACATCCAACTCAGATGTTTGAGCAGTGGGCAGCGGTTCTGTCTGCAGGTCTTCTCGGTGCAATCAGCCGCTCTGAGACACCTCTTCCTGGCCGAGCGCATGGCACAGAAAGTGCCTGGCGTCAATGAGAAGCCAGCTCCGCTGAAGAAGATCGGCATTCTGGGTGCCGGACTCATGGGCGGCGGCATCGCCATGTGCTTCGTGCAGAAGGGAGTTCCGGTTGTCTTGAAGGATGCGAAGCAGGAGTGGCTGGATGATGGCATGAAGAAGATCCAGGGACTCTGGGGTGGTCAGGCCAAGAGGGGCCGATTGAGCCAGGACAAGTACAAGCAGTACATGAGCCTTCTGAAGCCGACTCTCGACTATGCCGACTTCAAGGATGTGGACATGGTCATTGAGGCGGTTCCAGAAATTATGGACCTGAAGAAGCAGGTTTTCCTCGACATTGAGAAAAACACCAAGCCGGACGCTCTGATCTGCACCAACACAAGCGGGCTGAACATCGATGATATCGCAGCAGTGCTCAAAGATCCTTCTCGTGTCATGGGAACCCACTTCTTCTCACCCGCCAATGTGATGCAGCTGCTTGAGAACGTGCGAACATCGAAGTCTAGCACCAAAACGCTGGCCACTGGAATGGTTCCCTGGCTGCATGTGGGGCAAGTTGAGGTAGCGCCTCGCGATGTGTCAGCACATTTCTGTACTTACGACACTGGAACTTAGGCCATGGGCAAGCTGATCAGCAAGAAGGCGATCATGGTGGGCAACTGTGATGGCTTCGTGGGCAACCGAATGATTGCGCCGTATGCTGGGGAGGCGAAGATGGTCCTGGAGGAAGGCCGGACATCTGCCCGTGGGAAGACGCCTTCTTCCTTTTTCTTGTTGCTGCTGGATGAATTGCGCAAGGTGCCAGCATCGAGCAGGTCGACGCCGCGGCGCAGAAGTTCGGCAGCCCGGCGGCAGCCCAAAGAGTGCAGGCAGAGCGAAGAGGCAAGAAATGGAGACTGCTGGAAGGCATGGCCATGGGTCCGATGGCCTTGGGTGACTTGGTGGGCTTGGAGCTTTTCTGGAAGCAGCGGAAGGCCAGGCCGTAGCCGGAGCGTTCCTGAAGCCAGCTCGAGGATGCGCAAGGCTCTTCGGTAAGGTTCGCCAAGCTTTTGTCATGTCAGGCGGCCGGTGACATGAAGAAGCAGACCAAGACCTACTATGGTCCGTATGAGCTGACGGACCATCCGCGAGTTCAGTTTGTTGTGACACCTTCGGAGGGGCATGACACCTTAGCACATGAACAGCCAGCGGCCAGCCAAGTAACGGACGAGTGCGGGTCGTCTGTGGCGAGAGTCAATCCTACTGCAAACAGTGTGGCGGAAATAGCGTCCGGCGAGCATACTTGCGATTCTGTGCAAATGGCAACAGGTTGCCATCATTTTTGTAGTCGAATTTCTCGATATGTCTAAAACTCCATTCACGGCCACGCCATTCGGTCTCCCGGCTTCGTTCGTATGGTCCAGCAGTAAATGATTCTGGCTATGATGCTTTCAAAGCCTTGGAAGTAAGTACCTAGAGTCTTGGTAGGGCCACCATGATGCTTCTTGGCGGCTTCGTTCTGTGGTCTGCTTCGGCATGTCCTTGCCGCCGCCGCAGTCCCATGTGTTTCCTGGAAACAGTGCGCATTTGGGCTGTAAGTCCTGCTTCCGCCTCCACGAATCGTCGAGCCCCCGCCGCAGCTTTGCCGGTGCTGGTTGTGGTCCTGGCGGTCGTCCGCGATCGTCCTGGTATATTCGCAGTTTGCATGGTGTCTGCTCTTTCGCGATGTCTCTGTTTGGGAGTCTCTGCTTCATGGCTTCTTGACCGGTGCGCATTGCGACATGGAGTCGGGTTGGTAGCCTGCGTCTGCGCGGGGTGAATACAAGCACGAAAGGACTGGCTGTGCGAGCAGGGCCGCTTTGGCTTGAAGACCCCCGACCCGAAGATCAAGGCAGTGGCTGCTGGTTAGAGCTTCTGTTAGGAGGCAGATGGAAGCAGGTGGAGGAGGTTCAGGTGCCAAGCCTTGCAGAGGGAGAAACCGAGGCGTCAAAGTATGCGGATGCATGCGGTTTGGAGGGAGGTTGTCGCCAGGCCAACGGCCGCGGCGTTTTCATTCACCGTGGTCGCAGCAAGGAGGTGCGGCTGTGGCCGGGCAAGGCTTGAAGCTCCGGCGGCTCTTGGGCCCAGGTGGATCCCGAGGTCGTCGCAAAGCTGGATGAGGTTCGCAAGGCGAAGGGCATGACACCTCGGGCCGTTTCCGACGAGGACGGCTTCAAGCGCAGGTGCTCTGCACAAGCTGAGGCCTTTGCAGGTTGCAGTTCCATGTCGGAAGCACAGTGGTGAGTTTTGCATGCGATGCCTTTTCGAGGAGATTTGCGAGAGGCTCTTCTTCTCCATGATCAACGAGGGCTTCAAGATCCTCGAGGAGATGTTGTGTCGCGTCAAGCCAGCCGCGCTCGTCGGCGGTAGCGCATCGGACAGGAAGGGTATGTGGCCCGATCCTCGGACATCGACCTGGCCTACATCTACGGCTACGGCTTCCCCCCTGCCAAGGCCGGAATCTGCACTTGGTGGAGTCAAAAATCACTGTCGAGTTTCGATGCTGTGGTCGCTGCACTGATCTGCGCGTCAGGACAGTCCATGTTGCCCGCGTGTCGTTTGCCTCTGAAGTTGCAAAGATGTGTGGACTCAAAGCACAAAGACCAGACTTGATAGGGCGGCCCCATGTTCTACGCCGAGAACTATGCCGGGTTCAAGAAGATCCTGGAGCGCGTGAAGTACTACCACGAACAGGCCAAGGTGAGCGGTGTCGCATGTGCCCATGGGATGTAGGTTGTCGTCGGGAATGAGCAAGCAACGGGAGGTAGTGTTGGTTGGTGTCACTTGATTGCTGGCTGCTGCTGCTGCTGCTGCGGCTGCCGCCATGCCATTGCCGCAGCTGTCCAACGGGTGACGAAGATCTCGAGTTCAATCCAGTGCACCACTCACGCTCGTGCGAGAGGAGCGGTTCACCAAGAACTCCAACTACCTGCCAATCGACTATTTCGAGCCCTCCAAGCTGCTGGAGGCCTGCGCGGCCAAGGAAGGCACAAAGGCCGGGCTGCCATCATCAGAGAGGGTCTCGTCCTGTCCGTGACTCGAATGCCAGGTGTTCCCCGGCCAGACACTGATCGACGTGGTGCTGGCCGACTTCCGCAAGAAGGGTTCTGCTCCTGGCCCGTTTGCAAAGCTTTGAAGAAGCTTGCGGCGAGCTTTCTTGATTTGCAGCAAAGCACCGGCGAGCACGGTTGCTCTGGGTCGTTTAAGCCTTGTTCTATGGAGATGTCTGAAGTGTTTTTTCTGTTGACTTGCTGCCGCAAGTGGTATACTCTGGATCGGTTGCGCTAGGTAGAAAGCTTTACGATCTGAAGCTATGTTTGCATGTTGTTTCTTTGCTGTTTGTTGCCGGGAGTATTGTTGCTAACGAATCTAATGTGCAGGTCAGGCCAAAATTGGAGAGTTTCGCTACACTGGAGAAGAGCAACCCTGTGGCGGGATATTCAACTTTTCTGGATCATAGGCTTGCGATGGCAGCTTCTTGCGGTAATGGGCTTGATTGACAGCTATGTTTGTGGCATCCCGCCCTGCATATGATTCAGACCCCGGATGCCCTAAGCGGGATGCGGGAGCCGCTCAGGAGCCTTTCTCAGATTCTGTGTGCCGTGGGACACTGCTGTCTAGCGATAAAAGACCCCCCTCGGTGTGAAACCGTGCTCGCCAGAATGGAACTTGTCGAAAGTGACAACTTATCGATTCGTCGCCTTGTTTGAAGCCGCAACAGGAACGGCAGCATGCCCATGCTGTTGCGGTCTCTTGTTTTGGTAGGGAAAGCACCTGGCAGTCGTCAATCCGAGCCAATTCTTCGATTGATTCCATGGCACGTGCAATAATACATGCTTGTGGAGGGATTGCCAGATGCGACCATAGCCTGCACAGTTTCCATGACAGAGTCATGACAGTCTCCACAGTGGGACTCCGATTTTGGGCGGCAGCCGCCCTCGAGGTGGTGCCTGCCAAGGTTTCTGTCCTTGAGGTGTCCGGCAGTGCTGCACCTGCTGAACTAAATGCAGAGCCTCTAGAGCCATCGAGGGCCAGAATCTTTTGCGAGCTTGGACAGGAGCACCGGCCGCTTGCACAGAGGACAACCCTCTCCTGTTCGACGGTTTTGCACATCGCAGCGTAAAAAAGCGCCGGGCATGATCGATTCATATGTTTGCCTTCGCTCTAGACCCATAGGACAGCGTAGGCATCAGTGTAGCTGTGCCGGAAAGGGTATGTTGAAGGAAAGATGTGCAGTCTGAAGGGCGGACACACCTAGGGCAGCACGCTGCAGGCTAGATCACCCTGTGTGGAAAGCTTTGTATCACGTTTGCTCAACTTGCTCAATGTCGACCGCTAAGGCGAGCAAAGGTCAAGCGCACCGCGCGGCAGCGTGCAATGAGAGACCGTCTTCCCCTTAGCTCAGCCTTACAGATCTGGAACGCAATCAAGCCCTCTATGGGGCTAAGTGGATGCTTGAGGTAAGAAGCAAACCTGGGATCCGAAACTCGTCATGGAGACCTTGGCAGACTTCAAAAAGTGCGGAAGCCTGGAATGGCAGTCGCGGTTGAAAGGCTTGCAGCTCCTCCACACCTAGGCACCTACGACGCACGTACGGGAGCTACTTGCGAGCCTGGCGGCTGGTCCTGAGCCCCAACGACTCAGCCACTTGGGCGGAGTGTCTAAGAGTCATATAGGCATGCAGGCATCGCGCTTCGCTTCGCTTCGCCAGTACGTGCGCCATCCTTCGGCAGGTGACGGTGTCCCGCACGCAGTTCCTGACCGCCTGCTCGGCTCTGGGATTCAAGGCGGAGCCGGCACGGCACACGGCACTTCAAGGGCCCCCAAGCAGCCAAGCAGCGTTCGCTTTCGCTTGAAGGATGCTGGCAAAGTTCTCTGGCGCGCCTTTGGAAGGGACAGGGCCAGTTCAGACGAATCGCGCAGATCATCGCAAGAGCCGTTGTCCTCCCAAGAAATTCCGATCTCAAGTGCGACCACAACTCGGGAACAGCGTCAGGACGAGCTGAGCCCCATCTCGCTGGACTTCTTGGATCCGGAGTCTGCTGAGCCTTGCATGAATGAGAGCCGAGAGCATACAGTTTTTGGTGAGCAACAACCATTGTTCCTTGGAGCTCTGTTGCGGTTCACGTCAGCTTAGGAAGTGCTGGCGCATTTCCAGCAACCTGTCGCAATCGGTTATCTGCGCGAGTTCGGGCTAAGCACCCGCGGGATGAATCTAGCATCATTTTTCTGTGCAGACTTAAGGCAGCTTGTTCAGCAGCTGGGTGGCGTAAGCGCTGCTTTCCGTGTCTTCGACAAGAAGGATGTCGCTGGGACCTCTTGTTTGTACATTGTTTTTCTCCGCCGTTTGTTCTCTGCTGCTGCCTGCTTCCCTCAAGGTGCTAAGCTTGCATGCTTGCTGCTAGCTAGGCTCAGACTCATGTTGAAGCGACTCAGATGCTGCCAGATTTTTATTTGTTCTACTGCGGATATATGGAGCGAGGTGAAGCGAATAAAGATGCCAGAGTTCATCTCCACTCTGAATTCTCTGGATTCTCGATTGCAATCGGACAGCTGTGTGCAGCATAGGTTGCCCCTGTATGGCACATCCCAGCACAGCCACAGTGAAGACCTCAGCGAGCATGTGGTGACCCACGTATCCAAGGATGCATCCTTGCCAGCCACTTGGATGTGCAATGAGTGTTGCAGGCAGGTTCTGACAATCTAGTGTTGCCTAGCACTAGCACCAAAACAAACAATGGCACATGACCCATGAGCATGCCGAGGCAAAGCAGTTGTTCTACGGCTTGGACACGGATGCAAATGGTCGGCTGGAAATTGAGGACTTCAAATTTTTGGAGAAGCATCCCTGCTCATTCATTCCTCTAGGGGTCCTCAAGGACTGCACCGTCCGTGAACAATGAGTTTGAATTCATGTTGAGCTTAGTAAGAGTTCTCCGGCACGGGCTACCTTGGTTCGGGGACAGAACTGCTGGCGCGAGAGCGGGTATCTGACTTTGATTATGTCCCAGCGAAAGAGAGATCGTTGATTAGTCGTGGCAAGTGTTCGTCCGGGTCTCCGACTGCCAAGGTGGAAGCTTCCAGAGTTTCTCATCGCAAGTCCCAGCGAAGAGGCCAAGGAGGAGGTCAAGCGAGACCTACTCGTGACCTACAAGACCTACTTGACTCTCGCCTCCACCAAAATCACCAAAGCCAGCAGAGGTCCACCATGGCCCTACATCAGAAACGTTTAGGTGCTCGTGCCACGGCATCCTGCATCTGGGTGCTGCAGTCATGAAATCTAACCTGTCCGGTCAAGGAAAGCTTGGCGACTGGCCCTTGATGAAAACAACTCCAACAGGTTCGCCCCTGGTCCCAGCAGTCTTTTCAAGCAGACTGGTTGTTTAAAGTCGGCTTGTTTTAAGGCTTTAAGACAGGGGCCAGAGCTTGTAGGTGCACGTGGCCGGAGTTCCAATCCGCGTGCCGGAAAGTGAACTTCACAGGTGTGGGCCCGGCATCAGTATTACACACAGGGCTTGGTACCGTGCTCTGAGAGGTGATGTCGCAGGGGCTTGGCGTGCTTTGGACACCGACCTCTCGGGGAGCATCACCCTTCAGGAGACTGCGACACCTCTCCTGATGCTCTCTTGCTGGGACTGGCAAGCCGTCGTTCAGCCAATACTGCAGTGAGATAGCAGGCCTAGAAGACCTCCTTTGCATCGGATTGGCAGAGGCCCTGAGCTCGGCTTCCCCCGACAGGAAGTCGACTACGAATCCTCTGCCACGTTGGCCACTTTCAAGAAATGGGCAGATGAAAACTTCGGCAGGGCACCAAGGGCCTCTGCAAGCGTGCAGGGATGTAGCGGTGCCAGCACTGTGAGAGGTGGAATTCGATCAGCTTTCATGGTCTTTGACAGCGATGGGTCGAATGGCGTCACACTCCGGGAGCCTTGGAGCAAAGGTCCAGGAGCCTTCGCCATTCAATCGCTCGACCGAGCTGAGGAATGGCGCCATGCTTGCCGGATTTATGGATCCTCAGACTTAATGTGCTAAGATGTGTTAAGTCTGCTGAGTGCTGTGCATTGAAGCTTGAGGGGTGCCGACTTTGGCCATGTTCCTGAGGCTTCCACCAGGGTGCCTCCAGCCTTTTCAAGCAGCTCGACGCTGAGGGTGTGGGCTCCCTGTCGCTGGACCAGGCGGGATCTTGGACAGAATTTTTTCAACTCGTCGTCAACGGTGCGTTCTCTTGTTGGCCAGCACCAAAGTCGCTAGAGTGCGCTGCATCTCGGGCAGACCGGGTCCCTACGGTTTGGATTGACAGGTTGCATTCCTGGATGATTGGGACTTTCAGCCGGAAAAGACAGCGATGTCCACAACACCTTCGCAGCACTTGCCGGCACGGACAGAGCGGATGCTGGTCTGGCAATTTGCAAGTGCAGAGCGCCAAGAGGTCCCGCAAGAACGGCAGGTTCATTGCTTTTGACAGAGAAAGAGAGCCCGACGAAGCAGCTGTGGCAGCCGAGGAAAGTCGCTCCTGGCGGCTTTTCACAGCCACAAAGCCCTGCGGCAGCTGGTGCGAAGCACAAAATCTTGCGTCGGCCACAAGGCTCAAACTCGAAACCCTCTAACTGAGGGCTGCAATGGAAGAAAGTCCTTTGGGCCTGTGCGGTAGTGCCGTGCGCACCCCACCATCTCTGACCAGGGCTGGCGCTTCCCAGCCGAGTGGTTTGGGGCGAGCTTCCGTGCAAGCGCCCGCGGCCTCCACCGCGCGGGCCAGGAACGGGCCTGCCACGGGCGCGACTTGGCACCTTCTACATAACACTGCAATGCGAAATCTTGCGGACAGCGCGTGTAGTTGAGGTGGTGTTGCAAATGCCGTGCCCGTGGCCCATGCCGCCACTTTGCTCGTGCAGACGGTGTACGGTCTCTGGCCCCGTGGAAGCCCCAGCACTGACTCAGCACATCTTGTAGCCGAGTAGGGCTGAAGCGAGAAGAACTCGCCCGTTGGATGTTCGGCCGCCAGCGGCGCTTGGCCTGGAAAGCTAGAGACTGATATTGTTGAATGCTCCCACAGCTCGGGGTGTGAGTTTGAGAGCCAACTCCTCACAGGTCCCCGCGAACTGCTGGCTATGACGCCCTCATGTCGCCGGACCCGTTGGAGCCACCAGCAGTGAAGTGCCCCGTCAAGGCTATTCCTCCATTGTTTGCTGAGTTGCGAGAGCATAATTTCTTTGCTGGGCTGAAAAACGGTTTTCTGCTCATTTATTGGTCTGTCTTGCCGTCTTCGTCTTCGTCTACAAGTGTTTCGCAATCTGGGAGAGGACTAGCTGACTTGAGCATGGGGCTACTTACTCTCCTGACGCAGGCAACGTTCCGCAACGAACTTGACTAGCTCCGAGTGTCGGTGCATGACTACATGATTTTTCATCTCTGCGGCTCAGGTCTCGGGTTCAATCGAACTTGTAGCAGGCTCAGGCTGGCTGGCAGAGACCATTCCCATCCACAGGTACTCGAGATACCGCTGGCTCAGGGAAAGGATCAAACCATCGACGACCAGGCTCTCGGAATCAGCAGTCAGATCTTTATGTGTTGAAAGGCTTAAAGGCCAGGAGGCGAAGTTTTTAGACAAGCCCGGCCTCTCGGGTGACCCCAGCCCGCAAACGCCCAGCATTGGGCTGTCAGCCTCGTGAGGCGGCCGCATACGAGCCGCTTGGTGCCTGTAGTTGCTTGCTGAAGCCAGATGCAGTCCCCAAAGCAGCGTCGGTGAGTCTTGCCATCGCAGATTGATGATTGGTCTGATTGGTGATTGCCGGAGGGAGCACAGCGGACAGTTTCGGTTGCAGCACCTAGCTCGAGCCCTCAGGTCCAGCAGTTCCTGGCTCTGAACTACGAGGCTGCTTCAGTTGCCATGGTGGCTGCCTGTCCCTGAGGGCTGCTAGCAAAGACAGGCGGCGTGCGTGCTGAAGTGGAAGGCAGGCCAGCCTGTAGCGTTAATTTCTGAACTTCGCTTCTACTGTTTCGAACGGGCTCAACATACGTTTGCAAAACCTAGACTGGACGAATGAAGCACGCAGAGCACGGAACCGTATGCCGCGGGGTGGACAGTAGATGCACGAATCTAGTCTTGTGTCTTGTCCTGTCTTCGTTATGCCGTCAATTTCCGTTTCGGCCTTGGGATCCGAACGTGTGGGCTCTCAACCAGGGCCATGGCATGTCCGAGGCCCTACGCCGCTGCTCTCCCCGCTCCCGGTAATAACGCAAGTGAGTTGCACATGGACAATCCAGGTGAGGCGAGCGAGGAACGACTGCATGAAATGTCGGGCGCTAAGTCCGCCTTGGGAAGTTTTTTTGGCAGCCTGGAGTTGCTCCAGGCGTCAGTGGATGCTTGGGAGGTGGCGTTGGGTTGTTTTTTGGCTTGGTTTCGGGTTTCCATCGTGAGCATTCGCGCATTGTGGAGATCGGGCTTTACTCAGACTTCCGTGGATCCTTGCCTGCCCAGTGCAAGCTGCCGTGAGTTGAAACCTATGGCCATTGCGACAGAAACCAACAATGAAGCTACTGCTATCGCCACAAGACTGTTGCGAACGGGCTCATCTGCGGAGCAGAGAGACTTCTCAGACGAGGTCCATCGCTTTCCCAGACCTGGCGAATTCGCAGAGGTCCAGTGACTCTTTGGGTGCCCAGGCGACTGACTGGCTCCTGCCAAGCCATCTGAAGCATCGAAGCTGGCTCCTCGCCGTAATGACGTAATGATGCGACATGTTGAACACAGGTCCAGCTTATGGCACTGCAGCACTTTCCAATGGGCACCTGGGACTTTCCGTTGCCTTTCTTGGCCTCCTCGCCGTCGCGGCAGTTGCTGCTCCAGGCATGTTTCATGCAGTCATAAATGCTGCTTGATTGGTTCGTGTGGCTGCTGTTGTGGCGTTCTTTCCTTTGTACCTGGCAGGCCGTTTGACCGGTGGTCCGTCTTCAACACAATGGGCCGATGGACAGTTGAAGGCTGCTTCGTGTAGCTGTACACATGCACCAACACAGCGAAAAGCTGTGTGGCTGCGACGCAACGATTCTTGCCGAAGTGGAGTCATGTTGGGAGAGATGGACATTGACGGCTTCACCAACTGGAAGTAGACGTTGTGGTTCGATAAATACCGCCGTGCCAGCACCACTGAACTGGCACGAGCAAGTTTAGTTCAGTGCAAAGCAAATCGAGGCCCGGCCTGCTGCAAAGGGAGACTCCCCAGCCAGATCTGCCTAATGATTAAAGATACATGAAAGGCTCTGACGGTGTTCGGTGAAGAGCTGCTTGCCAATATCAAGTGTTGCAAAGCGTGTGCGGTTTTCAGCTGGGCCTCCTACGTCTCACCGGCTTGTCAACGTTGGCTGGCCAGCCTGCCAGACCCAATGCATGGTTGGCAGGGAAAAAATGGGTTAGATGGGGACGTCGATAGATGGAGCCACCACTGGATGGGTTGATGGGTAGATACTTACATCGACTAGATAAGATGGGGACATCTTTTCGCCAACGGTAGATGGACAGACGGACAGACAGACTTTGAGACAGAAAGCAGAGCAGCGGCTGTACGGCAGGGAGAGATTTGGGATTTCTTCTGCTGAACTCTGCCTGGGCAACATTTGACATTGAGGGTACGTGTGATAATGGCAGGGTTGATGGTGCGATGCATTCTCCTGATTCTCCTGAGGAAAGTAACTGTCTTCGAACGCCATGCTGGCCTGAATGAACGACTTCCAATGCGCCGCCAAGAATTTGGGTGCCCTTCTTCCCACCCGTAGCAGCTTATCACCCCCAAGCGCTGAGCTGTGTCCTGCCCTGCCTTAAGAACACTTCCCGCAGTCCCCCACTCAGCCTTTCAATCCCTCCTTCTCTGATCTGAGGAGCTGGTATCTAGAGGCCGCCAATGCGTGCCCAAACGCCCTCACCACCCGCAGAGGCTTATCCCTCCCAGACACTCGGTGCTTGTGCGGCTGAACCGCCCGCCATCGTTTTGAAAGGCTGGCATAGTAGAGTATCTCACTTTGTTTTCCGTTTCGTTTCTAGACGCAGGATGCTGAAACTTCCGCCTGCAGTGCCGATGGTGCTTCGATGATGGGACGTTCGCCTGAAAATTCCGTGTTCACGCGCCCAGCATTGGCTTGCAGCAGGGTCACAGACAGACAGAAAACCCCTATGCCAAGTCTCATCAGCGCATTCTGCAGCAGCAGAATCTCCCGACACCGAGTATAGGGACATTGGGACTAGAGCCTGTAGTGCGACAAGGTTGCAAGTCAACTCGATAAAGCCCTGGCGTGCAAAGTTACTAGAATGCTGGAAAGTCGCTGAAGGCGCAGCCAGTTTGAGCATAGGATGCATGCAGCCCTGGACTTAGCTTGCGGGGTGCCGTCTTTAAGTCTTTTTGAGTCTCTCGGGCTCCGGTTTTCTTTGTCGCATAAACTTTCGAAACCCCACAGCAACTGCATTGGAGTGAATTCTACAACTCTTTAGCTGGATCCTTCCTGTGTGCTGCTTGCCTAGGACCTTTTACGGGCCCGCGAGCCGGCGTTCTCGCCAAGAAGGCTGCTATTGCATCTCCTCAGTTCTGACTTCTGACTTTGGCTCTGGGAGCATATGCCTGCAGGTGACCATCAACCGGCACAGCTCCGATAGGCATTGGGGACTTGCATTGGTTCGTGGATGTTTTGTGACGCTATAGTGTGCAGGATGCTGATCAAACCGCTGTCCAGCAGTCGCTGTACGGAGCGCAAGGCGACGTTCTTATGATGGTGTCAGTGATAACGTGACATCCAGATGCTACCTGGTAGTGCATCTGGGGCTTGGGCAGCGGCTTCAGTGGCCTGTAGTCTCAGTAGTCTCAGGAGTCTTCGAAACGAGAGCTCTCCGCACACCTGTTGGAAGGGTCCACGGTCCACACCAGTCACACTAAAGAGACTCTGGCCAACTCGGCTGCCAGTGTTGGAATCAAGTGTTGCGAAAGGCTTTGGTCCCGGAACCACTGTGCTTATGTGCGAGGAACGGTCTTCCTACGAATTGCAGTCGAGTTGGGCTTCGACCTTCTCCTTGAACCTTAACAAAGTCTCTTGCAAACAAGCCAAAATCTGGCTGGACGTCCAGACAGATGCCGCTCGATAACCGGTGTCACTCCAGATCCAAGAACGGGTGGCTTGATTCTCTGAATCCAGCAAGCCACCGCAGATGTAGCCGATGTCACCGCGACGGCTTGGTGCCGACCGTGTGCTGCTTTTGCCGTCAGGCGGGCTTCTGCGCTCACGTCCAAAAGCGGTCAAGAACTCAGATTTGAAGCATGCTTGCTCTTTCTTGGCTTTACATTGACATAGAGCTCGGTAATCGGCACCGCGGGCTTTACTAAGCCGGACGGCTCATTACAGGCCACTGCTCGGGCCAATGGATTGAGAATGCTGGGGCATGTTGGCTTGCTAGGTTATGTGGCGCTGCTCATGACTGATTAATCCTGCAGAGAGTCAGTGAAGCTTGGGCTGCAGCATCATGGCCAAATACACGCACAAGGGATGGGTTGCCTTTTCGTAACTCCAACAGCTGAAAGTTTGGAAGCCCGGCAATATCCCACTGCTTTGGTGTTCAGAGGCATCAAGACGTTGTATTCTTGCCGCATGCAGAGTCGGTAGCATCGACATAGACACATTGATGGCTGGACCCGCATACTTCCAAGAATGACTTGTGCACAACTCGCCCTCACCTTGGACTAAACTTTAGCAGATTAAAACAAAATTGCTTCCGTCATGCCAGCAGTAATGGGGTGCCAGCAAAGCTCAGCAGGTTTTGCCAGCGTCGCCATCCGGTAACAGAGTGACAGACACTCACAACTTGAGGTGCCGCGCCGCGTTGCCGTATCAGCTGGACCGAGCGCAAGAGCGAAGGACGTGTCGCCGGGAGAAATGGTAACAGGGGGTCCAGGGCACAACTGAGCGCAGCTTCCAGCAGCTGCGAAGACGACAACAGACAACTGTCGAACGTGTCAAATCGGGCGAAGAGACTGCATCCGGTTCGAGGAGGGGCCGCCTCCTTCGGCCGTTGCTGTGCAGATCAATCGAAGCGGCGGCCCAAATCGGTCAAAGTGTCGTAGGTCTTTGCTGCATACAAACCCCGCGAAGTAAGTACTCGATGTGGTCTGAGGTCTTTCGGCGCAGACGACCTAGTGTTGCTTTGCTCTTGTGGCTCACAAGAGCTGGGTTTGCTGGCTGTATCATGCTTCCAGAGCGGCTTCCGACAGACTCCCAAAGAACGAGCCATGCACAAACTGGGGGACACATTGTTGGGATCTACTGCCCATTGGTCGGCATTGCTAAGGTCTGAAAGTGTCGTTCAGCTTCTGCAGATCTGCGACAGCTCTTTGGACCGCTTTCCATCGAGCCTTCTAAAATAGTCTCAACCAGTCCATGTAACGGCATTTGTTGATGACCGTCGTGCTGCAGATGTGGTGCTCTGACACATTTCCCGGCTACGGAAATCCGTCACATGCCAAGAGTCTCCTTCCGCTCAACCAGCGCGGCACATGATGAGACAGCAAATGCAAGCAACTCTGCACACAGCACATCTCTGCACACAACTCACGAGCTGCTTCATCTTGAGCATCTAGGGAATCTGGATGCTCCGGTACCGCTGCTCTGCTTTCGATGCAGCCCGTGACGTCGCGGCTTCTGGAACCTGTGAGGAGCTCGAAAGTCTTCTCTGTGAATCAGGTCGCTGAGCATCTGTGCCAAGGAAGCACTGCCAGTACAAGGAGTCCTCAAGCCTCGCGGGTAAGGGCCCCGGAATGTATTTGAGTGCGAATTGCACCCTGAAATCCCCGCATCCCAACAAGTACCCGAAGTGTCAAGGACCTCTGACTAAAGCCCTCTGAACAGGCGCAGCTATGAGGAACTCTGTGAGAAGGCCGTTGTGGCCCGCAGAACCCTTCGCACAACAGCTTGGGCCTCAGAGAGCATTCGGATGAAGTAGTCTGCCCGATGTGAGATTTCGGACAGAAGCTGCGCAACAGGTCCTAGCAGCTGAGCTTCTTCATCTGAGCATTTGCGCAGCCCTCCTGACCTCGGAGGCACAAGTGCAAGGGACCTAAGTCACCGATGGGCAGCGGCCATGGAGTCCAAGGAACTGTGGTGTGTTGACTTGTTTATTGGGGTCGAGAAGGAAGCAAGATTGCTGTACTGTACCCTCCCATCGAGCTTCCATGTCAACAGCCACGATAGTCTGGCCAGATTGGTGCAGGCGCTAGCTGCTGCAATTGCCAACGACGGGATGCTCTTCAGAGGCCACTTATGTGATGCTTTGCAGCAGGAAATACAGAGGCCCACGGCACCAACGTTGCAGGTATATGCAGGTCCTTTTTGTGTGTCGGGTTTCTCTCGAAGTGTCTCTTTAAAACACGGAATCGCAGAGCTACCGCAAGGGCCCGATAGTATCGGAAAGATGTTTTGCCCTTTTCGGCAGGCACGCTTTTTAATTTGGACAGTGCTGGGCATTTCGCATGGCCTCGTCTGTGCCGTGCATTCGGGAGATGAAGACAGATTCTTATCTGATGCGAAGAACTGGTTGCACGCAGAAGCCTATGATAACATATATAACATATACCTCTGTCTCAACGAAGCTCTGCATGAGGGCCCTTAGCGGCCTAGTTTGTGTAGCGATTCAGAACTGCTGCTCGCAAACTTTTCATTTGCCGAAGCTGGCGCGGCAGTTTCTCTCACAGCTGCATTCGCGTTTCTGGGTGGTGTGGTTGGCCCTTCGCGTTCAACTCACCGTATCTGCAGGGTTTTTTAAATGGAAGCCAGCGCGGCTAGGGTGAGGCGTTGCTTCCCGGCCTATTTGGACTTAAATCTGTGTGCAAAGCGTTCGGTCGCACATTTCGAAGTCTATGCGAAGTCCAAGCTGGACTGGTTGCACATGCCTCGAGCTGAGACTGAGTGGTTTGCTGCAGGGAGCCATGGCTTTGAAGAAGCCGTGTCGATGTCGCTGCTGGCACTGCCGCTCACCGCATTTTAGCTTTGGACATCTTTGGACTTGAAGCGTGGTGCATCTGCAACAGGAGCCCCATCTTGTCGGCACTCGCCACCGCGGTGTTGTGCTGTCGGGACCTGGCTGTGGATCCGGGCCTTTCACCAGCAGCGGCCCTCAGTTGGCCCTGGCCCCGCAGCCGGTGCTGCACTTCACAGTTCGCACAAGCTTGCACGATCCGTCTCAAGGCCTTTGCGCTCCTTGCTCTTTTTGCAGCTGCTTTGACCTTAGAAGCCTTAGAAGTTGTGTGCCGATACTGCGCGGTTGCCGGCTATAGATCACTAAACCGAGGCTGAAGCATGCTTCTTGGCCGTGAGCTCAGCAGGCACCGACCGTGCGATGAAGCTCGGCTGTGATTACGGTCGCCTCAGATGTTGAGATTTTCAACAAACCTTGCTAGTTGCTGTGCTGGCGATGCGAGATTAAAAACAGCAAACGCGTTCGATTTGAGGCATGCGTTCGGTTGGCCTCTGGAGCTTCTAGTGGCGCTCGGTCGCAGTGGAGCTGCCCTGGCGGCTGGCAGGCCAAGATTGGAGGCTCCGGCGCAGGAGCGGCAGGGCTGTTTGGCAGCAGGGAACCCCGCCTTCGAAAATTGGAGGAGCCCCGAGCTTCGCCAAAACCACTGGGAGTGCGGACAAAGCGAAGGCTTCCACCGACCGAGGTCGGGACAGAGAGTTCGCGGATGATCATTTCACCTGGATCCGGCGTGTTCTTCAGGCTTCACCCAGCTCGGAGGGTGCCATCGCGAGCGAGGCGAAACCCAGCGTGACCAACGTGACCGAGGAGTCAGAGTGGGTGAGACATGGTGAGACTCAGAAGGTGGTGGATAAGAGTTCCGTCAAGTGTGAAGGAGACATTGGCGCTGCCCGTGCAGTCTTGTGCCCTTCTCGACTTCGAGGAATTAGACTATCAGTCAGCAAGTCCAGAGGAGTGGAAGCAGCCGCTCGGCAGAGCTGTGTCGCTGTGGACTGCGGCTTTTGCAGGGAAGGCTTGCTCGTCAGTGCGGAGGCATTCCGAGTTAATTGTTCTTCTCCACGCTAAGGAAGGTACTGGAGCAGTTGCGGGCAACGCTTGAATTCACAGATGATGCATCCCGGCCTGTCAGTTCATGCCACATGCAGGCTCAGGCGGCAGAGGGAAACATTCACTTTTTCACACTCCTCCAAAAGCCCCACGAACATCGGGGGGGCCTACAAGGCCGAGGAGTCTCGCACTCCCCTCATGCCCCGGGGAAGGAGAGAGAGAGAGAGAGAGAGAGAGAGAGAGAGAGAGAGAGAGAGAGAGAGAGAGAACCAAGAACGTCGATGCCGGGGGCCACGCAGTTGGATGCCAACACGACGGGGGAAGCGGCTGGAGGGGCAGAAGACAAACCCAAGTTCCCGGCCTTCTGGAACCTACGTGGGTCCATGGCAACCCTTGATGTGCCGTCTTCTGCTGAAAGAGATCCCGAAAGTTTCCCCAGCGAGCCGGAGCCGCCGAGTGAGGAACCGTCAGCCCAAGCCATAGCCGATGGGCACGAGCTCCAGGAGCAAGTCGAAGCGGAGCTGGCCGCCTTTGGCAGAGCTAGCCGTAGGAGACTGCACAGCCCGGGGGAAACCCGGCGGAGAGCCGAGAGAGCGTGGACTGATGACAGTGATTAGGGGGTGCTTGTGTTTTTGTTGACATGTGCTGCTCTCCGTCCGGGTCTCAGTGTACAGACCTGCTGCCTCGCATGTGAGCTCGAAGGGGGGCCGAAAACAGCACAGAGCCGGGGAAACCCCAGGCAAGGCCCCAGGCTCAGCAACGTGGGACGCACAGGGACCAACCGTTGGGGTGCTAGAGTCTTAGCCTTCGAGGCGGGTTGGGGGTTAGTGTAAAGGGGGGTGTAAACAGATCCACCAGTGCGTGTTCCCATGGAGTTATTATCTTTTCTCACCGCCCAAAATTCCCGGTGCGCAAATGCGCGCGGAGGGAAGGGTGTCTCGCCTGACCCTCCTGGCCGAGCTGAAGAAGAGACACAACAACAACCTCCGACAACAACTACTTGCTATTGGATGGACTCGGAATTGCAAATGGGGGCAGCCAGCGCTCACTCAAGCAACGCCACAGCTTAGCAACGAGCGATGGCCTCCAGCAGCAACCATGCAGATGCTGCAGCTCCTCGAGATCTCCCACCGGGGGAACAGAGCTCCTCGGAAAGTGAAAGTCCGCAAAGTGACCACCCTCTCCGGGGGAACGCCGTGTTGAGGCGCCAAGTGAGGCGACAGGTGAGACCGCTTTACAACTTTTCCTGGAAGGAGGTGGACCTGGTTTGGTCGAAGTCGACGCAACAACTTTGTCGCACACCGGTTCTGTCAGAGGGGAGGACTTCTACACGCCGACCGCCGAGGAGAAAGAGGCCATTGCGGACAACCTGTACAATATGGCGTACAGCTCTATGATGGCTATGGAGCTCTACGGCGAGACAGGGGGGAGCACTACCGTCCTGAAGCTGCTCCGCGACGACCCTACCGCGGCAGCCAGTCTCTGGTGTGCCGTTAAGATCAGATGGCCGGAGGAGCTTAAGCTGAAGGCGGGGGAACTGCAGCGACTTCTGCGCCCACCGCCTCCAACCACCGAACAAGAGAACGAGAAGGAAGAGGAAAACCGCGGAACAGAGCTCGACGGCAACGACGCGGGGGAGGCCAAGAATGAGGAGACTGTCGAGGGGGAGAACACGAACAAGGCGACCGCCGAGCAGGGGGAGAACCAGCCACAAGACCCGCAAAGCTCAAGCGGGGTGGTGATCAAAGAAGAAGCATCGCCCGACTGGAGCGACTTATCGCAGGACTACACGGTCCAAACACCACCATACCTGGAGGGGAGCGGCTCAGAGATCGACTACCCGAGCCTCCGCGATCCGCGCAACGATGCGGGGTGGTCGACTCCACCCAACCTTTTTGATACAGTCAAGAAGATGGTGGATGTAACGAACCCGACAGATGATGCGCTATGGGCTGTCTTCCGGATGTCGGCCTTCTATGCCGAACAAACAACGGAACCTCAGCCTGGGGGAAAGGTGGCAGACAAAGAAGCCGCGGAAGATATGCTGCACAAAGCCATCGAGGAAGTGGACGCGGAAGCTGGAGTGGTGGAAGTTGCAGTCGAGCCGCCGGGGGAGACCCACACTCCTTCGAAGGCGGGGGAAACCGGACGCCAGCTCGGCCAAGCTATCCGGGAACGTAAGCTACGGGAGACAGTGGTTACCGGGCGCAGCACTTCACACCAGGCCCGGTCGTTGCGGGTAACACGACCAGCCAAACCAGTGGGACTCGCGGCACGGCTCCTTGCGATCGCTCGCCATGTGGACAGAGCACACGCTGGACAGTCTGCATCCTCCTTGTCTACCCGGGGGAGCCCACGAACGCGGGGGAGCTCACGAGTGCCGAGCAGAACCTTCCCAGCTGGGGGGAGACCGGAAGATGAAGAGCGTCCTCCTCTGAAGCGCAAGCGAGTGAGTAGCGTACGCCACTGAGTGTGATGCGGGTGCCCCAGTGTTTGTGTATGTTGACTGACTGCGTTTGTTTTTGCCTGTTGGGGGAATGGTGCACCGCAAGTCCTGACTTTCTGTAGTCGGTAGATCTTTTGACACTCCATGGCCGGGGGAATGCAGCTAACTTAGCAGCGACCTTTGCCTTGGAATGCAGCTAACCAAACAGCGACCTCAGACTCGCCCTGTCCGTATGCAGTTGTGGTGAGAAACCTGGGGGGAATGCATAGTGTTTCCAGTTTCGTAGCCTCCTCAACTTGAGTTGAGTTTGCCTCTTCAGATTCGGGGTTGTCAAAGTGACTTGTTTAGTCCTTGGACTGTGCGATAGACTGGTTGTTGCTTTAAGCGGTCATGTGGCCAACCTACTCCTGCACCAAGCTGTGTAATTCGTTTTGGTAGACCTCTAAACACAGGGGGGAACCCTCTTTCCGAGACAGTCACTGAACATGCTTTTACTGTTGTGAGCTTTGGGGAAGTTCAGTGTTTGTCAAGCGGGTGGTCACAGTTGAAGTACAGCTGAGCCCTCCTTGACTAAGTCATGGGGGGAGGACCAAAATCCTGCGGACTGCAGGTGCGCGTGCGCGCGCGGAAGGGGTAGCGTCCGCTGCCTGTTTCTTACCTGGCAGAGAGAGAGAGAGAGAGAGAGAGAGAGAGAGAGAGAGAGACTTTCCGCTCATCCAGTCAAAAGGACGGGATGGGGCCGCTCCCCGGAGCGAGGAGCTCCTCACGCCCCAGAGCAAAGCAGGGAGACTTTCCGCGAAACTTGGGGCAGGCGATGCGCCAGCGGTTTCGCCGCCATGCCCCCAAGCAAGGAAGGAAGCAAGTAAGCACGCAAGCAAGCAAGCACAGGCAAGAGAAAGTCCCTCAAAGCGTGAACTGGAGGGGCAGGAGTCCGTGACTGGCAGAGATTCCCCGGTCACCTGTTTGATCTGAAGGTTCTGCTGAACTTCTTGAGAATTGCAGGTGACAAGTCAAGCCACAGTAACCCTATGACAAACAAACGAAAGCTGCACTGGCATCAGGCATAACACCCCTGTACTAGTAGCCAGGCATTGCAGTTTTTCAGCTCGTGCTGTTCAACTTTGGCTGCATTCCTCTGGACCCTGATAGTCGTAGTGCTTGCCGAGCATCAGTGCGCGTAGTGCCCTCGTTCCGTGCTTGGAAGGCATGCTCGAGACTTCATCTGGACTTCAAAAAAGGTGCAGCAGGCAGGTCTTGCCCTCTCAAGCTCACTGCAACATTCCCCAGCTGCGAGTCTGATCCCGGGCTTGTGGAAAACAAAGATCTGGCTTCGAGCTTTCTGCTTTGCAGGGAGCCTGCTGGCCGAAATTCGCGCACCAGAGACAGCCTTGCAGCAGCTTGTTTGAACTTGCATCCGGTGCATTATGCAGTTTCTTCTGTGAATGCGTTAAAGAGGAACATCAGCAGACCGAGGCCTCTGCTAAAAGCCAACAAGCCCTTGGTGATCAGCTACTGTGCATGCACTGGCTGAGACTCGTGATTTGCTCCACATACATGCAGATGTGATCACGCGGACTTTGTCGCTCCAGGTCACTGCGGTGTCGTCGCAGCAGCACTACCGACAGGCCCGGGCAGAGCACAAGAAGGCAGGGGACAATTGAGTTGCAAGCCATCAGCCTCTGGCGGAGCTGCAGAACCGTTGGGGCGTCATGTTTATCATGTCTGTTTCGGGATTCAATGCGCAGTTCTTGTTATGGCAACAAGAAGTCTCGGGATGGGCTGTTGTGCAACCACGACCAGCAGCTACAACCTTTGAACAAGAGAGCTAGATGCAAAGAAGCTGGTGCCCGTGAGATGCACGAACGCGAATTCGGACAAATGCGATTTGATGACTAAGCTGAGACTTTGTGTGAAGAGGTCTCCATCACAGTCACTGCCCAGCCGCTCGTGTGGTCATGGCGTCAGTGAGGACTTGGCAAAGGTAGCTTCTCCGAATGATTGGAAAGTTGCTTGTCCCACTCATCTAGAAAATATCTACTATTCCTCTCCATGCTGGCAATGCCGCACATGTGAAAGATGAGGGCGGCACTTGAACCCAACTTACTACAGCTTTGACAGGCAGGCTACCCATGTAAACTTTGGGTGCCGCAGACTCCACGCAATTTTTCCGTTCTTCTGGGAACTGCTACAGTGCTGCAGTTCAAGCACGGGCGCTAGATATGGAGCCTTATGATTCGATCGGAGTACTTGGGTTCTCTTAACTGTGCGGCACTCGTTATTCGAAGCTAAAGCTGTACCGATCGAGGATGCCCTCGATCTCTGAGACACGCGCCTCCTGCCTTGACCCAACCCATAAGCAGGAAACTGGGTTGCCAGCCTGTGTAACATGCGGTTACTGCGATCGCGAAAGTATGATGCTTCTTGCAAGCAGCGTCAACACAGGTTCGATTCAATGGCGCGGCCATGTCTTTTGCACAGCCGTCGGCTAAGCCGGCTACGTTGAACTTGGGCCCTGCTGGACTCAGGCAGCTGCACATGGAGATGGAAGACCTGAGGAACAAGCTCCTCATCCTTCCAGTATGGCACCTGCACACTGCCCTGATGCTCTGCCTCTGCACCCGCGAACGTCTTTACGGCTTGACGACATTACCGGAAACATCTCACAAAGGCTCGCTGTCTTTCTGGGCCTCCCTCAAATCGGTCGAAGGACATGTAAAGTATTCCCCACATTGCGTGAACCTGCCATGAACTGGAATCGAGCTAGAATACTACATCGCTATGTCACTTTTTTTGGTTGCCACAGCCTGGAAACCGCTTTTGCATCCTTTTGAATCCGGATGGGCCCCAGGTGCCAGCAGCGATTTCAGGAAATGGAGGAGCACCACACCTCTTTCAGCAACCGACGCGTGGCTTGATGAGACTGAATTTCCGGTCCCTGGGCGAATGTTTGCTGTAGTGCTACGTAGTGGTGCATCGTGCTGCTGCTACTAGTGTGTGCTGGTTCAGTAGAGACATTGCAGGTTCAAACATCCGTGCGACACATGCGACGTGATTCATGTCACGATTTGTCAGGATCTGAAGAGCAGCACTCGCGCCTGAAGAGCCTAGAGGCCAAGGCCTGCGTCGTGACCAAGGTCGTAGACAGACAGATCTAGAAGGACATGCCATGACATGCCCCAAGATGTGCCTGATCTAGGGCAGCTCATTCATGCGGCAGGGAGGCTGTCTCCAGGTGCTACGGGCTGATGAGACCTGACCAGCCAGCCGGCGGTGTGGGTATGCATGGGTATACGCAGAAGGGGCTTCGAGATTTCACGTCGCGCGCATCTCCAGCCAGGCGCAGCTGTCATTGTATCGGCCTGCCCTCACTGACTCCGTCGAAGCAGCAGGCCGGGTTGCGGAGGGAGCTGCGGGATCACAGTAGGCTCGTCTGAATGTGAACCGCTTTGCAGCGAGAGCCAAAGCTCGCCCGGCATGGAAGAGCACATGTTCCAGAGGTGGTTTCCGTATCGGGTCGCGTTTCTCCATATGTTTATGCGCAGTTTGTGCTTTGCACTTCAGGGGGTTCTGGGCAGCCTGTGGCCTGTGGTCAGGGCATCCGCGCTCAGTAGAGCAGCATCCTGCGCCGTTCCCGAAAGCGCAGGCCTGTGCGGCTTGCGATAACATTTCGTGACGGCCAATGGGTGCTGGATTCTCAATGCAGGCGGTGGAGGCTGGAGCTGAAGCTGCTGCTGCTTCCGTCGCGCGTCGCGTCACCGAACGCATGCGACAAGACCTGGAGGCTGGAGACTCGAGACATGACTGCGGGGGTCTACTACAGTCTACAGGTCAATCGACGCTGTGCTAGTGCAGTGGCATTCCACTGTCCACCCCTCCGCCTTCAAATCCATGACTACCACTGCCGCAACGGCAGTCGAGTTGTCTAGGTTCGCTCGCGTAGTGGATGAGCTATGCCGTGCCATATGCTGTCGTAGAACTCGTAAGCAGCCCTGCTATGCAAAGTCAGACGTGCATGGACCAGCAGGCCGAGATGGAGACCCTTCGGCACCGGTTTGCGCAGGCCGATGCCGTGACATGGAAGCCCCGGTCGTGGCACTTGAGCTGGAGTTCAGGTCGTCCGTGACGTGGAGGGTCTTCACCGGAGTGCGGCCATAGGCCGTGCACAGGCTGCGGAGGCATCGGCGGCTTCCCTTCGGCAACTTCTCGTGGAGGCGATCTGCCAGCTGGTTCGGGCATGTGCGCATGTCGTGCGAAGTTCAGGCCCTGATCCGACCTGGTCGGCCCGACGAAGCCCAACAATTGGCTCTCAAACTTCTGAGCCAGGCCCAAGCCCAAGTCGTGCATGCATCTCAGTTATCAAGCCCAAGTCGTGCATGCATCTCAGTTATCAGGGCTTGACTAACGGGAAGAAGCCTTTGTCCTTGCTCTAATGGCATCAAGCTGGCTAGTGAACACCTGGTGGAAGGCGCTGAATGCTGCGACCTTGCTCTCGGCAGCCTCGCTCTCGCCCGAGCCGAGCAGTCCGATCGCAGACGCTCAGATGCACCTATAGCACCTATAGCAGTTAGCAGCTCATCGCACAGGCAGACGTAGAGAGACTTGTTCAAACGCAGACCATCCTGTCTTCATGGATACTTGTATCATGAACATTATATGGGCTTACGGTAATCAGTCGGTAATCCCCCAGCAAAGCAGACTTTTGGCTAGATTAATGACAGCACGACTCCCGTTTTGGCTTTTAGCGTGCTCCCTTGCCCCCTTGACTGAGCCTGAGCCACCGCACTATAGGAACCGGACGTCGAATGACAGCATTTAACAAGTTTAACAATTTGAGGGACCAGAGGCATGGGCTGTATGCCTTTCTGCCGCCAGCTGTTGGAGGAGGTATTGTGCGAGAAGTTCAGCATACTCGCATGCTATTGATGCCATTGCAGCAGAACGAGGACTGTGGACCTTTGACTGTGAAGCATGTTCACTTCGGATGTGCCCAGGATGTGGGCCTCGAGCATTTCGAACTCCCCTGAAATCCCCGGCAGTCTAAGCATGCCTCTGATCTTCCCGCGACGCAGCCCAGGAGATTTTCCAGAAGCACGAGAGCGCGGTGGAGACCAGGAAAATATGCGAAGATATCTTGGCAGAGCGCATCGAACACCTGCTAGCAGATGGCCACGGGGCACGCGATGCTGTTGCCAGCGTACTGGCTGGCAAGATGGAGAGCTCGGCAAGTTCAGCTCCCCTTCACAGTCAGGCCTGATTCTCTAGATTCGCTGTGTCACCGCGGATTCCGTGTTTCGTGTCCCTTCAGTAGATCTTTCCTGCGCTTCTCCGACTCGAAGGCTGTGTTGCCGCCACCGCCTCGTAATACTTCAGAACCAAGGTGGGCATCATGCGTAGTGTAGCCGCAGCCATGTCGCCACTCCGTTGTCGTACTCGTGCAAAGGAATCCTCGCCTGACTGTGCCTAAAGGGAGTATTGAAAGACTTGCATTCACAGTGCGGCAACTCGTGGTCTTTGGTCTTGGTTCTGTTTCCTTTGATTCTCACTCAGCACAGTTCCAGTCTCTGCGCTGCTACGCAAGAGATTGTGTTTGCGTCAGGAAGCCCGGAGCGGCTTTCCGCCCGATGAAACTGGCGGCGCTGGGACCAGACACACAACGGGCAGGCCGGGTTCAGCAAATGCTTTTTTGCGTGTGCACCAGGAGGTAATTGAAGTAACTTCTCGCAAGTCTGGCAGTGCTTCTTCCCAGCTGACCGCATTCAAAACAACTTCTCACAACCGATACATGTCGAATGTGTAACCTCCGGATTACGCTGGGGTCCTATGACCGTGCAGTGATGTGCAGTCTGTATGCTGTACCCTCATTTTGCTGGGGGCAGAGTTGGAGATTGAGATGGCGCGGTGCACATGACCTTGGAGGAAGGAGGCGGCTGCTCCAAGATGATGGTACCGGCAGCACATACCCCCACTCTGATTGCAGGCTCTGCTCGGGGAGCAGGACATGCTTTGCTCCTTTACTGTATTCAATTGCGAATTGCAAGACAGCAGCTGGAGATGGACCTGTGGTCCACTACTGCGCGTAGTGGCCCTGGCATGCACCAGAATTCCCCTGCGGCATCAGTAAGCAGCAGCACGAACACGACATGTTTCCGCAGTGCAGCTGCCTTGTCGGCGCTTAGTGTGGAGGACTTGATGCCTGAATGGATCCACCTACAAGGTTGTAGATAGTCGATCAGTGAAGCAGACTCTGTGTCGCGCATGTTCGACAGCAGCTTCATGTAAGTCAGCAACATGCCCAGGTACGCAGGCCAATATCCGCTGGAGTGAAGTCTTCGTTGGCTTTGAAGTAGCTTGCATTTCTGGGTCCGTGTTCGTTCCTGGGCAGAGAGTGTACGAAACTTATTCTGCTGGCGTGCGCCCTGTACATTTGTGTCATAGCCACTGGCTTATCTCGGCGAAGACCGTCGAGACAAAGCTGCATTCGCGCAGGCACGACCTGACAGCTGAAACAGCTCGGTTGGCAGTAAGCGCGCAGACGGAAAAATGGAAACATCAGTGGCCCTCGATGCATCTTAACACATTGCCCGTGTTGGCTTCTGAGTCTAGGGTCAGGCTTGATGTCGTATGTAAGTATGTAGGACGAGTTCGACAATGTCAACTATGTCACTGCTTTGCACCGACTGGCGCGCTTGGCCGCAACCTCAATCTCAAGCTGTGCCGTAACCACCCTTTGACCCGAGTATGCCACACAGTTCATGTTGGATTGCAAAGAGTTGCGCATCTGCTTGAGAACCCGCCTGCATTCGGCCTCCAAGGGTGTTACATCTGGAGCAGGTGAGGGGCTGTGCAGCAGGCACGTAGCTGCAGCACAGTCACTTCAAGAAGGCGCAGAAGGTGGTGGCTCTTGAACAAGTCGCATAGTTCGCCAGGCTGGTGGATCACCTGAATGTTAGGATTTTGGAGCTGCGGGCCTTCTCCTCAGACCCTGCAACAGCACGGGCGAATTATGGAACTTTGGGATCTTTATTTAGCTCTTCCTGAGGTCCAGCAGCTTGCTAACACCGTGTGGTCGTCGGCACGCTTGCTGGTGTGGCGTCAGCCGACCACGTCAGCAATCGCAGGGCGTGCTGCCCCCATCCGCACTATTCGTCAATTTGTCTCCTCAAGTCCTAGCAGTCAGAGATACTACGCAGCACCACTGCCCTTCTGCCATTCGACTGGTGTTCTCGGCTTTTGCACAGCAAAACCGAATTTCGGCGGGTGACTGAAAGGGCTTACTCTGGTATCGATCCGAACTTGCAACAAGTCGCTTCAAACCCGCACACTCTGCTGTGTAGGGTGTGTGAAGCGTTTGCACGACGAAGCCCCAAGGCGTTGAGAGCTGTGGCGAAGACCTCGGGCCACAGGCGTGGATGTCTTGATCCTCGTTTCGCGAGTGTTCTTGCATGTTCTTGCCAGCAAGCCCCACGACGGTGCTGGACTGGAGATGACCGTAGTCCTGCAGGAGTGTTCCAACTTTTCTTGGGCTTGTGGCAGGATGGAGCCCTCGCCTCGATCAATCTGCATGGGGTTCAGACCTTCGTACACAAGTGGAAAGTTTCGAAGAACGGGTGGCAAACTGAGGTGGAGAGAGGAATCCGTGCTCGGGGCGACAGCCGGCCGATCAGTCCAGATAGTGCTGCTCTTGGTTCTCTGTCTCCGTTTTCGCGGTCGCACGTTCCTTGCCTAATCTCGCTGAAGTCAGCTCAGGTAGCAGAATTCCTTCCACAGCACTTGGGCAACATCGCGCAGTGAATGGCTAAAACGAGGACGCACGGCCGAATCAAGATGCCGACAGTTCACTTAACAGGGATTGCTGAGTGTGGGGCTGTGCCGAGCCGAGGAACATCAGCGAGCCATTGGCAAGTGCGAGTCCTAGGGCATCATCGCGCGGTGTTCGTGTTGTTGTGCTGTTCCGGATGCCGTTGTGGAATTTTTGGACGCTTTCGAGAAGCCTCTAAGGTGCAGCTGCCGACCGAGCATTGTTCACTATCCCCCATAGTGAACAGCTGAAGCCTCAGTCTGTGGCTTGTGACTTAACTATGATCTTGTTTTGGCACATGTCCGTCATCCTTTTCTGCAGACTGTACGTGCTGGAAAACATCTGGGGCACGTTTCGATCATGATGGTGCCCTCGGAATGCTAGTGTCGCAGTCAGACACTGTGTTCACCTCCAGTCGGGCAGGACAGCGGACAATACGCTCGAGAATTCCATTTCGTGCAGCGTGAAAAGCACCTGCGCAACATGGCACGGGTGTTATCCTTTAGCCCGCTGGCAAAACGTCCGAAGCGCATCGGATTTCTGAAACTCTATATGTCACGAGTGGAGCATGTGCGGCCCGCGACGAATGTGACGAACGGGGAAGAGCAGGCCGAAGCAGAAGTGCCGTCGTGCCACGGAAGGGACATCAAAGAACAGACCAAGATGTAGCTCTTGACTTGATTGCAAGTTCGAGCAGACCTAGGCAGGAGATTTCGAATCTAGTCCGGGGCTTTGCCAAGACGTCGGTCAGATGCTCAGCTGGGCTTGAGAGCTGTTGCAGGCAGCAGCATGAAGACAAGTTACATGTGGCGACATCGCTGGAGGCCAAAAGCACGAAACCCATCGAGGCGCTGTGAGAGTCACAGGCCGGTTGACAAGCAGTCCGACTACAAAGCGAGCTAGCAGCACCTTCCTCCGTTTCTTAGTTCTGCAGGTCACCAGCAAGAGCCACCGCCTCGGTTGGATTCGATACAGGACGCAACGAACCAGTCGGGTGTTGGGGTCAGCGGCTGTCAGCCGATGTCGGAGCTGTGTCAAGCCACATCTAGCCACGTGGCCTGCTTTAAGATCCACACCATGAATGCAAACAGCTGTGACTTTCATTTCGCAAGACGAGCTTTGATAAGACGAGCTTGCGCAAGTCTTTGCCTCGCTCAAGAGTGCTCGAGGTCTCAACGCACAAGGCCCCTCCAATCTCGTCTGATCTTGTGCAACCACTCTTCATCGGTGTGTGACTGAGTGCAGCATGAAACGTGAAACGCATGCTGGTTGGCATGAAGAGCCATCGGCAACTGTAAGGCCTGGGCCGTTGCTGCAAGTCGCAGCGGGCGAGGCTCGGCCACTCCGCCACCCCATGATCCCGTTTCTCTAGCTTTGCGATTCAGCGTGGGCCTCGTGGTGGGACCTTGAGGCACAGAAGATCCTGGACACCTTCTCAGAGCAGAACCTTGCAAACACAGCCTGAGTCCTACCAAGCTGTGACGTGTCAATAAAGCAAAAGCTGCACGCTCTGGTGCCAGTGGAGATCGATGATTCGCAGCCAAAGAGTGGCGAGCCTTTTTCTTATTCGGCTTCTTGTCGAGGCATGGGGCTTCGCCAAGCTACAGTGGAATGGTCAGGTGCTTACTGCCCGGGGAGCCAAGTATCTCGAGTTCTGAGTGGGACTTAGACTAACAGCCGGGTCACCTGTACGATAGAAGCAGTCAGTACATGAACCGAACTGGGTGAACGAGGTGTGGCCTCGACAACTGCAACCTCCGATCTGGCACTGGCAAAGATGCCCGAGCTCTTTCCGCAGGCCTCTTTTCGTGCGTGATGGAAGGAGTCGTATCCTTTTTGTCCATTCATCTTCTATGCGACATGCGCAAGATAACGGAGGCCCTGGCAAACATGGCCTAGTCGTCAGCAAATTCTGTGGCAGCACCCTGAGCATGAGCCGTGGTTGCGGCATGTGGGAAGTGATGGTACTTTGAACCGGTGCATTCTCCGCATCCGAAATTTCCAGGTGAAGAGTGCTATGTTGCTGGCTGCGGCCGATGCCTCGTCAATCATTAAGCTTGCCAGCTGGGTGTCTGCTAGACTGCTAGACTCAGCTACTAGACCCGTGTTTGTCAATGCATGCTTTGAGCTTGCAAGAATAATGAGTGTAGCCCCTTGCTGCGCTACGCCTATAAACGGACCCAGGCTGCGTCCAAGACGATTGATGTCATTGACTAGTTCAACCACCAGAACATGTCCAACACCTTCTGGTGCGCCGGATCGGAGGGGTTCGACAAACAGAGCGGTTTCTGCAGGGCAGTTTTCTGGAATGGCGAAGGTTTGTTATCAGCGCTGATGGTCTAGATTACAGCAAGAACAAAGCTGTTGCTGTTTCTGCTGCTGCTGCTACTATTGCCACTGCCACTGCTACAGCTACCGCTACTACTACTGCTGGTGCGCGACAAAGAATACTACGACAACAGAACAACCACCACTTACTACGACTGCTACTGCTACTACTACTACTACTACTACTACTGCTACTACTACTACTACTACTACTACTACTACCATTACTACTGCTAGGACTTGTACAACTGCTACAGCCACTGCTATTGCTGCTGCTACTGCTACTGCTACTTCTACTGCTATCAGTACCAGTGCAAGTACCGGTGTCAGTACCAGTACCAGTACTTGCTGTTACTAGTACTAGTACTAGTACTACTGTTGCAGCGACTACGACTGCTGCTGCTACGCAAAAACAAGAACAACGACTACGACGGCTGCTGCTACAACAACAAGAATAAGTACTACTACTACTACTACTGCTGCTGCTGCTACTACTACTACTACTATTACTACTACTATTACTACTACTACTACTACTACTACTACTACTACTACTACTACTGCTACTAGTGCTACTACTACTACTACTACTACTACTACTACTACGGCCTAGTTGATCCCGTCGTGACTTGCAAATCTCGGGCCCCCGCGGAGCTGCCACAGGTGTGCCAGGTGGGTGACAATACTACTACTACTACTACTACTACTACTACTACTACTACTACTACTACTTCTACTACTTGCTACTGCATGCTACTGCATGCTACTACATGCTACGACATGCTACTACATGCTACTACATACCACTACATACCACTACACACCACTACATACTACTACTTTCCACTACATACCACAACAACAACAACTACTACTACTACTACCACCACCACTACTACTACTACTACTACTACTACCACTACTAACGACTACTACTGCTACCTCGATTTCACTACTACTAATTACTCTCTACGAATGACGACTTAGAGCTACTACTACTACTACTACTACTACTACTACTACTACTACTACTACTACTACTACTAACAACAACAACAACTAAGACAACTACAACTACAGCAACAACTACTACAGCAACAACTACTACAGCAACAACATCAACTGCTACTACTACTTCTACAACAACAACTACTACTACTACTACTACTACTGCTACTACTACTACTACTGCTACTACTACTACTACGACTACTACTACGGCTACTACTACTACTACTACTACTACTACTACTACTACTACCACTACCACCACTACTACTACTACTACTACTACTACTACTACTACTACTTCTACTTCTACTACTACTACTACTACTGCTACTACTACGACTACGACTACGATTACGACTACGACTACGACTACTACGACAAAGCCCCACCAGCCCAGCCAGCACCACCAGCACCACCGCTGCCGCCGCCACCACCGCCCCGGTTGCCCCCCATCACCGCCCCCAACCCATCGCCCTTATACCCCACCGGCCCCACCGCCACTCCCCACTGCTCCCACTGCTACCACTGCAGTGGTACCACTGCGACCACTGCGACCCTACCACGACCACCACCACGGCCGCTGCCACTACCAGCACCACCACTTCCTACCCTTGACTGGCATTTACTTGTAGTAGCTACCAGCTACCAAATGCCAGCTACGAACTACTCACCACACACTGCTAACTACCCATGACTAACTATGAACTTACCAGTACGAACCCCTAAGCACCGCTTGTTCAGTTCTGATTAGTAACTACAACCAGCAGCCGTTGCTTGCCAGCTGCGAACTGCTGACAACTGACGGCTAACTATTATCTACTAACTTCTAACTACTAATTACGAACTACGAAAGGTTACTGTTTACTAAAAACTGGCCACTCACTTACCAAGTGCTCATTGACTACACACTACTAGCTACTAGCTACACAGTACCTACTACCCAAAGCTCACCGTTAGTTACTAACGACTGCTGCTTTTGCCGTGACTTGCTGCGACGACTGCTGTTGGGGCGGTTTTCCGATTTCAGGCAAATCATGTTGTGGACAAACACCTGGTCCAAAAGTCACCAACCAAGGCTACGGCCGCTCATGCAATCGGGTATGGGAGTTGGGAGATTGGACTTGGAAATGTTGAATCCGAAAGAACTTTCCAGCAGTGTCAATGTAGCCGTCTGCCGATGGGGCAAGAGACTGGATCCGCCTAGTCCAAGGCCATTGAGGCCGCTTGGCTTTTGATGTTTGCCAACCCTCCAATACATGTGCCTCCGAGGGCCTTGGCCACCTTGGCCCATGTCAGCAACCTCCTGCTCGATGCGCTGGCGGGGCGTGGCGCAGCGACACTGCCTGCATTCCCGGTTCAGGTGCACCCGAAGATAGGCATTGTAGCATTTCGCAGTGCGCCTGAGTTATTGTCGAATTTCGGAAACCTGCTGGACAGGAGCTGGTGAACACCTGCTGGGCAGTCGCACGCAAGGAGCTCAGGGCAAACTTGTGCTCTCCTGAAGCCAATGCACTGTTAGTAGGCACGATACGAAGCTGCGGACAAGCTGTCAGTGTCAAAGAGCACGGGCAAGAGGCCTGATGTACTACCGCGGGGCGCTGCAGAAAGCGGTTCAGGAGGCAGTGTGCCTCAAGGCTGGGAGGCTTAGTCACATCGGAGCTGTCCAGGATCGCTTGTTGCTGAATGTAAAGTACTTCGTCTCAGACTGATGGCTTGCAAGACGTGCGACCGCTTGCAGATTGGAGCGTTTGAGTTGGAGAGACTATTTGGCGTAGTCCGAGTGTGGGCGTCGATTGTTCATAGAAGCAGGATTTGATGTGGCGTGGGCTGACACATGAGAGCGATGCAGTGAATTCCCCATGTCTGCAGGTGTACCAGCACCGAGCGCGGGATTTGGCCAATGCAGCCCGATCGCCTGGTCGGCTAAAGACGATGGAGCCCGAACCTCACCAGAGACCTGCGAACCGCTTAAGATTTACGGATTTACGGGTACAAGGGTCTGTTGCGTGCGCCCGGTGATGACACCTGCATAACCTCATCACGCGTGAGGTCACAGCTGCTAGCATCTGTTACTGCACATGCGCTGCCGAAGATCCAGCAATGCTTGCCGCAGGAGGCATGACCTGTTTAGCAGAGTAGTGAGGGAGCATCATGGAGCATCTGCTGAAGTGTGCTTGCATCTGTCTGTGTTTGCATAGATACAGCGCCCTTGTGCCTGTCTTGGCCTGCAGTTGTCAAACCTGGCGTGGGCTACGGCGACGCCGCAGACCTTGGACAGGATGTCAACGGATGCGGCTGCAGCCGAAGGAATCCAGAAGGTTGTAGGCAGGGTGGGTGGAGTTGGTGCGACCGTACATGTAAACATACTGTCACTCAAATCCTGCTTGGATGATTTCTTGGTAAATGGTTGGGCCAGTGTCAACGCTGCGAGAGCCGCCACGACTGCGTACCCACGAGTGCTGCCGACGTCGTCATTGCCAGGTTCCAGCGTGCAGAACTTGGCGAATACAGCTCAGGGGTTCGCCACACTTGGTGCAGTGAGGAGGCATTTCGACTTTGCTTTGTCGAAATCTTTTCAGGGCCGGGGCCTGTAATCCATGATCTCCGAACAGGAGTGGTGGATGAGTTTACATGGTTACCCCTGCAAGAGGCCTTCAGCGGAAGCGGCTTCAGCAGAGACGCACTCGAGCTCAGCAGCGGGTTGCCGCATCACATTGGGTCTTGTGTCACCATGCCACTTGATTTGCAAGTGATGATCTGCATGCATCCTCAAACAGTTGCTGCCGGCACTGTAGCTGCTCTCCGGAGCGAACTGGCGTTTGAGCTTTCGTTATGGAAAGGGGCTGGCATGAACCTGTCCATCTGATCGAAGCATTCGAGTTGTGATGCAAGGCTGAAGCGCATTTCGCAGCCCGAGCCACAAGCACCGACCAACACCGCCACGACCATAGCATGGCGACCTGCTGACACCAATCAATGCTCGTGTTTCATGGGATGATGCGTGTAATCTCGCAGAAGTTGTGTGATTTTGCATGTTTTGTTCTGTAGAACATGGCCCCATCCTTGCGGTTCCGGTACCGTTTCTCATCTCAATGAGCTGAGGTTCGATCGTCGGGAACATTGGGTGTCAGCGACGTGGCTGGATCCTTTGCTCGGGGGTACACACTGACGGGTGCGGCTCTGTCGTGCTCTGCCTTAGGCATGCTTCACTGTGTGCTTTGCCCGCTGTGCCTTCTGCCGCCAGGTCTCGTTGGAAGCTGCTGCTCTTGCTTCTGCTGCTTCCGAGCTTGAGCAACCTGCGAGATCTTGGCTGCAGGCCGGGACTGTAGTGTAGCCGCGCCATTGTCCTGATGGAGGATCGGCTGCGACGCGCTGCCGAGGGCAGCGAAATGGTGCGAGAAGCTGGCGAGGCGACACAGAGGGAGAAGTCAAGGCAGCTCCGACACCTCTTCGGTGGAGGCCCCCAGGTAGAGATGCTGTCTAGAGCTGCAGACTCCCAGGAGTATGATTCTGGAGAGGTAGCCTCAGGAGCTCAGCAGTTGGAGGAGGAAGATCTGGCAGCAGCAGCTTTGGAGTCTGAGCATCCGCAGGGAGCTCTCGATATTCTGACAACGCAGATGATCGATGAGCATGTGAGCTCGCCCTCCGTGAGTGCTAGAGTCCAGTTGTGGTCTGAGAGTGAAGCCTCTCAGAAGACTGTGGCAGCTGAGTCTGCAGAACTTCGAGCGGCTGCAAGGAAAGTGAGGAAAGTGAAGCAAGAAGCAGAGGCTGCTTCTGAGGAAGAGAAGGACCCGCCGCCAATGCAGATGGTGCAGGCTCCTTCACTGCGTCTGGGACCGGTCGCTAAGAGAGAGGCTCTGGAACAGGAGCTGGGCCCGGTGGCTGCGGCAGCCTGCAACTTCGCTGCCGGGTTCGTGACACAGCAGCTGACAGCAGCTCACGAACGGGAGCTCAGTCGGCAAGCCCAGTGGCACCAGCAGGAACTCGAGCTCGCTGTCCGCCTGGCGAAGTCCGAAGCGGAAAACGAGGTCCTGAGGAAGCAGAACGAGACTCTTCTCTCGAGAGTCGGCGCCGCCCCGTCCGTGCCACTTCCGCAAGTCGCGGCACTGCTCCCCAGAGACGAGGTCCTGGAGGTGAAAGAGGAAGAGGCGGCTCAGGAAGAGCCACCGCAGGAATTCGTCTACAGAACCTGCGAAATGGCGGCAGAGCCGCCATACTCTGTTCTGAGGCTCTTCCTCGAGTTCGCCTACGGGCAAGTGGCAGCCTCGGATATGGCTCGGCAGTCACTGCCGGCGGCGATCGAACAGCAACTGCGGCAGTTCGATGACATCCCAGGGGGCCGACTCCTCATGCCTGGCCAGTTGAAATCCTCACTGGATTTGGACCTGCTTCCCGTACACCCTGAGTTTCTGCGACTCCGTGACGTGAGGGACTTCGACGTCCAGGCCAGGAAGTGCAAAACACGTGGTTGCTGGGGTTCGCGCCAAACTCGCCAGACTGTGACAGATTTCGCCAGATTTCGCCAGATCTCGGCAGATTTCGGCAGATGAGTGGGGGGAGGATTCGTGACAGATTGTCGCTAGAATCTCGGCAGATTGTCGCCGGACTCGTGACTTCGACAGATAGAGGGGAGGGTTTCGCTAGATTTCGCCAGATTTGGCCAGACGAGAGAGGGGAGGGGATCGCCAGATTTCGCCAGATTTCGCCAGACGAGAGAGATGGAAGGGTTTCGCTAGATTTTCGCCAGATTCCGAGAGATTTCTGCTGACTCTGCTAGCTTCTTTGACGCGTCGTCCGCGCCCATCAGGTGCCCGGCCACGACCTCGACACGGCGCTGCACCTGCTCCGGGAAAGCTACTGTATGCCATGGGAGCGACCGAACTTGGAGCTGGCAACACGCGGCCGGGATATTCGAGCGTGCCTCCACAGCACCCTTCGACTTCCTGACGCGAGGCCGCGTTTACGTGGCCTACAGCAAGAACCTCAAGCAGGTCTATGCCTCCAAAGCCAACTACGGTTCAAGCTCCGTCTTTCCTATGTACTTCATCAAGTTCAAGGATCTGCCGGTGGATCGCCGTAAGGAGGTCATGACAAAATTGAAGCTCAAGGACCTCATGGACAAGGACCCTGAGCTGCAGGCCCTTGGCGAGGCTGCTGCTGTTCCGTCGCCGAAGAGATCGGCCTCCCAGCAGGAGGCGCCGCCTGCAGCAGCTAGGAGGAGGATGCAGCGGCCTGCTGCTGCTCACTCCGACTGATCGACTTCCAGGCCCGGTGGCTTCTTTCTTTGCTAGAGTTTTCGGTCAGAGTGTCTGTTGTGCAGGAAGTTGTAGCCTAACATGTGCAGATGGTTTGTTTTCGTGAGCTCGCCAGGCCGCCACGGTCCCTTTTGACCACGTCCCAGTATGGGCACGGTCCGACTGATCGACTTCCAGGCCCGGTAGCTTCTTGCTTTGCTAGGGTTCACGGTCGGAGTGTGTTGTGCTGGAAGTGGTAGCCTCGTCTGACATGTACAGATCGTCTGGTTTCGCAAGCTCGCCAGGCCGCCACGGTCCCTTTTGACCACGTCCCTTTATGGGCACGGTCCAACTGATCGACTTTCAGGCCCGGTTGCCTTTTTTCTTTGCTGGAGTTCTCGGTCCCCTCACGTCTCACCCCTCACTCCTCACTCTCACCCTCACCCTCACTCTCACCCTCACTCTCACTCTCCTCCTTACTCTCCCTCCTCACTCCTGATTCGCTCTGCTTGGCCAAGGTGATACACTTTTGCAGCGCACTGCCATGTCGACGACTTCGCGCCAGAAGACAAAATCAAGGGGCCCCGATTCGTATGTATTCACGCTTTCGCATGCTTTCAAGATGACACAGACGCGAGTTGCAACTCTGACAGAGTCATGTGGGAGTGCAGTGGCTTGGCAAACACTCTTTCCTGCTGAATACTTGCCGGCGATGTTTGTGTTGGCTGTGTTGTCAGGCCACCTCTGAAGCTGCTGCCACGCAGGGACGACACAAGGCCAGGCACTTACTCGGGGCCTGTGCCCTGCCATGCCCTGCCAAACTCACGAGTTCCGTTATCACATTGGCATGCACTGTCACCAACTCTTTGACCCTTTCCCAGGTGGAGATGCATTGCCCTCAGGACCTCAACCAGTCCAGAAGACTCCCCTGTGGCCTTCCTGCCGAAAACGTCTACGAAGCATGCTTGTTGCTCTCTTTTCGGAAATTTGCAAGTGCACGTCCAAAGTTTTAGGTGCCTAAAACCATCTAACCGTATCTAACCTGCAGGACATTGGAAACACCTCCCGGGCTTCTGGAAAACCAAGCCACCTGGGCGCGCCCTGGCCGAAATGATCATGACTGCGTAAGGCTTGATGCCGGTAGTGAATTGGGCTCATCCACCAGAGTTTCTGAAGCCTTACTCAAACCCATCCTGAATCTCAGCGTTTCTGCCGGAGCCCTGCTTGATGCGGTTGCCCCCACTTTAAGTGTAGTAGCAACTTATGCCCTGCTAATCTTTCTACGCTCCTCTGGTCCCTTTCACAAGTTCCACATCCACAGTTGCAGCCAATGTCTTTGACTGTCATCATTGCTTTTGAAGCTCCGAACCCGATGAAGCCATGGCCGGAACGGATGTCAAGCGCAGTGGTAAGACCACTGCCGCCGCTGCCGTCACGATCCATCCACACCGCTGCACGAAGACCCTCCTCACCATGGACGTCCATGGTCTCGGTCTCGGCGGCCTCAGTGGCTTCGTTGCGCGGTCTCCGGCGTGGAAGGGTCAGGCTAGGAGCCAGCTTCCGATGGGAGCAGGGAGATGCCAGCGATCAGGAGCTGCGAATTTTCATGCCGGTGGGCAGTGACACGTCAGCCAAAGATGTCGAACTGGAGCTAACGGAAACGTACCTTCGAATCGGTCTGCGTGGGAAGCCGCCAATGATTGAAGGCGATTTGTGGAGCTGTGCAGACGTAGAGGACACGTATTTCGAGTTGGAGGCTCGGCCAACAGAGGGAGCTCGAAAGGATGTCAAAGAGTTGGTGTTATACCTGGCGAAGAAAAGGGTCGAGACTTGGGAGGAAGTCCTGCGCCCCTGTTACAAGTGGGAGCCTGCTGGGCGCTACAACGAGGAGATCCGAATCTATGTTCCCCTTCGTGACGAGCTCGGGGCATCCGACGTTGATTTCCAGCTGGCCAATGGTCGTCTCCGACTGAGATGTGCTGAAGAAGTAGTTCTGGATGGAGAGCTGTGGGGCGCTGTCGAGCTCGAGGACTGTGACTGGATGATTGATGTCCATGATGGCCAGCGAAGCATCATTGTTTCTTTGGGAAAGCTGCACGTGCGCGAGCATTGGGAGAGACTGTGGAAGAGCGAGGAAGGCAAGGCTGGCTGGCCAGTCTTCAAAGCAGGCTCACGCAAGGATGTTGACATGGCAGTCCTTGGTTCTCTTGATTATGTCCATACCCTCCTAAACCAACGGGATGTCGACTATGCGAGGGACTACTTAAACCATGTCTTGCCTGACGACGAGGAGCCTTGAGAAGAGTCAAGGCTTCATCGAAGCCAACTGCTCAGCCATGCTCGCGGCAGCAGTCGGGCGAGCAGAAAGGCTGCCTGTGCCCGGTGCATATACCAACACATACGTTAAGCCCGCTAAGTAGCTTTTTTCTTCTACATTCTACACGGCTGTTGGGCTGCTAGTGGCACCTCTCCCATGGCCCGACAACCCATTTCAGCACCGCCCATTCTGTTCCCCCCCCGAAGGGACAGTCTTCGTCACCCTGTGCACTCGTATGGAAGACATTCGCAGCCCATCCTCTCATAGAGTTGTCCGATCTAATCTGCGATTGACAAAGTTGCTGGCGGCATGCTGTCTTTCTAGCTGACCACGCACGCTGATAGTCAGAAGCACAAGCACAGACGTGCGCGCAGACAGACAGGCTCGCCCCCAAGGCCCTGAGACAGACAGACGGACAGACAGGCAGGCAAACGCACATGCAGGCACACAGGGAGACGCACTGACTCACCCACTCTTTCAACAAACACCCTGGACTACACAAAGACAAAGCAAGCTCCAGCACACAACAGCAAGCAAACAAAACCACCCACAAACACACACGCGTGCGCACGCGCACACACACACACACACACACACACACACACACACACACACACACACACACACACACACACACACACACACACACACACACACACACACACACACACACACACACACACACACACACACACCCCACACACACACACACACACACACACACACACACACACACACACACACACACACACACACACACACACACACACACACACACACACACACACACACACACACACACACACACACACACACACACACACACATTCACACATTCACACACACACACACAAAACACAGCATCGCTCAACAAAAACGACAACAAACAAACAGTCACCCCCCCCCCCGACAAGCAAGCAAACAGAACAGAGCCCAAACTGGGCTCAAACAAACATGCAACAAGGCACAGAAGCACCAGCATACACTCACACCAGCGACAGACGCTTAGCGGCACCAGCCGTTTGTGGAGCGGGACGGGTCCGGTGTCAGAGATGCTGGTGGAGCCAGTTCGTCCTCAGCATTGTCTTTCCGCAACCGGCAACCGCACAATCAATCAAACACACATTCAAACAAACATTCACGCAAGCGAAAGAACCTGTAAGCAGACGACTAAGCACACTTGCAAGCTAAGAAGCAACAACTAACCAAAAACGAACGAACAAAGCAACAAGCCAATCGCAACCGCAAGGTTGCAAGCTAGCAGGCAAGACGGCAAACCTTGACACAAACATCCACTAGCCAATCCGCACAAACAAAGCAGGCAAGCAAGCAAGCAAGCAAGCAACCAAACAAACCAGCACATCCAGCACAATCACAAAATGCACGTGCACGCACGCACAGACAGATAGACAGATAGACAGACAGAGACAAACAGACAGACAGACAGACGGACAGACAGACAGGCACACAGACACACAGACAGACAGGCACACAGACACACAGACACACAGACAGACAGACAGACAGACGGACGGACGGACAGACAGACAGACAGACAGACAGACAGACAGACACACAGACACACAGACACATAGACACACACACACAAAAATAAATAGACAGACGCAGACAATTGCACACATGCAGTGAAGGAAGAGCTCTTCGAAGCTTTGGCTTTGGAAGCCTTGAAGAAGTCTCGGTCTCGGGGTGTTACGATTCTCTGATGCAGTGTGTGCGATGCTTGCCACTGTTGGACGAAACGAGTCACGGCAGCTGCAGCTGTTTGGGCTTGCAGCTTGTGCTTCACGAAGTCAAGGTGAGCTCCTGCGACTTTAGTTACTATTTCAGCTTTTCATGTCAGGTGGTGCAACAACCGGGCTCGCAGTGAAACACCAGCCCTTCCAACGCACAGAGCTTGTCGTAAGCCAAGATGAGTGCCGCTGCCGCCTCTGCGTGGATTGGGCGCTCGCACTGCCGACTCCAGGTTGAAGTCCTGCCTTGTGCTAGAAATGCGGCTTTATTGCTTGGAAGGCCCTGCCATAAAACCCGAGGACAGGTGAATGATGCGACCCAGGTGAGCTTACTCTTGGCTGCCTCTGCTTCCCAGCTGTGAATTGGAATTGCTTGAGCGTTGTGTCAGCACACTCACCCAAGCGGTACGTCAGTCCTATTATACCTATACTTTTGGAAGTTGATGATCGAGGAAGCGCTCGAAGAAACCGGGAGGGATTGTTTTTGCCACAGGGTAGCAGAGCCAGCAATGGCCACTCCTGCACATAGCATTGCGCCACCGTTTCCCTGACTCCGGAGCTGTACCACTTCCCCTGGATCCCTTCTCCTGGATCCCTTCGTACCACCCTGTCACATTCGACCGGGCTTGTGTGCGACAGATGAAAACAAGCCTGAGGCTTCCCAATCCTAGTCCGAGCCGTGGTAGTGATGATCCTTAAAAACTGAGCAAACGTGTCTCATTTTATCCTCTCTCATATTCCAATTGGCTCCTGTTAGCGGAAAGGAAAATCAAACAAACAAGCAAACAACGAATCCCGAGCACATCGAGGACGCCCAAACACGTGTTTCGAACCAATCTTGGCCGGAGCGTGTTGAAGAGTTCCACGACACTTAACCCACTGCCACATGATGACAAAGACGGCTGAGGTGGCTAAGCGAAACAGCAGCCTGAAGTTGCCAGGTGCTTTCAGGAACCGCGTGCACTGACGAAGGAAGTGCGAGCACGTATAGAGGTAGATATGAAAGCTGATGGAATGACTGGCTTTGATGGCAGATGCCGGCGCAGATGAAAGCTTTTGATACTGACTGATCTCTCGCCCCACATGTTCCCTCGGAGCCTGCACAGGCCGACGCTCACCGACCAGCTCTGTCATTCCGTTTCATGTCTACAAACGCACACACCTTCCGGTGCGGAACCATGTCCCGTCCTTTCAGTCCGTCTGTTGCCGTTCTCTCATGCAGTCGCGCGACTATCTCTGCCAACCATTCGCCCTCTCGCGTGCCAGCTGCCCAACCTCAAACTTCGTTGCTCCTGCTGCCACCTTCCACCGATCCCTCCGACCACAGCCACGAGCATCCTCTCCGGAACACCCGAGAATGGAGAGTCACAGACATCATTCGATTTTCCCTAGTCCTGCACTGCAGATGAGGCAGTGTCAGTACTACCTTGAACGTCTCCATCTCGTCACCACGCCCTTGCTGTCCCCTCACTGCATTGCTCCTTGTGGAGATGAGTAGCCTGCCTCATGCCCGAAGCACCCCAATCCGCTTCGCCTAGTTGAACGTGCTTCAGCACGCAACCGCCCGCCTGCATGCTCCCTGTGACCAGTGCAATGCTTGTCGGTTCTAGGATCTGTAAGTGCAGTGACTACAGTCATCTGCACCATTCTTCGCTCTCCCAGCTCAGGTTGGGATTATATTGGCGATGCTCGGATGCAGTCTAAGAGCCTAACTTTCTGACAGTTATGTCGCGGCGAACTCATCGACTTCTCAGACGGCCTGGAACTCGAGCGAGCGGATTGGAGCATCCCAATGTCGCAGTAAGGATCCGTGATGCCGTTGGCACATACCAGCACGGCTGCATCGTGCACCAACGGTACGGCTTCCGGACGTTGCTTGGCCAACAGGGAGGTCCACACACATGAGAAGGTCGAGGTCATGCTAAATGGAAGTCAGAAAGTGTGATTTCTTGTCGGACTGCGCAAAACCGACAAAGAGGTGTCACTCGATGTCATTTGTTCAGGCTCACTCTGGGCTCGCTCGTCATTTGTTGCAGGTTCTGCGTGGTGGAGCTTCTTGACTCGCTGTTCCTGCTTCCATGTACCTTTCAACTGTCCCAGGGCTGCAGTGTGTCGATGTTTAAGCGCATTCGGCGTGATCGGTGTCATTTGTTGTGAAGCTACGTACGACCTCTCAAGGTTTGGTCTAGGTTTTTGGTATGATCGCCCAGACATTTTCCTGCCGTGTGTGTCAAAGCTAAGTCAGGATCTGCCTCACCGTCAACTATGATGATCGAGTTCAGTCACGGTTGCAGGAGGCGAGCGCGATGTGCCGAGTTTGAGTTTGCATCTTGGGCTTGACAATCAAGCTCTCACTGCAGCTTGGAGACGGGGTGATCTGATCGTAGGTCATGCTGCATGCTTGACAATCTACAAGGCTCGCCACGGCATGTCTTCAGGCGAGGCTGGAGAAGGAACGGCTGTCGGCTGCGTATCATCGGTGCATCCAGGAGATGGATGCCGGGCCCAAATTGAAGCTTTGTGTGCTGCTCCGTTTGCTGCTTCTTTCTGCTACCAGCTATACAAGCCGTCTCTAGCAGTGTGTCGTGCCTCGCCTGAGGATGAGAAGCTGCGTGCTGTTTCCGAGTCCAACATCCTTCTGGCGGAACGATCGTTTGCAGACAGGTGGGGCGTTGTAAGTCTGAGCTGTAGCTTGGGGCAGGTAGCAGCAGAGGAACTAGACTTAGACAAGACTCGAACTAGGTGGCTTTTTGATGTTACGCACGCAGGGGCTTATGCAGACTCCTGAACTGACATTGCAACCAACCCGCAGAGGAAGAGAGATTTTGCGGCCTTCTTGGGGCAGTTGATCGTTTGGTGCCCTCGTGTGCCAGCACACCAGCAGGAGCCAGTGAAAAAATCTGGGAAGATGTTGGCATCGTTTGTGAGAACTCGAAGGAGCTGTTGAGGCATGAACTACGCAGCTTCGTTGATCTCTGGCTGCGGGTCTATGGCGAAGCGTCAATCGACCCCGGCAAGAGGCGACGACGATTTGCAAAATCACTCTTTGCACCCTGCCCAGGGGATGCTTTTGTTGTCCGACCGTCTTGGTGTTCCCCGGAGCTCCCTGAATTCTATTCCATCCGTTTTATTTTCATGAAATGAACAGCAAAATCACAGGATCACGAATGTTAAGCTGGACGGTTTTGATCGATTGCTCGTCTCTGGGGCAAAGACTGAGTGACATCTGCAAAGCCCACAGGCTGCAGTTCGACTGCTCGGTGTTGGACAAGTGCAAGACGGCAGAGGAATCGGAGATACCGAAGCGGCCGGCAAGTTGTGCAGCATTGTTCATGTTGGGGGTCAGGTGCTGCACTGCAAGTACTCGTAGTCGAGAGTAGTCACTCTGGACTTGGACGCAGTCGCTGGACCTAGCGATTCGATGCCACTGTGCGTGGTCCGCGGCCGTCACATCTCTCAGCATTCTCTGAAGGAGACTGCAGTGCTAGGCGTTGCAGGCCATGGGCGACCCATGGCGCAAGATATTGCAGCAGCTGACCGCGGAGCTGGTCGCTGGGCGCTGGAATTAGAGAAAGCGAGCACGGTGCCGGTACTTTGCGCACTTTTCTGGCTCAGGAACGCCAGTCCTCCCGCCTACGTGAGCTGGAGTTGGAGAATCAGGTGCTGAGCTGAGCTTCTGTTGCCAAGCAGGGATACCTCAGCCGTTGATGGCAATTGAATTGCTTAGACATACTCAGACTTTACGCCGCACCTGTAATGTGTAGTCTCCGCAGTGCAAGGCAAACAGGGCAATGAAAACTGTCGTATGCTGGTTGCTGCCAGGGCTTGAAGATCGCCCAGTCGACGCTTGAACGCTCACTACCTGCTAGCACTCCTGTCAGTCCAGCTCTCCGAGGCATATTCGGTTTTGGGGAGAACTCGTAGCGTCAAGCCACGACTGAACACAGATCTTGTGATGGCCGCCTGTCTGACAGATGCGGCAAAAGCAGAAAGTGAAGGTGTCAGCTCCAAGTCAGAGCCATTGAGGCGCGCCGGTGAATCTCGACGTGTGCGATTTGCAGTCCGTGCGAACATGTTGCAGAAAGTCAGTCGGGGGGAGGGGACCTAGTTAACCCACGCTCCCAGGCGAGAGAATCCAGAAACTCCAGGAAAGCCTGCCCAAGTATGGCAAGCGTTCTTGGGCAGAAATCGCAGTTGCAAAGTCAGTGCTCTCATGCCTGGCGCAATGCCTGGTGCATCCTTTGCTGCCTGTGTCGCTGGCAAAGCATGAAGCCGAAGTTTCGACAGCTCGTCGCTTCAAGGTCAACACCTGGAAAAAGTGACGCAGAAGATGAACCAGCAGATGACAAGGCGGGCATAAGCAGCCGCAGTTCTCGTAAGTTTGCCAAGTCCCTTGAGTTTCATTCGTTCGGCATCATGAAAAACCAGGGCCCACGGTGAAGAGCTAAACAAAGAACATGCTAAGGGTGTGCACCGGAAGCCCGTATAGTAAAACTTACGACCGGACCGGCCGGCTGCAGTGCAGCCTACGGTGCTTTTGAGTGCTTAAGCATTCAGCTCACGAAGCCTGTGAAGGTCAGCTTCTCGGTCATTCGAGGAACCCGTTCCACGAGGACGACGACGACAACAGGCGAACCACCCAGCAACTTGGCCAGATAATGAGCGACGCAAGGGCCAAGGGGGCAAGCCAGTGTTCACGGGACATGTAGCAGAATCTAGCAGATGAGCTGGGCACAGGCATTAGGCAACGGGCTGGTGCCCGGTCATGACGGAAGCGAACGAAGCCAGATGCATCAAAAACCGTCGGAAGCCTTTCTCTGTATTTAGACAAATTCCTGAGAAGTTGCTTGGCGCTGAGGAAAGCCTTGGTACGTTATCAATCCGCAAAGCAACGCGTTTGCTACGTGGCAACTGATCACCACCATCGCTCTGGGCTTCGTCGTGACGGTTGTGCCTTACCAAGTGGGACTGCTGGAGTTGGCCTGGGATTTTCTGCTGATTGCGAGTTGCTTGGTGGATCTGGTCTTTCTGGCCGACATGGCCCTGAACTTCTTCACTATGCCTCACGCCATCATCAAGGATTAAAGACATTTTCTGTGGTGGTTGCGACGTAGGATTTAACCATGCGGCAAACCTCTGATCTAAAACCGCTACCTTGTTGTCAAAAAAAGTGATGGACGGGGTTGGTCATGGCAAGCAAACCGTCGCAGAAAGCATTTCGGTGATTTGTGTTTTGGTTTGTTTGGAGAGGTATCCGCGGACGACGGCCCGTGGCATAAAGTGGGAAGACAGCCTGGAGAAAATCGCGAGGCACTACATATCTGGCTGGTTCTTAATCGATATATTGACCCTGATTCCCTTCGACATCATTGCATCTTGGCTTTAGGCAGTTCTTGAAGCCTCACGAACCGACTCGGGCCTCGGGACCTGTGCATAAAGAGATACGAAACATGACATGGCAACGGTGTTAATAACGAGAAGTGGAATAACAATAAAAGTCGTAGCAATACTGATAACTGTCAACAGATCACTGTCATAATGATGATGATTGTAGTAATAGTAGTTGTTCTGATTAGTAGCCATATCTACGCTTATAGAAAATTATAGTTAATGTACAAATAATGATAGTAGTACTAGTCAGTACTACTGTTGAAGTTATTGTCATTATGACGATCATTGCTATTGCAATTGCTTTTATTAGCCTTGTTGTTATAACTAGTAAGAATACGCGTTTTCATATTAATATATGATCAATAGTACATCATTGCTCTCGTTTTCTATTTCAACAGCAGCAAAAGTTAGGACAACAATACTGAGAACACTAGTATAATGAACACCAGTACAGCCATAGTCAGTCTCAGTATGTTATGATCAGAAGAAGAAGTTCAAAGTTCATCTCCCTTCGGCTAAGGAGCTTACATCAGGGGCAGCAGGTATGGGAGTTGGCAAGGCAACCAAAGCCGTGCGGGCATTGCGTCTTCTCAAGCGCCCTGGTGCATTTAGGGTTTAGAGTTTTATTCTTAGTGGTTGGTATTGGCTTGACATGTATTTCGTCAGTAAACAGTAGCCGAGAATCTTGATTTCATCCTCTTGCGCGCCAACTGTCTACACTGCTGCACTTAATTGCGAGATGTGTAGCCTGCCGTTTTGCCGAGCACTCAGTTGTTTCGAACTTATTTCCTTTCGGCCTTGCAGTTGCAAATGTTGCAAGTGCTACTTGCCTTGAACAGCCCGAGTAGCATATTCGGGTCAAACTCAACGGAGCAACTGGCTCTCAGTCTGTTCAGAGAGTGCCACGAGACCAGCGAACCCGAGGCTAATGCGCATTTTGAAAACATCAAGGCCTGGTCATGAATGGTTTGGAAATCTTGTTCAGGAATAGGATGTGGAGATCTGCAAAGGGCATGTTGGAATTCCCGCACCAAGGGCATCTGAAGGTCAAAGCCCGCTCAGTTTTTGCGACCTGTTGCTCGCGTGGCTTTGGCAGGTGGCTGCACAAGCTGGAGATTGCCATTTCCATCCCATACCAGCAGTTTGCTTTAGCGCGGTTTTTGCTGATCTTGTTACTGGTGGCTTGGCTTGGGAGTGGGTGACCCGCAGTCGTTGCCGCACAACTGAATCGAGCCACAGTTGTGTGTTGATCTTCGAAGGTTTGCCATTGGCTGGCCTGCATTTGGGCTATGACTCTTCAACTGGCAAGCGATGAATACCCGCAATGGATAAATGATATCGAAGTCGTTGACATCCAATTCGGCATCTTGGCAATGCCAGCAGTGGTTTTCATGTCTTGTGACTTCGTCTGCTTTACTTTCACGGTTCAAGCTGAACCCCCACGGACATAGATATCACTGGCCGAGCATCAGCCCAAGTCTGGGCCATAGGCAGTGTACCATGTCAAGATATTTGCAGAATCCACCCCAGGTGGGTCGTTGGCCTGGCGAGTTAGGATTTTGCAGAATGCATTGTGTGGGGCTTGATTCGGGATTGCTGATGGCTGCGTAAGCCTGCAATGAGGTGTAGGTTAGTATCGTTTTGAGGATGGACTCCTATTTCGAGTTGAAGGGAACATGTTTTCACTTGGGTGGATCGAAGCCCTGGCTACACAGGTGTCAACACAAGAAACGAGCCACATCGAGTTTATTTGAGTGCTTTCTATTTCTGCAGCTATACGATGACATCTGTTGGCTACGGCGACATCGGTCCGAAGATTCCGGGCTTCATTTGAGTATTCGGTTGTCCCGTCAAATTTCGACACATCGTCATACCTGCGAAAGAAAGACATAGAAAGACATGTGCGGCTCAGGAACCTTTTCGAACGATCTGTTTGCACGGTGATTATTTTGGCCGTGCCCTGCCCGCTTCAGCCACCAACTCATTCCTAGCCGTTGCAGCATGGGACGGCTCAGAGCTCCTAAAGATTTCAGGGATCTGCATGTCGTTTCGCTGCATAGTTGTCGTTGCTGCCCGGGGTGGCATTAGTTGCTTCACAGGCTGGCCTTTGCTGGGCCTACGTGCTGGGTGAAGTTTGCGCCATTGTAAGCGACATGAACTCCGAAAGTCAGGCCAGGCGGGTGTACTCCTGTTTGCAGCTACTAGCTAAGGGCCGAAGTTTTTCGAGCACACGAATGCGGCCAAGACTCTCTCACCACATGTTCCGGTAGACTATGGGCATACCGCGCCCCGTAAATCACCTCAAACGAGTGAGAATTTCGCGAGGCCTTCCGGAAAAAGATGACGGACCTGAACACCATGATGTGGGAGCAAGGGCTCCCCTACGAGCTAAGATGCCGGCTGCGAAGTTTCTTTCTCCAGAACCGACACCAGGTTTCGTGTTGGAAGTGCACGTGTTATAAACTTCCAACATAGACTCTAGGCTCGAAGCTGCGCTATGACTGCCAGGCGCTCTACGTGACCAGGCAGAAGCTTCGCGACAGCATGAGCCCTCAGCTCCAGTCCGAGGTGTGCATTGCGCTCAACTTGGCTTGGATTACGACTCAAGTCTCAATGCTTCACAGTTTGTGCATTCGTGAAGACTTCGGAGCATGTAGTGAGTATGGTAGTGCTTGTTCGCCCGCAAAGGAAGGTGACGTTCTTCAGCCAGTTTATGACTCTTATGGAGCAGAATCAGGCAAAGGGAATGGACGTCGATTCATACCGAATTGTCATATCAGACATATCTCGCGAACTGGAGTGCGGCGCATTTGCTCAAGGCGAGCGCTTTGACAACGTACAGGTGCTATACATCCTATCGAAAGGACTGGTCGCCTTGAACAGCCGCGTCGGTAGCAACGGTGCAGTTTGGGGCGAAGACTTCGTGCTCTCCGACCCCACGCTCATCCGGCCTGTGCGAGGTTTCGCGTTGACCTACCTGGAAGTCTTGAACTTGACGCGGTGGAAGTTCATGAGGGTTATCGAACGTCGTAAGCTGACATGTCCACAGCTTGGGCAAATCGTGCGGCGCTTCTGCGTGCGGCTTGCGGTACGCAGAGGCGTTGTCGCTCACACCCGACGCATCCAGAGACTGCGGCTATCAAGCAAAGAGGGTGCAGACCCCACAGCCAGCACTAATACGGAGTCTTCGCAGGCTGGTCAGCATGTCCGACAGAGAGGGCCTTCGGACAATGAGTCTGTGCTTCAGTTTGGTTGATTTTGATTGTAAGGAGGATTTTAAGAATGGGCAGAGTCTTGAGCACAATCCGATCTCCACTATCCTACCATTGATAGCCCCTACCATTGCTTCCATCACACTTCGCTGTTGCTGCACGACGTCCAGCATGTCCGGCCAGGCAGCAGAACGCAAGCCGCAACAATTGCCACCGCCGCCTCAAGCTCCACAGGGAATGATTTACCAACCATTTGGAAGTCTTCCTGGTGTGCTGGATGACGTGGAGCGTCACGATGTTGACCCAAGGGACCAGGACCCACGAACGCGACGCATGTCACAAGGGCAGCTGGAGGACATGTGATAGTCAAGCAGGCTGTGTTTCACAAACACGATTGCACCCAGTTAAAGCAGGGGGCAACGCATATTTCAATCACGACGTTGAATACGTAATTCCAGATTTTTCTTGCACGAGTTGCCAGCTCATCGGAGCTGCAACGAGACCGTCGCCTCTTTGGCACATAGTTTTGCTCCTCACTTGCTGGGCAATGCCCGAATGCTGTCCCTGCAATCTGCCAAGCAGAAATTGCTCGCCCAAGTATCGACTATGACGACCGAGAACCATGCCATTAGCATGCAGGCCTAAACATGGCATCCTGATCCTATGGCAGCAGCATGCAATGCTAAGTGTGAGATGTTTGTGCAGAGTTTCAGGTTTCATTGCTCTTGGTGTTGCTCATTTGACCTTCGACCTGCAGGAGCTGTTGCGAGCAGCACAAAGCATCACGCAGTCGGCGGGCACAATGGTGGGTGATTCCTACGAGCAGCTTAGCACGGTCAGGCAGAAACTGAGCTTCAATCCTCGCGAGAGAGAGATAGGGAGAGAGGGAGGAGAGAGGAGAGAGGCACCGCTTACGCCTGGGAGAAGAAGAGCAAGCAAACAAGAGAGAGAGTCTGTATACCCCTTGGCAGGCAAGCAAGCAAGAGAGTCTGTGGAATTGTCGAGTCAAGGGGGTGCATACAATCACTTTTGAAGGGATATTGCATTGCTTCTGGGGGCGAACCTCGGCGACCACTTCCCAGACAGAAGACGGCGGTCGTCAGCCAAGTGGCCCAGCATACGGCCGTGTCCTAACGGGGCGCATATGCCCCTCAAGCCTGATGAAAGAGCGAGCGAGGGACAGAGAGAGGAGGGGAGTGCTATGTCACCTGACCTGCCTAGGGAGGGGTGTAGGTCTACTTGAGGGCGTGAGGTTGGCTCTGACCCCCTGCAAACTTGGATGTCGGGAGTAACAGGTCCACAGTGGTCAGCAGGGGGTGGCTGCTGCGTGTGCCCTCCGAAAATGCCAAATTGTGCTGAGTGTCATAGATCGTCTCATGCCGACGGTTGAAAGGCGGGCAGACACAGCAGTGTTTAAGGCTAAGAGTCAATCTCCTGGGAAGGTGGGTTGAGAAGACGTTGTTTTTTCGTTTCATGCTGGGATGGAGAGTGTTGGGTGGATGGGCACGTGAGCGCCCTTCGCTTCTCTCGCCGTTGCGACATGTGAGGCTTCTCTCGGTCTTGGGCGTGTCGTCTTGCACAGGAGGGCAGCCCCTGGAGCTTGGAGCAGAAGAAGAGTGGAAGAGCGGAAAGAGTGAGCAAACTCCAAGGCACTCTTGGACCCAAGAAACCCAGCAGGCAAGAGTCCTAGGTCGCACCTGCACACGTTGAATGCGCTGAAAGATTCCGAGCCGCCTGCCACGCATGGACGGCGAGAGCAAATCAGGCGCGGGGGACAGAATTCACGAGACTCTTTGCCCGGATCTGTCGGCCAGCCATTTTTCGCAGAGTATGAATGCCACCGATCAGCCTAGATTTCTGGATGTTCACTCCGAACGCATTGACACGATAAGCTACCTGCTACTTGTTGCTGAACGCCAGGCGAAGCTTACGCGAGCCCTCGTACGTCACCCGACGATCCTCGTGGTGGCAATGCCTTCCAGGGCGTTGCTACTTGGATTGTGCAGCTTCCGAGGACGCAACCTGGCAGTGGTTTTTGCATGTTTCTGCCCCGGCGCCACAGCATTCATTTACTGTACAGAGATAACAGAGTGACGGTATGCCTTGCATCAGTGCTAAGCGTAAAGTTCAAGAAAGTCGAAGGGACCGCCGCAGCACCTGATGCGATAGTTGCTTGGGCAGAGTGTCTGCGAAATTTCAACCGAGGGATGCAGGTGAATCAGATGCTGGGCTTGACCCCACCGCCGGCGAGAAAGCTGGTCCAGACCCCAATCCAGAACCTTTCTCTCTGTACGCACCGTACTGAAATTGCCCACTACTTGTATGTAAAAAAAATGCTGGTGCGGGTCCTCAGTCTAAGTTCTTTTGTGTGCAGGGTCGCACCTATAGTCATCCAGAATCGCGCTCAATGTTCGCGAGCCAGAGCATGGAACCTTGACGCAGGCGCAAAGTGTTGATGCCCCAAAAGTGCAGGACCGGTTGGTCGACCTTTCATGCTGCATTTGCAGATTGCAGCTGTTGAGCAGCCTGTCTGCACTGTCCAATAGCTCCATGTGTCATGTGCTAATTCTATGCACTGTTGACTGTTTGCATGCATGTTTGATGCCGCCTTGGATTTTGATGTTTAAGTTAGAGCAGAGCAGTTATTTCTAGCAATCTGCTGTGTCGGATTCCAAGCTGCCGTCTTCCTGCGTCTCGTGCTCAGGGGCGCAAAAATCGTAGCAGATCTGAACCATTGGGAGCCCTGAGGTACAGACCATGCTTTGCTCTTGCTGGCTCTGCTTGTCGGCATTGTGCTGACGCTCCGCAGCACAAGACTTGTCACACATGCTTTTGACATGGTGACCTCAACATCATGTCCTGCGGGGTGTGAACGGGCTACAATCTGTCACAAGTAGCGAAGGATTGCAGTCACAGCGCTTTTCCCATTGCTGAGCACGGACAGGACCTGCAACCCATGATGTGCAGAATTCTTTGATGCTGTGCCATCTGGAAAGAAGTAAGTCTGCTCGGAGGACCTGGAGAAAAGTTGGGGTTGACTTCCTCTTGGATGCGGCTCCGGTTGCCATCTACGCGGCTTTCATGCAATTGCAGTCTGTGTGTTCAAGACAGCTCAAGCCGTATAAAATTACGGAGATCCCTGCGCGAACTTGTGCAGAAGGGTTCTCGACCGCTTTGTCCAGGTGGTGTGCTTAGCCATGCTTCTTGCTCGTATCGAACGGATCAGTGGCTTGACAGCAAGTTGTGTTTGGCCAAAACAGCATGTCAGGCCTGTCCACATTTTGTGTTTCTTTGAGTAATGGTCTTTGCGTGCTTATGGTGAGGTGCCCTGATTGCAATGCGGCGGGAGGTGTATCAGGCACAGGAGATGCAAACCTTCGCCGGCGCTGTCAAGGACACTGCCCGACGAAAAGGTCGCTGGGTGTTCCAGGCATTTTGGAAACAGGTCGCCGACGTCGTTTCACCAGACGCGAAGAAACAGCACGCATTGGTTGAAAGGACGACTTGCTCTCATATTGGGCTGCCGTCAGTGACATAACTGAGTCTTGGACCGAACAAAGCATCGATGGGGCGCGTGAGGTGGCTTCATCTTAGGAGAGAGGGTTTCCAGCAGCTAACACTCAGGATCTGTGGTGCAATCGCACATTGCCTCGCCTGGAGCTTCTGAAGGCTGATGACCTCTCCAGTGGCACTTCATCTAAGCATTGTTTGAGTGAGTCGTGAGCTTTGCGAGGCACGGGGCGAGAGAGGGGCAGCCCCAGAGGGAAGTATTGATGTACGGTGTTTTTGTCTTTAGTGTCGGCAATTTTCGATTGAAGAGCTGTCACTGAGCCTGCGGGAACTCCAGACAGGAGACAGTGGAGTGTGCTGCGAGAGTAGAGAAAGCGATACCAGCCGCAGTTTTGAGAAAGTTGCGCGTTGGTCTTGACGGTCAGATTAGGTTTCCAGTAGTATGATAGACGTCATGTGTAGTGAGCGGCAGTTTTACGACGGGCGAGTACGAAGTGACCGCAGAGTCTTCGGATTCGGAAGGAGCTGCACTGCCAGCTAAGCTCTTCTTCCCCGGAGCAGCTAGCAACGAGCCTGCGTGACCTCAACGGAATCCGCTGCATGTTTGAGGTTGGTTGAGAGCTTGAGTCTGAAGAGCTTCTCCGGTGCATTGCAACGAGCTGCTTGCTGCGACACCGCGGCAGCGCGAGCGATTGAAAAACAATCACCCAGTGCCAGGCCGTCTATGCAAGCTGGAAGATGCAGTCGGCGATGTCAAGGTGTCGGCTTTGTTTAGAATAGCGAGCAGGGTGTACAGCTTGTGGAACGATGTTGCGCAGCCCGAGACAATCATGTTGGGCACGGGTGTCAGCTAGAGACCCACTTCTCTCATTGGACTGCTGGGTCAGCAGAGGACTGGTGGACAGCGCAACATGAAGGGAGCTTTGGTCGCAATGCAGAAAGTTAATGAGAGACTGACACGAAGAGGTAGAGAAGTCATGGCCGACAATCGTGGTGTGCTGTGCGGAGCTACCGGCCTGTAACGGAAGCCTGTGACATGAATCGTTGGACGTGCGAGCCACGACCTTAAACTCGGTGCTTCCTCCATGCCGAAGCATTATTCACCACCCTACTCAGCTCGTCTTCTGTTCTTTCTGTCTCGGCTGGCTTGTTGATGATCGTTGATTCCATGCTGGCACCAGTGTAAGCCGGAATGAACACTCAGTGAACACTGCTGTGCATCTTCGGCCCAAACACGACTCCACCAACGAGTCGACTAGGGCATGGAGGCAACGAGAATTGGGTCGATCGGAGAAGAGCAAACAGGATTCTGCAACACACGTAGGAAGAATGCACCAAAGCAGAGTAGTGAGAATTGAGCAACTCAGGCGAGCTCCTCAACTGCAGCCACGGGTGTCTTGACTAGAAGTTCTGCTTGCTGGACTCGGAACGAATCGAACTCCTATTCGGCCTCGTGTGGAGGTTAGCATGCTGCTCCGCTCTCGGACTTTGGACGGATTGGAGGCCGACATGCTGCCTTTCCATACAGGGCAGAGTCCAAATTTTCAGCCAGCATGTACCAGCCATGAAATCCATAAAGTGATGTAAACAGTACAGGGCTCAGAGTTGGGAGAAGTGCCTTACCTGGCTGTTGAAACGTAAAGCGTTCTCCTAGGCTGTGCTACTGTACTGTACAAAAGTCAACTCAAAGCGCCAGTCTTAAGGAACCACAAACTGGATGAATCTCTCCTTGATTCGGCATTGTCGTTGCCGGAGGATGGCGCGCCAAGCAGCTTCTCAGACCGACTAGACTCAATGATCGTCGAGATCAGCAGCCAGGCTGGTGCGGCTGCCCACCCGACAGCACATGTACTCAAATCTCAACTTCTGCTGCAGGCTGCCAGCACAAGCCACGGGCCACTGCAGATGGTGCCCTGCTGAGGGATCAAGAAAAACATAGAGACGGATCCAAAGGAATTCACATAGGGCCATAGGGTCACACACGTGCTTATGTTACCGCACGCTTTTCTGCAAGGTTTCCGGATTTCGAGGCTTTCGCATTGGATTCTAGGCGCTTCAGGGACAGGACTGTACTTTGGGAAGGTGGGTGGAGGTTGGGGGGCAGGGGCAGGATGGCTGAATTCGTTCTGGTGCCGCCAACTTTGTCTGGAAAAGGACTCTGAGCCCATGCCTGCCAGCAAAATTTCAGACAGTGCTATAGCTGCTAGGGGTTTGGGGAAGCCAGGATTATGGAAGGAAATATGGGGGCTCTGAGCCAACGTCTTCCACAAAAGTCGAGACAGTGCAGATATGCGTCTGAGAATGACATTCAGGAGCCATGTAGAGAAAAACATGCGGCGCCCTAAGTTTCAAGGTTCCTGAACATATATTGTAATATGTGCACTGTCTTGACTTTTGCTGGTAGGTGTGGGTTAAGAGCCATTCTGGCATCAAAGCACCCCTGCGGCAACTGGGGAACGTGTGACCGCATAAGGACCAAGAGAAATATCAAAACTCTGACATACTGCAAATTAAAACAAGTATGTGGGCCACAGTCATCTGAACTGGAGATCTCAATGTTCAGCTAGAGTGGCTCTATTGCTGTTCTATATACTTTTTCTGTCACCCGTAGCCGTTGCTGTTCTGTGACTGTGGATGCATACTGCTACGGTCAGTACAAGCACCCTGCCCCTGGCACTAGGTCTCTCTCTCTCTCTCTCTCCCCCAACCCCCCCTCACCAAGAAAACAAGATCCCCCAAACGTCAAATGCCGCGCAGTACGCTGTTTTGACAGCAGAAGAAATTCTTATCCCTGTTTGATTCGTTGTTGATCACTACTGTAGCTTATTCGCGTTTTTGCTCCGAAAGTAGGTAATCTTGAGTCCAGGAGGTGAGATTTTGATTTTCTTGATCACCATTTACATAGATTTGTTTTTGCTTGTTTCCCCCCCCCCCCCGGGGTTTGTTGCTGATATGTACTTGGTTGTTCTTGGATCCCTCAGCCGCTCCCGCCTGGGTCTCTGAAGCCATCGAATCGTGCCACCACTGCAACACTGTGCAGTCTTTTGCCCGAGGGTCCAGAGAAACGGTCGGCCTATCGGGGCTGCCGCTGCTAAGAGTGTTCTTTCGCAAGGCAGATTTTCTTCGAGACAGCGCTGGACAAAGCTTCCAGACAGACTCGCCCGGCACTTTAGATCTGGAACCTCGATGCACAAAGCTTTAGGCGGGCTGGTGCATGTGCTGAATCCGGACCATGTCCTCCTACTTGTGACATGTGAAATCGAAAGTCCCGAGGACGTCGAGACCGGTGCAAGGAGACAATCGCTTTTGTCCTTCATAGGCACGCGACGGAGCATTCTGAGTGTTCTGGCAGGGCACCTGTTTGTTTCGTGTGTTCCAGGGGAGCAAGGCGCAACGGCACCGGATCCGCAAGGTCGGGTGTGAATCACTTGCCCTCACCACACCAACTATCCAAAGAACGGTTGCATCTGGCCGGACAGCCTTGTGGCAAAGTCATTCTTGTGTAATCGTCTTTGAGTCTTTGCCAGCAAGCAGTGCGGGAGCTAGCTACTCGAAGGTGGTTTGCGGAACCTCGACTCCTTCTGTGTGGGTGCCAGTGACGGGCATCGTACCAGCACCGATTGAGCTCAAGAAAAAGCTCGTACCTTCAGCGCTTTTTGCAGTGCAGAGGCTCATGCAACTCGAAATGAACAGTTCTAACACGTGCTGGCTGGGGTGTGACGTCCGATGTCCCCCCTTGCCGAGCTCCAGTGTTTTTTGGCTGGGTCTGCTCAGGCTTGGACAGCTTATCGCCCAGGAAGTGCAACCCTCGGCAGTCGTGTTTGCACATGGTTGCACAGACTGTCGTGAAAAGACTGCCGTCAGGGGGGGTGCGCAATGTGCAGTTCAGCTGTTGTCTCGGAGTCGCCAAGAAGATCAGTTTTCGCGCATAACAGTGTAACTCATACCAGCTCGTGGCGGCTTCGTGTTGCATCTTTTTGCATTAGAGTCTTTCCAAGTGTGCATCCCACTTCTTGTCTACGGAAGTCGTTTCGTCAATGATACTCGACAACAGTCAGCGTACGCTGACGGCTTAGGCCACCAACACGGCTCGAGCACCCGCTACATCAGGCGCGGCGACAGCTGTGCTTGCAGGAAGATGTGATCTTGGCTGTGGTTTCGACCAGGCACCTGCCGCATGCCCTTGACGGATGCCACCGCCACGGAGTCTGCAGTCTCCTCAAGAGTGCTCATTGCCTCAGCCTCGGGCATTTGCTGATCTGTTCGCTGAGGTGTCGCGGATGGACGAGTGTGACCCGCAAGGCTTGTCCAACCTGTGCTGAACCTCCGGCCTGCCACCCAGACTTCCGAGGTCCGACCAAAGAGTGCGCATGGGTTGGAATCCCCGGCATTGGTCCGCTGTTTCGGGGCTGTTGCCGAAGTGCTCTATGCCTTAGTGCCTCAGTGGGATCTTCCTATGGTCTTGCACCCTGCTGGGTTGGCATGCAGCGGAGCGCACGAGGAACCTTGAGCATCCAGAGCTCCAATCTCATGGCAACAACTTCTTCCCACGGCATCGTGGGAGCCCTGGCTAGCACGGCATGACGTACATTACAAGATGTCAGCGCTCTCGCAGCGAGAGAGCGGCACAGCGGTAAGGCCAAGATCCAGAAGTCCAGCCCACAGAATCCTGGCAACACTGTTCGGGACCTGGCCAAGGCTTCCCCAAGACTCGCATGGAGAGTAGACATGTCTTGCGACCGAGCCAAAGCAGGCATGACTAAAGTGACTAAAGCGTGGCTTCCTCGCACACTGCGGTTGTGCCTTCCATGACCGTTGTGGTGCAGCCCTCTTGCCAGGCATCGATCCAGGACTTTCAGATGCTACACGCTACCGCTGCCTGCTCGACTCTGCGGATGGCCGAACTCCGGCCACAGGAGCGTCGTGTGCGGTCCGGGTGCCTCCCTAGCAGCTTCTCGCTATTCATCCTTCGGAAGGAGATGTCCAACAGCGCACAGACGCCAACGAAGCTTGGCTTCCGTCGCTCGCCGCTGATGGATGCTTTGGCGACGGAAGTGGTCAAGGCAATCTTCGTCAAATTTTGGTCGCGGAACGCCGAATGCCAGTTTGAAGTTTTCAAGAGAATCAATGCCACCATTTGCACTTCTGGTGCATGGGATCTCTGATTTGACGCATGTCCTACTGGGCTGTAGATGGTTGACCGGGCAAACAGCGCACTCTCGGCAGGATGTCGAAGAGTCGAATCCGCATGACCTCTCCGGCACCGTGTGATCTTCTGCGACGTTGAGCCATACAGGTCGCGGATACGGGTCAAGAGACTGTGCTGAGCTGCGGGGGTCCGAGCCACAGCTCCTTACTCGGCCGATCTCCAGGACACATGCCTTTGCTGCAAGCCACTTCGGGCGCGTCACTGAAACTGCTGGGACAATTCAACTCCCAGGCCTTGTTGCTTGGCTGCTGTAGGACGACGGACGACGTGCTGCTCCTTTGTTTGGTACACGTCTGCGCACTCTCTGCCGACAGGACTTGGCGAACAGCGCACAGTCGTTCGCAACGTGCCGCTTCATGCACGGCAAGCATGTCTTGTCCAGGAAAACAACATGACATGTAACGTCGAATTCTTCGGGCTGAGCCTACACCAGACCTCGCTGCCATTGTGACCCCGGCCATGTAAGAGCCTCGCAGCATCACAGATAGTGTGGTGATGGGGACAGCAGCTTTTCACTGCCAGGGGCTCGGGGACCATGGGCTCGCAGTCCTCAGAAGTGCTGGTGTTTGGCTCGGTCTCGGCTGATGTTGATGTGCCTGGATGTCACTGTGTTAGGAAAACTCAGGTGGCAGGGTTTAGCAAACAACCCAAGTTCCGCATGACCCAGGTGAAGCTACCAGAGCTTGCGCCTCAAGGTGCCCGGTGCAAGCATCGCAGTTGTTAGTGTCCTAGCAATTCGGGAGGCATAAGTCGCGCCCATTCAAGCTGAAACTTGAGCTTCTCTCTTTCCCGGTGCCATGAAGCGGGCTCAGAGTAGAGCTCAGCCCAGCTGCTGAGCCCATCTTGGGAGTGTGCGAGGCGCCCTGGCTGCCATCTAGGCTTTCCACGTGTATAAGGCTTCTGAAAGATTTCGGACTGGAGCAATAAGTTTCAGGAACCAACTGGCTTGGTCTGTAGGATGTTCACTCCGACTCTGGTTCCTCTACAAAGCCTCGCTGCCAGAGGCCATGGCCGACCCGGCGGGAGACAGTGATGTACTGCCAGCTCAAGACAAGGTCAAGTTCACGGAGGCTGGAGCTCCCTTCTCCAGGACGCGAGGTACATGGACAACACAAGCTGCCTCGATTTGCGAGTTCTGTAGTAAGTTCTTGCGGGCGGCCCCAAGCCGCATTGTGGGTCCGCAGCTGTTTCCATGCGTTGCAAGACTCTGCAAGGGATTCAAGCCGCTGCGATGGTTCCGTTGTCACCTGCGCGAGGCATTCAACGTTTGGGACAAGTCCGGGCCTTGAAAGAGCACTACTCCTTGCCAGGCAACCGATCAGAGTACAGCAGGCGAAAATTGGAAGGCGGTAGTGAGCTGAAGCACCTTTGCATTGCATCCAGGTCCAGGTGCTGTGATAACGGTTATCGCTTGATAAATGGCGACCTCGTCGCCAAGTTTGCATCTTTCAACCTGGGCGCAGTTAGTGCAGTTGAGTGCTCAGGCACCAGCAGGGCTACATCCCCTGGAAACCGGACTTTGCCAGCCTCTGGAGATCTATAGGCTCCGGCCCTGATGTTGATGGGGGTGGGAGCTTCCACGATTGCATCTCGGTGCTTGGATGTACATGGAATCTGACATTGCATTTGTATCCTGAGTCGCGGTCTAGAACCCACGTGTGTGTGTGAAGCGTAGCGCCACAATACATGTTTTAGACGCATGTCGCATTTCCCTCGCACCAGAGTTTCTAGGATGGGGCTGAGAGGCTGGGGAGGCTGGGTGGTACGGCAGGCCAAAACCCGACGGAGGGGGAGATCCGGCGAATTATTGAGGAGAACGACACCGGCACAGGCGTCTCGTGTTCTGCACGTGAGCAGCAGGTGATATTGGGTGGTTTGTGGTATCTGAGACAGGTCACTTTCAGTTGGAGACCTTCCTCAAGCTCTGCGAGTCTCGTGAGGATGCCCTCCGCAAGGAGCAGCTGATCGAGGTGCGAGTTTATGAATGCTGTGCATCCAATTCATCGGAATCGTGTAACACACCAACAGCAGCTTGAACAGCAGCTTGAACGAAAACACTCCAACGGTCATCATGCACATTGTGAAGATCGCCCAAAATGGGTGGCAGACAAGTGCGGATTTGTTTCTTTTCGCGGCACGTGTTGAGGCCTTTAAGACCTTCGACAAGGATGGCAAAGGCACCATCACGCTGGCACAGCTGCGCTATGTGGCTCGAACATATCTTCTCCCCAGAGCTCGAAGATCGGTGTGCTAGCTTCGAATGCTGTGACCAGTCCTGGACCGTCCCGCTTAGGTGCTGATGCAGCTGGGAGATCCACTGGATGATGAGGAAGCAGACCAGTTTGCCTTTCGTTTGCATCGCAATTACCTAAGCCGCTCGGGGGACTGCCGGGTTAGTGCACCAGCTTCTAAGAGTAGCCGGAATCGAATTCGTGGCTGACTCCTGATGATCGATTTCTTGCAGCAGCCCCATGCCTTCTTGCAGCGCACTCAGATTGAATTCGCGGACAAGAACAAAGAAGGACCCTCTGCCGAAATTGACTACGAGGACCTCGTGGAGAGGCAACGAAGCCGTGATTTGGATCCATAGGTGAGTGTACGCGAGTCTAGTATGCTTTTAGAGACGAGACAGAGGCCAGGCAGATTGACGAAGCCGTCGCAGGCTGGACACTCGGGACCAAAAGTTCTGAGTCGCAGCAATGGCTGGATGCCCCGGGGCATCAACTTGCAACCCAGCGCCGCAATGTTGTTTTTCCCAAAGCATTTGCAGCTTCGTTTCACCTCCCAGCCTGCCGGGATTTGCATGAACGTGCTGTGGACTGCTGGCCAGCACTGGAAAAATGCAGCGTTGTCTCGTGAATACTTGCTGCCGCCGCTGTTAGACGAGAGATCCTTTCATGCAATCCCTCAACCCAGGGCACTGTCTGAGGTACTGATTTGAGTCGCTTCTGCGAACACATGGCGCAGAAGATCCAACTGCCCGACAGGTCTTGCAACCACGGCGTGGGCACATTCGGCCTTCAACAAGAAGGCCTGATCAATTTGGTCATCTCTGTTTGCCTCCATGCTGATTTCGCCGGTTCTCTCCATCTCCCGCAGGATCGTATTCTGCTGGATGCCATCTCCAAAGAGGTGATGCAAAGGCACCACTCAATCGGTCTGTTACTTTCATGCTTCCGCTGTTCGAATGCGGGGCTAGAGCCGGAAAGGTCTTCAGCACGGCCCACGTCACAATTTTTTGCACACTAGTTGTCAATTGTGCAGTGAAAGTAGCTGTGCTTGTTGCTTTGTGGAGGTTATACGAGATAGAGCCCCAATCCTTGGGCATCCTTGTGAAGCTCCCAGTATGTCAAGAGTGCATTCAGCCGATCTGCTTTGGGGGTCATGCTCCCGACGAAGTAGAATCACGAGCGCGCAGTTAAGGCGGATGCCCAGCTGGGGTGTCAGCCGCAGCTGGAACAGGCACTGCGCCCATTTGCACAAAGGCCACCCTTCGTGCAGTGCCAAACACGCCTGCCAAACGCATGGGGTCGCATGGAGCCGTCATGGAGCTGAACAGGTTCGCAGACCTCATGCCGCGAGGGCTTGACGACTCCGCCATGACCACGCCAAGACCTTAGGTGACAATGAAAATTCCGATTTGATGCTAGGCTGAGCTCGTGTATCCACCAGCAGAGGACGCACGAATGTACATGCCAGCCAGGTTCATGCAACTTGTGCGGGAAATCCGCGTGGACAACTTTGGTGCATGGGGTACTCGGCACGTCTTCCAGCAGATGGGGTCAGAAGCTGAGAGCAGAAAGCAAGATGCACCTCCTTTGAGCTTTGAGCTTGTCATACCGTCATTCCGCCAACGTCAGCGGCCGAACGCCATGTGCACGCTCGATGTGGTTAGAGTGCCACGCAAACTGCCGAGAGCAGTATTGGGGGATGCAAGTCGCAAGTCATCTAAAGGCCCATGTCCGCGAATGTCGAACCGGATTGTATAGATTTTGTGAGCAGCCAAGAGACCCTGCATCGTAGGTTCGTCCTAGCCAGGAGGCAGAAGATGCCCAAAGCGTTGCAGTTTCGTCGCACAAAGTTTAGCAGGCATTCGGTCCAAATTAACTCGGGATGCTAGTGGAGGCTGCAGAGTTTCGTCTGAAAGTCCTTGTAGGGCCAAATCAGTCAGGTTGGCGTCGCCCAAACAAGACTTCTTGGACCGGGCTCAAGGGGAGCCCGGACCTCAGCCAGTGGTTTTCGGAGCAATGCACTTCGCCTTCTCCACAAACGAAATGCCCGCCCAGGATTCTGAAGGCTGGCGCTGCGGTTGGAGCGGACGAAGGAACGTCCGGTTGCGGCACTCGCAGAGAGCGGCAACTGGCCTGGTTCCTGAGGCGATGCGCGGCAAGGCGTCTGGCCCCTGTAATGCTGCAAATGTTCAGCAACCACAGCGTGTCGTGGTCCATGGCAGTGGTGTTTGTCCCAGATCGCCTTGTGCTATCCGGTTGCGTCCGGCTGCGCTGGCCCAAAACATCGTTGCAACAGTGGGGTTGTTTCTGCTGAGTGCGGATGTGTTCCGTTAACCAGATCCAACTTGTGAATATTGTCATGCAAGTCAGCAGGAAGCTGCCATAATATCAATCATTGGGACATATTGGGACCTATTGCACCGCACCACATGCTAAAACCATGGCATCATAAAAAAACAAGATTCAGAAACTTAAGTTGCCAGCCCTGACCTCCTCCTGCATGATACAAGATGCAAGTGGTTGGTGGTAGATCAGGTTCTACTAGGTCAGGTGCGACTGGGACTGACATTTCGGTGGCAGTGCGGTGTAGTGTAGCGCAGACTTGACCGTGCTGATGCGACGATGACGGCATGATCGAGGACCTCGCAGCTTGTGCAATTACACGGCTGAGTTGTGCAAATCCAATGCAGTGCGAGTAGCCAGTGTTACCTAATAATTTTAACGCTACGCCGCCCGCCTCGGCTGTGTAGCGGCAGGGTGAGGGGGCAGTCGATGTTTTTTTATGCTAGGGCGGCCTGTCAAACTCGGTTGTTGATACGAAGTGCGAGGAATGGGTAGGGGGGGGGGGGGGGGGGGGGGGGGGAGGGGGGGGGGAGGGGGGGGGAGGGGGGGAGGGGGGGGGGGAGGGGGGGGGGGGGGGGGGGGGGGGGGGGGGGGGGAGGCCTGGGGGGGAGGCCGACAAATCAGGTAAAATGAGGGGAAGCCGGGCAAGGGGGTGGCAAACGAACGCAAAAAGCGGGTCCCAAACATTTGGACCGCAGGGAGGAGGATTAGGTGGAGGGAACCTGAGCTAACCCCCAAGACGCCTGGGCCTGTGGCCTCGGCGGATTATGATTAATTAGCTTGTTAGTGTTTGGTGTCGCAGCATGTCAGCGGATGCAAAGTTCCATGCTGCCGAGTTCATGAGTCTCGGTGACAGGCTTAATGGAGGACTCCGAGTTGCTCAAGGCCTTGCGCGGCGCAAAGCCTGGATGGACCCAGCAGGTGCGAATGTCGGAAAGAATTTCTTGCAAGCTTAATCGGCAGACAGCCTGGTCTGGTCTTGCAACTTAATGCGTGGTTTTCATTTTAGCTCCCACCACCCCTGCTCCCCCTTTCGTGCACCTGAACCGGGGCCAAAATTGGGGTGGTTCTCTTCGCTGTCTCGACGCTGAAGCCTGACATCTGTTCCTGAGTCGGACCTGCCCAAAGGAATTCCAATCTGGCTAAGTGATTAAAGACTTGTCGTGAACAAGGCCAGTCATACCACAAAAGGGCCGCCCGAAAAAAGATTTCATTATTATCACCACCCCGCTTTGTTGTTTTGGGTATCCGGGAACCGGCTGCAGGCTCGTAGGCTTCCTACAAGGCGATCGGCAGAAGTATAATTGTTTTATTCATCAGTTAACTACTCAATTCGACCCCAATGAGCAGTTGTGGTGATGCAGAGTTGTATCCAGGATCTGGTAGCTGTTCAGCGGAAGCTGGCCAAGGACTGGGCAGCCTGCATGAGACAAGTCAGGTCAGATCTGCTTGAGCGTCGTTGAGATCCTCTTGCGCAGGTTGGCATCCGGAGTCCAGAGGAGCTCTCAAGTTCTTTGAGTGGAGCCCTCGTATCGGTCAAGCTTGTACCATTGTACCAGTACCGTCTCTCCCTCAGATCTAGAGGGATGCTTAAGCAGCTTAGGCAGCCTGAACGAGCTCCTGCAAGGCGCAGGGTTCCTGCGCCTCTGCGGCATTTTGCAGCTATGGACAGATTATTGCCGAGTTTCGAGCGGTGGACCAGAGCACCACTGGGCTCAGGAAGTTCAGCGCCGAGACCCTGCAAGCGTTGCGAGAGCAGCTGCCGCAAAACGACAGCTCTGGCGCTCAGTGCCATCGGGTCAGCGCTTCAAGAAAAGAGTGTCGAAATGCGATGCATCAGGTGGTAAGGCAATTAGAGCGAAGGTGTACCCGGCCGGCTCTCGCGGCGGTTCCCTGCTCGCGTTGCATTACGTGCTTGTCACAGACCTGCTCCCCCGTCTTCCACAGAAGATCGAATTTAATGACCGCCTGCATTCCCAGCATTCCCCAGCCGTGCTATTTCGGGTCAACGTTTTCTCGAGGCTCTCGAAATTCCGCAGTTCAAAGAGGTAGTTCGTAATGAAATCGTGCTCCCACCACAGTGCGATGCGCAAGTTGCACTCGCGGGAGAGGGAGAGGGAGGTGTTCCTGGCATGGTGCTTGGAGGCTTAGATATGCAGGCTTGGAGAAAGCTGATCGGGTAGTGCAGAGCCGCGGCTGCGTAGACTGTGCAGACAAGACGAAGAATTCATGAATGCCGGCCATGGATGAGGTGAAACGCAACCCAGCCGGTTCGACTTGCAACAAGGCCCAGCCACGATCACAGGAATGCACCTGGCTTTTTGCAGAGGCTCGATCTAGACTGCTGAGCTCGAGCAGGTTGGCACCATCCTCGAAATGGTTATCCTGCCGGCGGCTTCGGACGTGCAAAGGGTGGCAAGGCTTGCTGCACATCGACGCCAATTGAATTTGCATTCTCTCTCGTGTGTAGGTGGGCTTCGGTGGGCCAAATCCCAACAGCGTCTTCAAACACGCACAGCAGAAGGAGGCCCTTCTTTGCGAGGACAACCTGTGGAAGGCCGGCGGTAGGTAGAAAGAATGCCGCGCAGCAACACCCAACAGTGGCGAGCATGAGCACTTTCATTCTGATGCACGGTGGTATGCACGTGTCGCCAAATCAGGACTGGAAAGTCGTTGGGACGCCTGTTCCGGAGCCTATTGCGCCGCGAGCTTGCGCCATGTCGAGCATCTTGACTCAGTATCCTAGCATGCGAGACTATAGACTAGAGTCTAGGGGTTCTGACGAGATCACTAGTCTCGGGGTGGTGGTTTCGACGAATGTCGTCGTACAGCGAGACAGCCCGCGAAGTCATGGCTTTCACTAGCATGCTGCGAGGTTACGCTGCAGAACTAGAGGAAATGGACAACGAGGAAGATGAAGATGATGAGGCTACGTCTGTACTGCATAGGTAGAGGTGTGTCGACCATCGTCCAACAGAACAGGCTCAGGCACTGCATGATCAGCTTGTGCGGCCGCAGCTAGAATAGACCAGTAATAGACCGATAGTTCTATCGCTGCAAGTGGCAGGAGGACGAGGATGCAGACTCCTGCCTGTCAGACGACGAACTGATGACATTGTGCCTGAAGTGGCAAGTCCTTCTCGCTCCATCGCATTTTGCAGCTGTGTGGCTTTGTGAGGTTGTCACAACAGTTGAGGTGCGTGGCCAAGAAAGTTCCCTTGCTTCAGCTGCAGAGCAACAAGCGCGCGATCCAACTATTGCGCCAGTTGGACAGACTTGATAAAAGCTCAGTTTCCACTTTGAAGAACGAATACAAAAGATCCTCGGCTCACGTCTTTAGCTAACTCTGTGGTTATGCCGTTTGAGAGTGACAGATTGCCAGGCAGTTATTCATAGTGGCAGACTGCCTAATACTGTATTCATTGGGTGCCAAGGACGTGGTTTCGCTTTTGAAGCCTCGATTCGCAAAGAGAGCAACCTGGCGCCAGTTTGAAATGACTCTTTGCTGCTTCTACTGCAGTCGTGGTTCTGAGGCCTGCTGGCTTCCGTGAAAGAAGTGGCTGTTTACGAGAATTTGATGCTGGAATGCAGAGTTTCAGATTTCTAACGTGCGCTTTTTCTCTGCTGGGGTTGCAGAAGATAGCACTTCGACCATGATTGAATGAGCACACTCTCACGGACTGCATGTCTACTCAGGAAGCTGCAGCACTTGCGGGCAGCTTGCTTGAGTCGAAATCTCCCTGCAGATGAGAGCATGCGACGTCCAGGCGAGCAGCTTGAATGGCAGGGACTACATACAGGGACCCTAGTTTCGACGTGTAATCAGTGTTCTTTTGACCAATCGGTACAACATGGCACGGAAGACAAGACTGAAGCCGCTTACATCCGCCACTGCACCAGCGTCTTTAGGATTCATGAGTCATTCATGATGGCTGCACTTCGGGCGTATTTGGTTTGTATTGGTTGCTTCCAGAGTTCGCCAGGAGATTCGGATGCAGGGGGTAGGGCTTGGGACATTCAGAGATGTGCATGAAGGGAGCGACGCAGGAAATTCCAGGACATCCGAAGTTGTACGATTTCCCCAACGTTCCGTCGGCATAAGAAGCCTGCCGTGGGAAAGTTGGACCGTAGGGCGACTGCAAGGAGCTGGAGCCAGACAGGCCAGGATTCTGCAGACAGCGAAATGAACTGAAGCGGTCGCAGAGAAGCGGTCAACTCAGTGACCAGTTCAAGAAATACAAGTGCATTTCTCTTGACTGTTTCTTTTACCGTACATGATCCGGCCGAAATGACTTCGGCCCCATAAAACGAAGTTTTCCGCAACTTCAGAATCCTAACCATGTGCATGCCGTATTTCCCGCATTCCGCCCCTGCTTAACCGGCCTGGCGCTGGGTGGGGGGGCTGAGCGACGAGACAACCGAGCGGAATAGGGATGACTTGTAAGGTTGTCACGAGGAGGCGCGAGGTTTTCGTTCCCACGCGGGTGTGGTGAGGAGGTGGCCGGGGAAGGTAGTCGGGAAGTCTTTTCGTGAGTCCTTCAGCGGTATGCTCTAAAAGACGGAGAAACGACAAGGGCCGACCTTGCCGACAACACTTGCTCCAGAACAACAGGGGAAGTGAAAAGAAGCATCCGCCTGATCTGCAGTGTGAAGCCGCAATGTTGTTGTCTTGCTTGGAAGCGGAGTTGGAGTTCTGTCTGCGGTCACAGCAGCTTGAGGCACTCCTAGCAGCCGTGCATGTGTCTGTACTACGAAGATCTGCAGGGCTACTGCAACTTCTGGCCGACCAGTCCTGGCACAGCTTGGGCATCCCAGTGGAGCAACTGCCTAGCCTGGTCGTTGCTCATGGGGTGCGGCCCTCATCTTGCCACGCTTGACCTGTACCTCTTCACTCGTTGTCTCGAAGGTCCTCGACTCGCTGGGCACCCTAAACACCAAGAACTTGGCAGATCTTTGCGCACAGTGCCACCGGACACCTGTATGAGACGGAGAGCGCTCTTGCTGTCCGGAAAGAGCGCAACATGCTGCAACGGGAGCTGGGTCGCTGGGCTGTGCTCAGAGCTGAGGATGGGAGTGCCGGTGGAGTCCAAGCCGGAGCACCGCGACTGCACTGGCACTCTGCTTGTCGCCTCTCTAATTAACTGACTCTCCTTACAACTGCTAGGAAGCCGGAGCTCGTGAGCCGGCTGGGGAAGGCCGGAGCCTCGCAAAACCTGCTGCGAGGATTACAGTTACTGCTTAGAGAAAATACTTGTAGGACTTTAGCGGGAGGTTGGCGTGGTGCTGGGATTTAGCTCGCCTTCGCAGGCGATGGTGTGGAAGCAGATGGATGATGCCGCCCTCAGGACTGCCAAGCATGCTCGTTGCGCACCATGACGCAGAATTCTGTGCCCTGCACGAGAATGTTCCTTCTGAGTTCTGCGTCTTCGATAGTCGAGAACCTCACATTCTACTATAGTATCGGGGTTGGTCAGTCTGTTCAGTGAGTGAGTGGGTTAACAAGTCTTCGCATCGACTTCTACCCACTGTAATTACCATCAAGGAATACGCTAGTCAGGGGCACGGCATCTTCTGCAATGTTTTGATGCCGCCATGGCGTAGTCATTGCACCTCCGATCGCGAGCCTTTGACCTTGTGTACGGATTAAATCTGATTGATGCCTCCGTCTGTCCAATCATCGGTGATTCCGCCGCTGCAGGCTAATCGACTCTCCGCACGAAATACATTGCCCAATCCAGCCGCCGAACTCTTACGCCTCGCAAACTCTCGAGCTGGTCCAATCCAGCAATCTGTAAGATTTCTGAGCAGGAGAGAGTGCTCCAAGAGGGGAGCTCCCTTGGATGACATCCCGGAGCAGCTTCAGCAGCCAGGAGCAGCACGGGTTAGTGTGCCATTTTCAGAAAACTTCCCAAATTTGCACCGGCGCCGTGGGACATCAAAGACCGGGGAGATTAAATTGTGTAGAGATCTGCAGAGTAGAGGGTGTCATGGAAAGCGCGGGCATGTAAAATTGCCATTGCCCTCAACCACGAGCTGCCGGAACCAAAGCTCTCCGAAGGGTTTACTGCAGTGCAGGCGTGAAGCTGATCGTGAACAACAACTGCAAAGCGGGCCGGCAGAAGCTGGAAAGGCGCGCAGTCGGCATGGAGCAAGGGCGTATGCTGGTACCATGGTTGCTGGAAATCGGTATGTTTTGGGTTTCGGGGTTGGGCGAATTCAACAGCGAGCAGATTTGGCATAATAGACCTGAGCCGCGAGGCTTCTGCTTCAGTCGTTGTGGCTGGACATTTGGAAAGCCGCTGGCATTACCGTCCAGAGCTTGGGCAGCCACCAGGCCAGACCGAGAGCTTCTTCAAACTGAGTCTAACTTCAGTCGCCCTGCAGGCAGCCTCCAGCCTTTTCTCGGAGGTCTGGCAGGGGCAAGGGAGAATTCGGAGGATCCACGTGCGATTCTAGCCCTGAATCAGGTAGAGCGCCTTCACAGCGAGGATCTGCCTGCCATCCAGGCCTTGCTTCCGGATGCTGCGCCTGTACATGCCTCTACCACCGCGGCACATCATCGTCATCATCATCTTCGCCTGTACATGCTTCAGTGGGCTTTGTCGCCCCACTAGGATCCAACTTCCACCATCGACCTAGCACAACTCTACAGGAGCGGTACAAGGCTCTGGACCTGCCGCTGCAGCAGGCACAAGAGTGACTTGCGGACCTTGTCCCACTGCTACGTGTCATCGTGTGAAGAGCCTATAGGCCCCTGCCTTCCGGTCGATCTGGTCACTGGGGCCTTGCTGCTCAGGTGCAGGATCGACGCTGGGTACTTCAGCGAGTTTCAGAGTCTCTGTTCTGGGAAGCCCTGCCGCTAGCAGACCTTCGGCTGCACAGATGCCATCAGAATGTCAAGCAAGAGGCATTCAGTATATTCAGTGCTCGGCACCATGCATGCCATCCTCACTACTATGTTACTATGTTCCAGTGAAGAAGTCGCAAAATCTGCTACAATATGGAACCATAAATCAGGAAGCAGATTCAGGATGGGTAGGCGGCGGCGGATTGCTTGACCGCCGCGCGTAGAGATGTGTCACTTGCCTGAGCCGAAAGCTTGCAAACGATGTCAATCTGAGGAGCTGCTAGAAGAGTGCGAGATGCGCGCGCTGCCCATCAATCCCGCGGCAAATCAGCTGCCGAAGCATCTTTTGAGGTTTCATTGCACAGATGTTGGCAGACAAACATTGGTTGGTCGAGTCTCAGGAGCGTGATGCCGAGCATGCTGCAGAAACAAAGCCTGTGCTGGTACGCAGACTGGTTAAAGACTCATGCATTCGTGGCTTGTCCAGCAAGGAGGCTTTAACTCACGTGTTCAGTGTCAGTCATGGGCAACCGCAATCCGATTGGCTGTCATTGAGCTCCAGAACCTAGTTCACTCGCCTGCATCACTTCCGAGGTGCCTGGGTCAAGATGGGCATTCCCGTCGCACGTCTGGGCGATGCACGTGCCGTCGCTCTGGTGGCTGAGGAGTGGCAAAGCCTCGAAAACATCGGCTGCGCTGCTGCATTTATCCGACGAACGCAGATGAAGATGCAAGCCCTTGCCTCTCTGAGCAGTGAAGTCATAGAGCGAATCCCCCGAAGGCACGGCAGATGTGGGTCGATCATGCTCGATGCGGTTTCAGCGCCCCAACAATCGGATCTCCATCCAAGCGTCGGCGTACGTTCACCACTTTCCATACCGGTTTCCCCGCCTCAAGCTCATTTCCTCTCTACTTGCTAACATCAGTATGTCCTCCCCGCGTCGGTGAAGAACAATCTTCGCATGGCATCCTCGCCCGGTTCAGGTTGCCTTCATCTTCTTCAGTCTCATTGTATCTCTGCGCCATACACTCCATCGTGTTTCTGCTTTGTTTGGGGCATGCACGGTGCATGAACACGTGAAATACGGAAGCAAGAGTATGCGTCTCACGACCCTGCAGCCTACAGCTTTGCAGTCTATCCAATTCAGTCAATTCAGACTGCTTTACGGTGTGATCACCAAGGCAGTGCTGATTTGAAGATCAAATGCGAACTGCACGGTGTGCCTCCAGCACCTGGACGAGAAAACAGTTTTATTTGTCAGTTGCCTATGCCCGAAATTTGCCTACATCGCCGTGGCGGCAGGATGCGGCCTTAGAGCGGCACGACTTGCTTCAGCTGCTGAAGGATATCGCAGTTGCCTGGCTGTGATTAGCTGAGGCTTAAGTTGGGGGCTGGGCGGCGAGACCAACACTTTGTCAGGTTTGGGAATCAATGCCACTGCATGAGCTCAAGGCTGAACTCGCCAAGGCAAGTCGCTCATACTTCTACCCGAGCAGCTTCTTGATCACTCCGTGGTCGATTCTTGCAAGGTCACAGGTCCAGGAGTTGCGCCACCTGCTCCTGAACGTGGCGACTGCTGGAAGGACTGGCTAGCTGTGCTAAAGCGCAAGGTAGCCGTGACGACAGCAGTCGGCTTCCCAAGGAGCAGAACAGCTTGGTGGAGCAGCTGCTTCTGTTGAGGTGCCAGGTTGCGATGTTCTGTTTAGATGCATAGCTGCAGTCACGTCTCGGCGGACATGTGAGTATACATCAGCATCTTGGCTATGACCTGCAGGTGCGCAGAGGCCTACGAAGCCAAGGGCATCCCAGCACGGCGCATCGGCTCTTTGAAGGCTGCTGCGAAGCTCGCGCAGGACAACGAAGAGTGCAACGCGCCCCTGCCTTGCTTTCGACTGCTCTGATTTGTCCCAGGAGCTCAAGGATTTGGAGGCCCAGGACACGGCAAGCTTGAAGGCCGAGTGCCAAAGCCTGGGACTGCCGGTGCAGCACTTGCGGCAGCAGGACAGGGACGGCAGGGACGGCGCAGCACAGCCTTGGACATTCTTTGTCACCTGGAAGATTGGAGCCTCGAAGCGAAGTTTTCTCTAGGAGCTACGTGATTTGCATCGAGAGCTGGCCCTCTGGCGGGCGCTGCCTTGCGGGGAGCTGCGATTGGCGCCTCCGACTCACAGAGGGCTTTCTCGTGAAATTCGCTTGCGATCTAGTACCCAGGACCCAGGAGCTGACACATCCGAGAGAAGGAAGCGATACGTTGTGGCAGTCACGAATTGGAGGTTTACTGCTTTGGCGAGCAGCCTGTCGTTGGTAGCAGAAGCATGAAGCGTGAAGCTATTCTTCTGTCGTTAGATTTTCGGCATTCGATGCTTTTGTTTGCTGATCCGATCGATGCTCACACCTATCTGGATAAGCGCTTGTGGTCAGTCTGCAGACCTCCCACAGCACATTCAGCCTTACACGAAGCCTTTGCATGTGTGTACAGTTGGAGGTGAAAATGTGAACCTAGGAGTGCAGGGCACGGAATGTGCCCTGCCCGCAACCACAAGGCATGGTCATGGAGCAGGCGCGTGCAAGCACCAATGTAGTATACGGGCGAGACAAGACAAGCCGAACCGGATCTCCAATCGGCGCTTGTTGCCGCACTCCGGAGAGTCTTTAACCAAGATGTGAATTCGTAGGGTGGGGGGTGGGGTAGGGGTACTGAGGGCACTAGGTCGAGCGCCTGTAAATTAGCAAGCTTAGACTTAGACGGTCGTTTCGCTTATCTTTGTCAGGAGCTCAAAGAGATGCTCGTGGATGCCCTCCTCGTGGAAAAGTGTGAGGCATTGATCCTGGCATTGCCCAGGGTGTCTTAGGTCTTTTGTCCTACATAGACCAATTACCAAAGAGAGGTGTTTCCGAAGGTTCGGAATGAGCCGTTTTCTGCGTTGCTCAGTTTTCTGCACGGCTGCCAAGCCCATGGCAGAATCGTGAGTTGGCAGGCCTGGTACGAGCGCCGTGGTGTTCCAGTTCGGCAGCTTGGCAGAGCGTGGCGTTGGTTTGGTTCCGTGGTGTCCAGAAGTGCCAGGCAGTCTGACGCGTGTTTGCCCATGATTTGGAAGGCGGTTGGGCTCCGTCTCTGCGGCTGCACGCGTGTCGGAGCGCTGGGAGCAGCTAGATCAGCTGAGCGAAGGCCTGCTGCCCCTGATGCCCTTATGGGCTTCTGTCTTCTTTTCTGTAACCTTCGTTGAGGTTATCTACCTCACCACCTGCTGGCAACATGTAAGTCGATGTTCCTAGCTTGTGTGCTGCCCTGCTGTCTTGCTTGGGTGGATGTGTTCTGCTCTCAGAGAGGAGGCTCATGGGACCATGGTATCCCAGTATCCCATGCTGAGCGGTTTCTGTACGGCACGAGTCGCTTTGAGGCATCGACTCCCACCCAATAAGGCTCCAATCCTTCGCCTTGGCCTCTTCTGCACTCGTTCTAGGCGGGCTACTCTTCAAAGCATCGGCTTTCAGTGGCTCGGTAGCACTGGATAGCACTGGCTTCAGCTACTCAGGGCCTTTGATTTAGGAGGCGCTCTATCTCTGATCAAAAATCTCGAATCCTCTGGCACACCATACGGAGGGCTGCAAAAGCCTGCAAGAGCCCAGTGCCAACTTCTAGTGCCGTCAAGCATCGCGAAGCAATCTACTAGCGCGACAACCAACACGTCTAACTGCACGCGGTGTAACCTCTAACACATGCAGTCGCCAATTCCGGGTCTGGAGTACGTGTCCATGTTTCAGAGGTTAGGAGGCGCATCTGAGGCATCCATGTCGACAAGGACCTGAAAAGGCCAGGGTGCACAGGGGCGCGTATATGGTGTGCAATGGCCAGATGTTTTCACACGTCCTCATGTGCTGGTGTCGTCGAGCACGACAGTGAGCCCAGCCGAAGGAGCTTCTTGCCATCTGCTCTGGTAGGTCGGAAGTGATGGAGAGGATAAAGCAGGCAATCTTGTGGAGCGAGTTGCCGATGCGCGAGCTGCAGAAGGCTTCAAGTCTTGATATGCTGCGGTGTTGCAACTGCACGCTGTGCCTGTCTGTTGACCTCAGAGGTTTGCCGTGAAAACGGGGTCAACTCCGTCGCCCGCGAAAATCAGAAGCACCTAAGCCGATGAGACGGGCCAGTGGAGTGTCTAAGTGTTCAGGGCTAAGACGGGTACAGGCAAGCGAAGCAAGCTCGATGGCATTGTAGGAAGCTTGTTGGGAGCCCACAGTGCTCGAAGCTCTTGACAGCATTCTTCAACGCCCAAAGGAAGGAGCTGATGCACCGCCTGGCCTCGGCGCTCTGGCCTCCGCCGCCACCCGAGCCCCCAAAGCCGCCACCGCCGCACGGCAGAATCTCAGATGCCGCCAACGCGAACGGCAGCACCCAGGGTCAGATATGATATGCAGAAGAATATGGGAGCTTCCGAGGAATCTGTCCAGCTATGCAGCGGTCTCTTGATACTTGCTCCCCTTATTGTGTTATCCCAAGAAGCTAGTATGTATATTGAAACTTCTGGTGGTCAGTCTACCGTCGTAGATTCAATGTGGTTATCCTTCAGTTCGCTGCTTTCAAACTCACTGGGGGCCGCTAGTTTTCCGATCAAGGCGGATCATGTTGAGGTCATTGGCTTCTTCACATGAATCAAGAGCGTGTTCTTGACATGTTGCAATGCAGTGTTTGGTATCTTGGCTGGGCCACAAGGGTGTCATGGCATATGCATGCCTGCACGATCCTGCACGTTTTGTTTGACACATCTGACAGAAAGCAAAGACCAGCGGCAAGAGTGATTTCAGCTGTGGTGAGAGTCTTGTTCAACTAAGTGTGCTGCCAGAAAAAACCAGGGGCACAGGTCAGTTCCAATGGGTGAGAGTCGTGGTCAAGTATAGGTCCTATAGGTGTGTAGCAATTGAGACAACGAAATGTGCCTGCTGCATCACGGAAATTCAGTCGAAACGATGAGAAACATGAAGTTTCGCATTGCTTTCCGCCACGTTCCAGCGTAGTGCAGCGATTCACACTGGCGTTCACCAGTAATGCATGCGGACATTCTAAGGGAATGTGAGTGCTGGCACCCAAACAGGCATCACGAAAATTGGTGTTCGCGATCAGCGGTGCCCAACTTGGTGTCACTCCACTACGGCCCTCTACCACTCACCTGCACCATCTCGGCCTGCCAAGTTCAAGCCCATTGAGACCCGGGGTTTGGAGTCTAACCAACGTTCTGTCATTGTGCCAAGCCGCAGGATGCTAAGTACAGACTTCAGGAGAGTATAGACGAGAGTATAGACAGCACCATGGCGAGTTAAAGGCAAAATGCAGCATGGTGCAGGAAGAAGCAACCAAATGCATCGAGGGGTCTGCAGCGACTGAATCACCTGATGTTTGGCAGATTTCATAACCAGTTTACTTTGCCCATCCGCCTGATGCACCCTGAGTCTGGTGCTGCAAGGACATTCCACAACTTCGGTTCCAGAGATTGGCAGAGGTGGGCGGGGGCGTGGGCATGGTACCTGCCTAGGTTTGAACGGCCACAAGCATGTTGGAAGTATGGTAGAGGATGGGTGGCAGCGGCCAAATTTTGCAGCTGGGCTTTCGAAGCAGGAGTTTCAAGAAAAACAACATCCCACCTCCGAGCCTCCCGAAGAACATCAATCCCAAAACGCGTGGCTCTCAGCTTGTCGTGACAGTCACGGGCGGTGCGACATGAGAACTGTACAGTTGCAGCTCAGCTCCGGTGGAAGTTGCAAGGCTTGTGCCTCACTTCAAGACACTGGGCCTGGCTCCAAACGCGAGCCCGGCAGATGCCCGGTCCGAAAGAGCTGGAAGTATTATTCTCAAACTCGTAGCTTTGACCTGAAGCCCGAACGGATCTGGGCAGACTTACGTGACTACATGCGACGCGACCCATTGCGAGAGTCTTGTGAGACTTGGAGACTTTGGCTAAGGAAGTGAAGAAGGCATACCGCAAGCTGGCACTGAAGTACCATCCGGACTGCACCATACGGAAGATGGCATGTCATTCTCAGTCACATCAACAGTAAGATTCGGGTTCTCGGCTTCTTGCTTGTAGATGAAGGCAGTCGTCGTGTTGTCTTCTCGCTCGGGGGTCCATGTCAAAGTGCGCAGCTGGCTCCAATTTGAAAAGTAGTTGGCGCCGTAGGCACCCAGAGGTGCTACCAGAGCTGCGCAATCGCAGCCACTGTTGCGGAGTGCCATGGCCCACACCATGCCAAACATCATGATGTCCTCAATGCCGTCGCTTCCCGCGTCGCCGCTGAGCGCCCGGGGCATTGATGAGTCAATCTCCGGAGATGCCCGGCTTGTGTGGCTGAGCGAGTTTCCAGGACAACCTGCTTGTGTCCGACTTCCCTGTTGCGATGAGCTAAGGATGTCACTTATAGATTGGGTGGTCAGTTTTGGCCCTCCCGCTGCTTTGCCAAACTGCATGGAGACCTGTTGATGCTTCAGCGGAGCGGAAGGCTCGGACTCAGAAAGTGAAGCTATGGAGAGCGAATGTAGCACTTTAAGTAGCATAGCGTTATCACTACGACTTGCAGGCCCACTGTAGTTTCTGCCCCCAAGTTTCAATCCGCATCTCCCATAGCCATCCACAGCCATGTAGGCTTGGACTCTGCAGGCAGCAGGCCGCCGTGTCCTTGACCGGCGCCAAGGTGGAGGTGACTTCACAGAGCACCGTCCAGATCGAGGCGAGAAGACACCGCGAGGGGGGGCACCAGAGAGAGTGTTCACGCCTTGCCGGAAGAGGTGGTCCTTTGGGATCCGCTTTTGGGCCCGTTTCATATATGGCTGAAATTGAAGACTTTCGAAGCTTGAGCAGTTGGGAGGCACCCGGAAGTCCATCGTTATCTCTGCGTCTAAACAGCGCGGAGGCAGGGATTCACTTGAAGCCAATCCTTTTCACTGCAGCATCCCGTAAGACCTAGCTCATTTCTCCAGGAGGCGATGCGCTGGTGCCAGGCGCTTCGTCGAGCAGTCAACCGCTCTCGAGGAAGGGGCACTCGTGGGCACATGTGTTGAATGGCACTGCCGCGTGTCATCTGAGAGCGAGGGCCGTGTATCAGCAAAGCCCTTCTGCAGGTTTTCGTGACATGGTCTGCAACTCTCCGCTGATCAGCCCACGCGGAGCTTCCCCTTCTCCACGCGGTGCTTCCCAGTCACCACGTATTCCTGGGAATGATGGGGAGGAGTCTGGGGTTTACGACTGTAGCTCCTCTTGTGGAGACATCAGAATTGACAAGGGTGGGTGTGTGTGGTCCACTGCTAAGTAAGGCATGCAGGCCATGGCTAGCTTTGAGGGGCGCCTTGTGCTGTGGCAGACTTAGATTTTTCTACTGGAGCCTATTCCTATGCCATATGCACGGAGAGCTTCTCAGTGCCCACGACCGGCTTGAGCGGTTCTTCAGCTCCTGCCGTTTTTTGAGGACCGCTTGGAGCAGCTGCAAGCGCAGATTCGAGAAAAGGAGGCTTCCATCAAGGCCTTGTCCTTGAGATTGTGTGGAGAGCACGCGCGCTGCCCTCAGCCTTACAGGAACTGGGTGAGGCTCAGAACGCTGCAAAGGCCAGGGCAGATGCTGCAGCAGATGCGAAGCAGGAAGCAGAGGCGCCGGACGTGTCTATGCAACCCTTCATTGATCCTCATAGCCGCCTGTGTGGGGGCGCATCAGAGTTGCCTGCCAGCAGACTCGAATCTTGTCATACAAGTGATAAATGAATCATTTCCCCCTAACAGTGAGAGAGGAGCCTTGGATGATTCCTTAACAGGCCCGAGTGAAGCTGGCGGAGCAAGCTCTTCGAACCGAGCAATCGCTGCGAGAAGATCGTGAGAAGAAGCTGGAGGTCGAGCCTCAGTAGGTCAGATCTGCCTAGTTCAGTTCAGAGAAAGAGGAAGCCTTGCAGCCTCTCCCGTGCACTCCCGTGGTGCTTGGCTGTCCAAGGCAATTCGCAACTCGCAGGCAGGGAAGTGCTTGGACGAATTGTCAGCTCCCAGATTTTTTCCTCCTGTGCTCCCTCTCCGAGTATTCTGCATACTTTCGGGGCGCCCCTCGCAGGGAGAGTCGGAAGAGAAGAGCAGCAAGTACAAGCAGGAAGTCGCCGACTTGCAGATCGAGCTCTCGCTGCAGAAGGCTTCTGGGGCAAACGCAGTTAAACGCAGCCTATCGCAGGCTGCACTTCTAGTTTCCCTTCGGGTTTGGAGTCCAAGCGGAGCAAAGCCATCGGCTGCCTGCTTTGCCCGCGTACCGAGTGTCTTTGAGTTTGTTTCGTTGTTCATCCTGGTCCCCTGATCCTGACAGGGCGAAGTGGCATCGCTCCGCGAGCAGCTCTCCTTGGCACTGGAAGAGCGCGATGCCCAGCAGGCTGATGCACAATCACGTACGCAGGCTTACCAAGGTTTGCAGGAGATGGTGGCCGGTCTGGAAAAACAGCTCGCAGATTCGCAACGCCGCAAAGTCGCGGCCGAGAATCGGTTTGCTGCCGAGGAGGCATGTCGAAAGGCAGCTGAGGATCGCTGCGCGGGTGCTGAGAAGCGACATGTGCAAGATGAAGAGCTGGCAGAGAGCCTGGCTGCCGCTCTCCATGAAGCCAAGCAGTCCCTCATGTCAATAGAAGCCAGTCGCGAAGTTGCCGTGGACCAAGCCTCTGTGCAGAAGGAAGTCGAGCGCTTGAAGGAAAACCTGGCCTCGGCGGAAACGAAAGCCGCAGAGGCTGAAGCCCGAGCACAGGACTTGCAGAAGCGCTTGGCTGCAAGTAGCAAAAAGCTCGAGCAAGTGCAGCAAGCGCAGGCAGTGCAGGCCCCGGACTCACCAAGCAGAAAGGAGCAGGCAGAAGTTCTTGCTCGCAAAGAGGTGGAGGTGCGTAACCACGAGTTGCAGAAGCGCCTCGCCGCCTCGGAGGCAAAGGCGAAGAAGGCGGAACAGGCAGAGGAAGGAAGGAAAGAAGCCGAGGCTCGTGCACAAGAGACGCAGCAGAGCCTGTCTCTCCTCGAGGCAGAAGTCACAGAGCTTCGAGAGGCAGCGATGGCTTTCAAAGAAGCGGAGATGCAGTTTCAGGATTCTCAGAAGAAGGAAGGATTGAAAATCGAAGCAGCGGAGGCCGGCTGTGCTGCTGCCGAGGCACGGGTCGCCCAGCTTCAGAACCAGGTATCCGACTTGGAGTCCGAGCTCGCTCGGGTAAAGGCTGCCGAGTCCCTCCAAGAGGTTCATCTCGCAGTCAAGAAAGATGCAGAGGCTCACGCCGAAGACTTGCAGAATCAGCTCTCGGACATGGAAGCTCATTTGGAGGAGGTGCACCAGGTCCGTGCAGACAAGGAGAAGGCGGAGCAGAAGCTGCAGAGTCTCCAAGAGCGGTGCGCAGTCATTGAGGCCAGGTCTTCGCCTGCGCCGAGACTGTAAACTTCGGTTCGCCGCGGGGCATGTGCCGCTTGTCATGCAGGAAGACATGGCGTCCGCAAAGGCCGCAGCAGACGAGCAAGCTCAGGAGCTATCTCGTGCTTCGCTTCAGCAATAAGTCAGCCGAAGCAATGCCAAAGGAACAAGACCTGCAGTGAGCCTTTCCTCACTGGTAGCTGCCTTAGCTTCACACAGACAACGTAAACTGCACAACGACTGCCTACACTAGCATACCCTGTGCGATGCCAGCTCAGCTTCGACTCCAAGCCCTGGCGGTCCCTCGTGCCGCCCTCGCCCCTCAAACCAGAACTGTCAAGCGCAGGACCTGCAGCGGCGGCTCGAAGCCGCCAACCGCCGCTTACTTGCTGAGGCGCGGCTATTTGCCGTTTCGTAGTCAGACGCAGTATCGCGGGGAGACGATGCTTGTTGCAAGTTGAAAGTTTAAACATGATCTGTATAAGCCCTGAGGAGCAGTGCCGCAAGGCCGCCGAGGAGCGAAGCGCGGCAGCGGTGGCTTGGCTGCAGTTGCAAAGCAAGGGAACGCTTGTCCTTCAGGATTCGTCCTGGCCAGTGACGGAATGCTTCTTTCGCTGTTTAGCACCATCTTGTCCTTGCAGACTTACTCTTTTTCCCGCGTGACCTTGCCGCGGGCTTCCCACCGAATGCTAGCACCAGCAGAGGAGCCAGCCACATCCAGAGTAAGACTTGCAATTAGCTCACCAAGGAAAGGCGTCTTACAGAGGCAGAGAAGCATCTGGAAGCTTGGCCGTGCATGCGAGACACTCCCGGGAACAACTGTACACGTTTTGCAGGGATAATATTCTAACACATACATACGTACATATATAAATACATAAGTATTTATATCTTAGAACTTTCGGAAATGTTGAGTAGGCTTTTGCGTCTCGATTCATATAGAAGGGCTTTTATCGTGCCTTGTTTAGGACTGTTCTCCGGTCTTCTCCTGCGTTTGCATGGCATTACCCCGACTTGTCGGGACACCTCAACATTTTCAGGCAGTTCGTGCGCGGCGATTTCACTGCTGTTCTTTGGTCTCGTCCGTACAGACCATGGGAAGCGGTTGAATTCAAGTCGAGCTTAGAATCCACGCGGTGAAGACTGTTCGGGCCTTTTCAGACGGGAGATTGAACATCCTTGGAATGACTGCACATCGGAAGCAGAGTCCACTTTGTGTTTGCGTTTAGATGGCTTGACTTCATTGTTGGGAAGCCATGATGCGATTTTTCTAACATTATGCATGACTTCTTCCTGACATTCGTGGCAGCGATGTGACTTCATGTGCATTCATTTGACGCGAACAGGCCCCTTGAGGCAGGCCTTAGCAGAACAGGGCTGCCGGGTCGAAGCCGTGGGTTGCCACGAGTTGCGCCGGTGACACTGACTGAATAGCGGGTCTCCTGCATGCTTGCGAGTTCGAAAGGAGAGCATGGCAATGCCAAGTCCCCGAAGGCTATCAGGACTCGGCGTGGCACACAAGGGCGAAGTGCCCAAGCTGTCGCGAGCCTCAATTCACATTTTGCATTTCCAGGAGAAGTCAGCCCACAGGACGAGGCATCACCAAAGCCCGCACCATCAGAAGCCTCGACAGAAACGTGGCTTGTCTGGTTGAGCAATCTCGTGACGCAGCTCTCCCCTGTCGAATCTCGAGTTTAGGACAGTTAACTTGAGAAGCACTTTGCCACAATGATGCAGGTACGAGAGATGCGACAACACCGCGCATGCAGAGTCCAATGACGCGTCGCAGCTGCATGCGCTACTTGCTGCGGCTGAGCTGAAGCTTGGCTCTTCAGAGAGCGAGAGCGCATGCACAAACACGCGGGATACAGTTTGTGGGTACATAGGTACAGAACAGGGGGACTGCCGGAGCCTAGTCGACGAGCCGTGCTTCAGGGTTGGGGGAGGAAGGCAGGTGGGCTGAGGTCGGAGTGAGTGCGCGAGTTGCCAGGCGGGATGTCGGAGGTTTTGGGCCACAGCACCTTAAGGGCACGCAGAGTTAGTTAGACTCGACAAAAAAATCGCCCTGGTCGGAGGAAGGCGAGCGAGGAGACCCGCGCCCGGAAAACAGCACAGCAGCAGCTCATCCAGGCTATCAAGGCGGCCACAGCGCCTGGGACGATGTCCTCAGCATTCAGCTCATGGATTTCACGAAGCTATTCATTTAAGTTCATACCTCGAGCATGGCTTGCCCATGTCGCTCCTATTGCGGTTTCCGTTGTTGGTGCGGGGGGTGTCGGTGGCGGCGGTATGGCAGCAGTGGTGGCTCCAGCTGCTGCTGAAGCCTGTTGCTGTCGTCGTTGTGGTGTCGGTAGTGATTCTTGTTGTTGCTGGCTTTGCCAGCCCGTCAAAGTATTATGGGCAGTTGTCGTGGTAGTAGTAGTTTTAGTAGTAGTAGCAGCAGCAGCAGCAGGAGTGGTAGTAGTAGTAGTAGGGTTGCCCCCCCCGGTGCGACGCCCAAACCTCTTATTTTTGGGACTTGCTGTGGTCGAAAATGCTGTGTTTTACAGCACTTTTTTTCCGCAGTTATCGAAAGTGACAACTGTTCTTGGTTTCGTGTGTATTTTTTCCTCTTTTCTAACATTGTTCATCAATGTCGCACACGAAAATGCTGGTATTTACAGCACTTGTCTTTGCGAATTTCATGATTTTTTACTGTTTTTGGGTGTCTCGATTTTCGTGCCCAAAACCTAGCGATCAGAATCAAGGTTTTTTGGGCCTCATTTTGATCATGATTTTCAGTCAAATCGTTTGTTTGGAGAGCATCCATGTCCAAAACCTAATGACGTCCATTGTCTAGAGAGCATCCATGTCCAAAACCTAATGACGTCCATGGTCTAGCGCATTTGGGTTTGGAGAGCATCCATGTCCAAAACCTAATGACGTCCATGGTCTAGCGCATTTGGGTTTGGAGAGCATCCATGTCCAAAACCTAATGACGTCCATGGTCTAGCGCATTTGGGTTTGGAGAGCATCCATGTCCAAAACCTAATGACGTCCATGGTCTAGCGCATTTGGGTTTGGAGAGCATCCATGTCCAAAACCTAATGACGTCCATGGTCTAGCGCATTTGGGTTTGGAGAGCATCCATGTCCAAAACCTAATGACGTCCATGGTCTAGCGCATTTGGGTTTGGAGAGCACCCATGTCCAAAACCTTTCGAAATGTTGCTTGTTTGCATCGCACCGAGCGGGGGTGGTACTTTCCACTGCTCTCTAACAGCTTACTCTGTGGTTCACTAGTTCAATAACGAGTAGAGGCGCAAGAACCGCACATCAGCAGCATCCAGCATTATCATGTTCATCATCACTTTCGTCAGCACCATCTCGAAGAGCATCATCATGAACATCATCATTATTATCATCATGATCATCTTCATCTTTAGGTTAGGCCGGATTTCGCTCGGGCTCGCACATTTTGCTCCAAGTAAGCAGGTGCAAACTTAGCCAACAGAGCATTCTGCGGCTTCTCCGGCGTCGATCCATCCTAGAAAGGACATTTGACACTATCTTTTCTATGTCCCACCTGCTGACATCTACTGCAGCGGTGTGGACGATCCTTGTCCTTGCTACGCCGCATCTTGGACCGCGACAGCTGTCATGGGACATGATGTTCATCCAAGAACTCTGCGACCGGCGTCGCACCAGGGGGGGACGGCCTAGTAGTAGTAGTAGTAGTAGTAGTAGTAGTAGTAGTAGTAGTAGTAGTAGTAGTAGTAGTAGTAGTAGTAGTAGTAGTAGTAGTAGTAGTATTATCAGTCCGACAAGTGGGAGCCAAAAAAGTAGTAGTAGTATTATCAGTAGTAGTAGTAGTAGTAGTACTACTACTACTCCTGCTGCTGCTATACTATACTATACTATACTATACTATACTATACTATACTATACTATACTATACTATACTACTATTGCTTATTATTCTTACAACAACAACTACAACTACAACTACAACTACAACTACAGCTACAACTACTACTACTACTACTACTACTACTACTACTGCTACTGCTACTGCTACTGCTACTGCTACTGCTACTGCTACTGCTACTGCTACTGCTACTGCTACTGCTACTGCTACTGCTGCTACTACTACTACTACTAGTACCACCACTACCACGACCACTACCACCACTACTACTATGACTGCGTGACTTCCACGACGTCGACGACAACGACGACCGCGGCTGCGTTTTGGTCATTGCTGTCCGCGGTGGTCGTGGTGCCGTAGCGGCGGTGTTGTTGGTGGTGGTCGGGTGGTCGTGGTATGTCGTGGTCGTCTGGATAGTTGTTGGTGGTGGTGCTGCCGAGTAGCGCCACGGACTTTCGACATTTTTCGATGACAACCTGTCATGCCAATGATGTTGCGTGAAGTTGGATCCCTGCTGGATTCGAGGCCGCAGGTGCCAAGATGAAGGCCAAAGAGCTCGTAGCCCGGCTGGAGCATGGGCGAACCCCGTGAAATAACCCGAAACTTGCCCCTTGGCCTGGCTTTTGACAAGCGGCAAGTGGGGCGAGCTTTTAAGCCTTGTTGCAGATCGCAGGGCGCTCCGAACATGGAGTCCCTTGCACTTCGAGACTGGTTTTGAAGGTCCTATGCATTCCAGGCTAACAATCTCTTGGAACCCAGGTTTCATAGATGCATGGACGACATAAGCTACACAGGCCCACTTTTACAGATGGCCACTCTCTTGCACCCGGGTATTTGGAGATGCCATGTTCCCGCACGCTCGTCAGTGTGACTGCGCGAGTTTGTCAGATCTTGATCCACATCGTGCACAGCTTCGGGCAGAGGATGATCCATCGACGCCGCAGCCGGGTGTACTCAAGGCTGTAGTATGGCATGGGTCAGTATGGCTCAATAGCACGAAGGGCAGCTCCTCGGTGGATCGGAGTCTGTGTATCTCCATGGGGCTGATGGTTAAACCATGGCCTACGATGGAGCTGTGCTTGCTTGGGGTTGCTATTTCAACCGACAAATAATAAGCCGCAGGCTTTAGTGACTTTAGTGGAGACACCCGCAGACAGATGCATACCATGATGTTGTGTTGTGCATGTGAACTTGCCCCAAAGCGAGCTGAAGTTTGCCACTTCGTTCAACCCCCAAACTTCCGGCCATCGTATATGTTGAAACCAGACGCTTACATAGAGCTGGCATTGCCTCTGCATGAACATGCAGCCATACAGCCATACTGTTTCTCTTTCCTTTGCACGACTTTAAAACCCACCTGTGCAGAGAGGCATGCCCTGCAGTAAGTGCTGAGAGTTTAATGACAGTCTACAGATGGGACTTCCTTTTGCGGACCAAAAAGTACAGACTCGAAGCGGGAGGAGGAGGTCGTTTGCAGCCACCTGCCCCGTCGTGCTCCACACGTCCTGCAAAGCACCACAAGGGAGCTACTGCAGCCAACCAGAGGGGGTTTCAGACTGAGTGTAACTACGGCTTGCACATTTTCGTCTGCATTTTTCATGACGCACCTGTCAGGACAAGAACCTCGAGGCCTCCAAGGAAGAGGCATCGCAGAGGCCTGTGGGCACCATGACTCGTAGCAAAGCGCGTTTGTCACATCGCACGCAGGCGATACCCGCAAGTTTACCAACTAATCCGTCGCCCCCACCCCACCACGCGGCAGGTTTCGCGAAGTGGCAGAGGCCTATGCTGCCCTGAATCAATACTTAGGAGGCGGCTGATTGTGGCTGAAAGGTTGGTCATGCCTGCAACTCCAAAATTCAGCGGTTGGTCGAATTACTGACGGTGTTGAGTGAAATCCTGTTCTGCAGTCTCCTGCTGCTTGTGTTGTGTCAACCTCTATTTTGCATCTGTAGCCTGCAATCAGCCGCCGATTCTGCAAAACAGCAGCGTGCTGGACCAAGTCAGCCAGACTGCCAGACTGGCTGGCATGTGCTCACATAGAGCGCGCCGAAGGTTTCAGCATGTGTTAATGGCTCGGATCTCCTTGGTGTGGCACCGGGTCTTGAGTGGGAGCCCTTCTCAAGTCCCGGGCCAAGGGCCAACGTTGTGCCGGGAAGATCCCACCTGTCATGAGACCGTTTGGAATGTGTCTCTTCCTAGGGTTAGTTATGTCTCGACGATGTAGAGCCTCCTGCAACGAACGCAAAATAAAACCGAGCTTCGAGCCTTGCATTGCATCGTCTCGAGGACATCGCGCAGACTCCCCCTGTACATGTGAACATACCGCACATACACAGGCTAGCCGTGGATAGGCCATGACGTGTCGTGCTGCACATGTCAGCAAGGACCAAATACATGCTGCTCAAACCGGTGCAAGGTCCCAGTCACAGATCAAACAGTAGGAAAACTGATTGTGATGAATAGCCAAGGTTCTGTCCGGGGCTGCCCTGGTTCACCGCAGAGTCTTTTCTTATGCCTGGGCCCTGTTTCGATTGCATGTTCGCTGGCCTGGTTTCTCTCCCTGCCGGTTCTGTGTGCTCGCTGCCGCCTGTTTTGCTCCGCACAGCTTACGGAAGGAGGATAAGCAACGGGAGCCGTAGAAAAAGTGGCGCAGCTTCTTGCTTGAGTGCTTCTAGCATCAAGCCTTCAAGCGAAATCGACCTGAACTTTGTCTGAATAAGTCGGGTGGCTATATACCCTCAGCGTGGCCCTTCATGAACCAAAAAGCAGCGCTCCCGACTAGCACTAGGACTAGGAGTCTAGAACCCGGAAGGAGGATCAGCCTGCAATCCGGGTCTTTCAAGGTTGCATGCTGAACAGACTGCACACATCATGTACAAATTTCAAGACAGCTCGACGGTCACCAAGCGTCCTCGGCAGAGTTCCCATGGCAGCTCTGGCTTGGATACCCTCCAGACTCTCCAGGCCCAAAGTGGCGGAATCGTGCGACCTTAACGAAGACTCTTCCGGCTCATGAGTCATTTTTGCCGGATCCTGCAAGTTGTTGCGGCAACAAGTTAAACTCGTATTCAACCGAACAACGGCCGCCTTTTTTTTGGCAACGGGAAAACGGAGCTTGACAGGTCTGGCCTTCGGTGGATCTTGCTCGCGGTGGCTTGGCTGCGGCATCGGCAACAGCTTTTAGCCAGGTGCAAGCTTGGTCGAATTTTCCAGGCTCATCCCCAAATCTAAGGTTGCAGGACTTCTTGCGCTGGCATGGGAACGCAAACGGAGGCAACAAGCCCCAGTGTTACGGGGTTGCTGCCTCTGCTTTGTCTATCCTGCCTGTTTGTATGTCTTTCTGCGTTGTGCTCTACGATCTCCTCCTGAGAGCAGCAGCGGCTTCGCAAGCCGCCAGTCGTGGCAAGACCTTGCATGCTCCACGCATGCAGGCTTACTCGAGCCTTGACCGTGCAAATCTCCGTCGCGCTTTCTTCGCCCTATGCACGGCAAGCAGTCCTTGCAGCTGCACGACATCTGTGCCTCGGTTGGTCCCAGGATGCTTTGGCTTTAGACTGCATCTTGTTGATGGCTTTCAAGCTCTTTCAAACAGTTTGCATCGGTTTGGAGATGTCAGGACATCCGATAGTCGTTTGAGGGGCCTGGCCAAGTCGGAAGGTAAAGGGGAGTGGGCTGAAGCAGTAGCCGCACTGTCA